CCCGTGTAGCCAAAGTGTCATGCCCGTGTAGCAATTCCCTTCACTTTATGTGCCCTTGCAGAGCAATGGGAGAGCTTCTATGCCGCTGTGCCTGTTTCTCCGTATCAAAGTTTCTGGGGAATGCTAGGCCAGAACATCCACCAGGAGGGCGTCGAGGTCCTAGGAGACATGGACAAGTTCGTCGCATACTGTGCGATCTGGCGACGAGTTTTGGAGCTTAGCTGGCGGGCTTTACACGGCGAGTTTCGCGAAGACGAACCCCCGACACCACCTCTCCATGATCCCATCGTTGGGCGCTACATCATTGTATCCCCTCTGGGCTGGGGCAGTACGAAAATATTCTACGAACAAAGCGGCGATGGGAATAATCCCCATATGCTGTTTCTCCACACGGCTGGCTCGGATTCGAGGCAGTATCATGGGGTAATGACGGATCCGAGAATGCTGGCGAAGTGTCACATGACAGCATTTGATCTACCTGGTCATGGTCGTAGCTTTCCTTCCGAAAAGCAGATTCCTGGAGCCCACACGAATAGCGAAGACGTCTATGTTGATTGCATTGGGCAAGTCATCAAGGCCCTTGGTCTCAAGAAGCCTATCGTGTGCGGTGCTAGTATGGGAGGGCATGTCTGCCTTGCGCTTGCATTGAGGACGGCTGAGGTTGGCGTAGGCGGCGTTATCCCTTGCCAAGCGTACGTTCCGGCCCTTTGGTCACGTAGCCTGGAAGGGTTATCGTTATCTTGAAGCTGACTGTTGCCACCAGCTGCGAGTTTACGGACATGAAGCGGCAGTGGTGGGATCGCTCCTTACTTGTGAACCAGTCACTCTTCAACCCCGAATGGACGTATGGCGTAGGTACTCCCTGCTGCGCAGCTCACATGCGGTCTTGATGCTAAACTAACTTTCTAGATGATGGCACCCAATGCGCCGCGCATCAATCGCGACCTCGTATGGCACACTTACTCATCCCAAGCGTTCGGTCTGTTCCATGGTGACCTGGACTTTTACTTTGGAGGCTGGGATGGTCGTGAGCGTGTCTGCAAGATTGACACCAAAAAGTGTCCTGTTTACTTACTGACGGGAGAATACGATTGGAGCACAACACCCGAGTTGACGGAGAAGACTGCTGCTAAAATACCAGGGGCAAAATACAAAAAGATGCTTGGTCTCGGTCATTTCCCAGCAACCGAGAATCCGACACGTTTCGTGCCGTATCTTATTGAAGCTATCAACCATATTTTATCCTCTACAGAGATGGACTCCGCCACCTTTTCGCCTCGGGATTTCAACAATACATCAACGCCAGTATAAACTCGGATACATGCTGCGTCATGTCCATTCACCAATCGACAAGGTAGCGAAGCGAGTACGTAGTCTGACAATGTAAAATACGCGCACTCAAACCCATGTTCAACAGCAATTGTGACGGCTTGGCCCGTGTCAGGCGCACACAGCTCGTCGGCGGCCATCTGTGCGACGGCGGTAATGCCGCAGTATATGGGGGGCATTAAGTACACCAACTAATGTGGCGTGGCCACGCCTGTTTTTTGGTGTGAGAGGTAATATGACGATAAGTACAGATAGAAATGTAGAAAATTCCTGTGGCTTATCTGACTATTGCCTGTCAAATAGAGAGAGCGCGCCTAAATGCGACATTAGAAGGCATAGGAGCCGGGTGTAAACATATAGTTCCCCAGCCATCTTCAGGTCACGTGACTCAAGGAGCAGCCAATGCGAAATCCCAAGGCACGTCAACCGCAGGTCCAGATCCGTGCTGTGACCATCATTTCATCTTGATCCAACCCACCCACCCGAACAATTCTCGCAACGCCCATGGGCCAGTCTATCGGTAGTCTGCTCCCGCTCCGGTGGCGGCTCTCGCTCGGCAAGCTGCTCTTCCGCCCTCTTGGTCCGTCTACATTCAGAGTGAGCTGGCATCGCGTCATCAAGGGACCATGTGATCCGACCGAGGTGGAGGCCATGCATTACGTCGCCGCGCATACGACAGTCCCGGTGCCTAAAGTCTATGCTGTTCATACCGAGGGTCAACTGATTTATATTGAGATGGCGTTTATCCGTGGTGAAACCTTGGAGAGCGCCTGGGACAATCTGTCAAAAGCCCAGATGACAGCCGTTTTCGAGGACCTTCAAACCCACTTGTCCAGTCTCCGCGCCCTTGAGCCCCCAAAACAGGAGCTGGTCTGCTCTGCACTACAGAATCCAGCATTCGACTGCCGCGTTGGATTTCGGTTCTTTGGACCCGTGAGCCACGGCGACTTTCACTCACTTACGCGGGGGCATTTGATTATGGAAGACGTCGAGCCATTTCTTGGCCATGAAGTAGCAAAGACGCACACGGCCAAGTATGCAACTTACTTCACACATGCGGATCTAGCTCCGAGGAATATCATGGTGCGGAACGGGCGTATTGCTGCCATCATTGACTGGGGCTTTGCGGGATGGTATCCGGAGTATTGGGAATTTACAAAGGCGCACTATAATCTGTTTTTGGGTCAAGACCTCTGGGAGGAATACATGCGTGTCGTCTTGCCCAGCTATGAGACGGAACTCGTAGCAGAGCGAACTCTCTGGAGGCGACTGCCAGAGCCGGGGACAATTACTAGATATTCGTCGGCTGGCGATATCAGCATATTAAGCAAGGGTTCATCTCCTTCGGCTGAATGGTTGAATACAAGAGCCGGTTTCACATTAACAGACTTGTGGTCTCTTGCCTTGGCCCAAGGAAAATATGACCTTTCTGTTGTAACGTAGGTAACTTGTTGGAAGGTATGATGGCAATGAACAACAAGGGAAGACGGTTTGAGTTGAGCGAAATGTACAACGAAGAATGAAGCCAACCAGTATGGTATTGCCAGAATAGGCTAGTGAAAACTTTGAGCGTCTTTCTCTGTGGGAAGCCTGCTGCTCCTTCACTAGATGTGACTATAGTAGCATTGTTAATTCACATACGCGCCTGTCGTTCTCGACGAGGGTCCACGACCAAGATGGTTTCGGAACGGATTGCATCCGGCCAGCGAATATGAGCGGTCCGGCCAGGCGGTAAGAATGGCACATTGATTGGCCAAGGCATCTATGACATGAATGTGACTCATGGTCGTATAAAATGCCCCGTGGCATCAATGTCGGCCTTTTTCTCTGTCAAAATATTTCTGTACCAACCTTGTTGTAAACTCTCCTTCTGAATTGGTGCTTCACCATCGTCTGTCAAGACTGGGACCAGTGAGTTTTAATAGAGAAAGCCTTGGTCTTTTGCTAACCGAAATACCCCCAGGTTCCGTGCCATGCCAGAAGCCTGCCATGGCACGAGTGGTTGCTGTCGCCCTATACCATCGAGATTACCTTTCGAAAGGTGACTCACGGCGAGTTCTTAGCCACGACGCTTACCATTGGGGAGTTATTGTCATGCCACAAGACAGACAAGGGCGAGAGTGCAACGTTTATGAAGCCACTGACGCATCGGAGATTGACCCTGTTACGTTTCGAATGAACAATGCTCACATGGACTGGTGGTTCCGCACTAAAGAAAAGATCGACCCCGAGCGTAGTTCTAAGCTTGTTGGGCGCATTGTCATTGGCCAAATTGACGACGATATATCAGACGTTGAACTTGGTGCTTTTTTTCGCTGTGTACCGTTGCCAGCGAAGGACACGAATCCACAGCAGAGCTGTGTCAGTGGGACTGTTGATGCTATTTTAGGCCTGCAGAGGCGGAGTTAGGCATGGAAGTTCGACGTTGAACTATTCAAGGGCTGGGCGCTTGCTTATGCCGACGAGAGAATGAATGGGTCAACTTCTAAGCAGCCCAAGGTGGCTACATATAGCGCAGGGGTGGAAAAATAGGCGGCAGTCGGCCCGTCCATAACATCAAGTACAAAGACTAAGCAGCTTTGGGGCTATCGAGGTTCTCGGTTCAGTCCGAGGCACGTCGACCGCCACTGGGCTATGCCGCAGGTGGCCAGATGACCGCTCCAGTCTTGTCCCTACACTTTTGGCTTTTCATGTTCCACATGAAGCCGCAGACCCTGCAGATGGTGTGTCCCCTCTCGACCTGGGCGGCCGTCTGGCCCGGCGGGCACTCGACCAGGTTGTAACGCTCGCCGCAGGACCCCGACAGGCTCAGAGCGCGTGCTGCAATGCTGGGCCCGGGCGGCCAGAGCAGCGCCCCGTCTTCGTTCCTGCATTCGCCGCCTTCTGGATCCCACACAAAGCCGCAGGCTCTGCAGACGCCGCGTCCCGTCTCGAGCTGCGCTGCCGTCTGGCTACCCTCGCACTGCATCCTGCCGTGGGGCCCGGCACAGGTCTTGTGCGGCCAGAGGAGCACGCCGGCGTCGTCCCTGCACCGGCCCTCGTCCGGGTACCAGTTGGAGCCGCAGATTGCGCAGACGGCCTGTCCCTGCTGGAGGTCGGCGGCCGTCTGTCCGTCTCCACAGTCGGCGTCGCCATCGCCATCGCTGGCACTGCAGGTTGATTCGGGAGGCGGCTCCCGTGGCCAGCGGATGGTGCCGCTGGCGTCGATGCACTGGCCGCCGGCGTCGTCCCAGCTCAGCCCGCAGACTCGGCAGGCCGCCTGTCCCGTCTTGAGCGCTGCCGGCTTGGGCATCTCCACCTGTATCGCCACCTTTCGGAGGCCCGCGCAGGCCGTCGTCAGCTCCGCCCGCAGGCGCTCGTCGACGGGCGGGCTCTCGCTGACGCGCTCGCAGGTGCTCAGCACGTCATTGACGCCGACGAGCCGCATCCTCTTCTTCTTGCCGTACGACAGGAGCTGCAAGTCCTTCTCCCGCCGCCCGGGGCCCTGCAGCAGCCAAAAGACCTTCTTGAAGAAGTTGATGAGCGCTGCCTGGTTGTCGTTGCCGCTGATGTCGGTGCGCCGCGGCCCCCCGATCGCCTCCTGCAGGTCGTTGATGCTGTCGTCAAACGCCCTGACGGCCCGGCCAATGGGGTGGTCCCACTCCCGCAGCAGGCGGAGCACTGTGCGCAGGTACGGTGCCAGAACGTTGAACCCCACCAGCGTGCCCGCCTGGGCGAACACGCGATATTTGCTCGCCTTGGGCTTCCCCGGGTCCATGGGCCCGTCGACGGGAACTGGAGCCGTTGCCGCCGGCCTCTTCTTTCTCCCGCCACCGCCGCCGCCAGACTTGCCGCTGCCCGCGGCCGTCTTGAGTTTGCGAGGCGTGCAGCCGTACTTGCCGGTGCACCGCTTTTCAACCATGGCGTCGAGGCTTCGGCTCACCGGGATCGTCTTGAATTCCTTCCACGTGTCCTCGTCCCATGCGATCGAGTGTCGAGGGAACCCGGCGAGCCCTGGTGCCCTGCCCCCGTCTCTCGGGCTTGCGAAGCTTGCGAAGCTGCGGTCAAAGTCTGGGTTTTTGTGGTAGTGCCTCCTGAGCCTTCCCCTCCGCAGCCTCTTTTGCGTCCGTTTTCCGATGGCTGGGTTTGAAAAGTGGTGCTGATATGTCACAACCCACCAGCCCTCAACCTGCTGGTACGGGATAAATTGAATGGCCGCGTGCTCCTTTTGGCCGGGGTAAGGCGAGTATTTCCCAAGAGACCTGTTCACATCAACCATCTTGCTGTCACGATGAATCCTGTAGACAAAGCCCTTATCTCTTGGGTGCTCGTCATCAACGGCGAACGTAAGCGACACGCCGGGGTCGGCACTCGTCGAGACAAAACGCGTATAGTCGCTTGTCTCTCCCGCCGCATGCCGGAACAGGCTGCTGCCTTCTTCCAGCTCGATGATGGAAAGTCGATGTCCTGAAAGGGACCTCTGCATCCCTCGCGAATAAAAGCCCCCGGCCTGTTTAACTTGCTCTGGGCTCCTCCCTATCTCGCCGTGGTACACAACCTCTGGGAACTCTTCGTCAAATTCACCCAAGTGCTCGGCTGTGCGGCGCTCAAGTGTTGCTTCGATGCTGCGTCCTCCCTCTGAGCGGCTCTGACAAAGCCCAGACAGTAAAACCAGCGCAGTCGTCGAGACCCAGAAACTCGTCCTCATGCTGGAGGGGTGCGCCAGCAAACACCGTGGCAAGTTGCAACAGGGCGCGCTGCTGATTGGTGGTAAATGCTCGGGTATGAAAGTGCGTCTTGGCTTGCGCTTGTTGCTCGCAAAGCTTGGGCAGTCATTGTTTCGAGACCGGCGTAGCTCACCCAGGCATATATAGTCTACCAATGTACCGCCCAAGAGTCTTCTTGTGTGCCATCGTGGTACGTAATAATTAGGTGAAGAAAAGTTAAAATCGCCGCGTTCCAAGCTCCGACAATGTTGTGGTTTGGGCGTTGCCTGACCTAGAATCGAATCGGCAGACATGTGCAGTATCAATTGAGCAATAATTGTCCGATCCGTACCCTCTTGACCCCAGCAGGTTTAGTCATGAGTGGCCTTGCAAGGAAGTTTATTGGGGTTGTGAACAGGGACCTCCCATCTTAACAGCAACTCTCTTTACTTCTGGCAGGAATTATCCGCTATGCAGGTCAAATAGCAGGCTCGTAGCAGCTCCAATAGTCGTAGATGATGAGTCTCACGTGCTCTTGATTACCGGAGAGCGTTGCGTCATGACCCTGGAGTTGTGGTGAGTAGGGGTAGCACTACTCAAGTACGGAGGTGCCCGTCAAAAATCCTGCCTGTTACACACTAACAGGGATGCTAAAAAATAATGCTAATTAATTTAGAAACACTACTACTTAATTTAGCTATAGCTACTCTTTACTCTCTTTATATTTATTTCTACTATATAATTAAATAATAGCCTTAATATACTTAGAAATTTATTTAATTTACCTCTAAATAGCTTTTTATAGCAGCTTTTTTTAAATAAGTCTGCTATATTTTAATACTCTCTTTTCTATTATTAAAAGCTCTAAGCTAAGTTATTTATCTCTTTATTTATAGCTATGCTACTATAATTAAATTTAAATAAAATAAATCTAAGAGCTAAGAGAGCTTTTTAACTTTATATATATTAAATATTTATGTGATGGACCAGCCCTATTAGGCCATAGCGGGTGCCAGCCGCAGTTATCCCGGTGGTGTGCCGGACCCCCTTAACCGTTGAGTCAAAAGGGTACGTATTAAACAAGCTGTCCACAGCTTGCTCAATCTGGCACTATATAGGTCCTGCATGCACGGGCTTTCCCTCTATTGCGCATTTGCAGTGCAGTGCATCTATTGCTGCGCATCCATTAAGGTCGAGCATAGCTCAGACCATAACATATAGTATTAATAGAGATAATTACTACTACTTAATAATAAGTTAGTAGTTTATTGAAGTATTATAATTATAAGTTACTACTTTCTACTTTTATAAGAAAATACTAGTAGCTTAATACTACTTTTATAAGTAGCTATTACTAGTAAGTTAGCTATAAACTAGCAGTAAGAAACCTAAGTAAACTTACTAAAGAACTAATATAATAATAAATATTTAAGAAAATTAAGTTAGTAGACTAAATAACTATTACTAAGTTTAGCCTAGTTTGTACGCTGTTAATGACGCTGCAAGCCGTCTAGTTTATTAAGGGCAAGCCGAGCATTCGTCATTGTGTACACATTCCGAGCCCCTTATAACGCAGTCTATCTGCATTCTTAGCGTACACTCGTCTCGAGTACAGGTCAAGGTGCTTCCTTCTTGCCGGTCCCCATAGCCGAAATCGTTAACCGGAGGACTGTCGTACTGAGCTGTTACTCTGCAGCTAAAGTCGTAATGAAGTCACTTAATATGTGCGGGCTAGTATAGATCCAAAAACGTCTGACTGCATATACTGTGACGTGTCTAGAATACAAATACAGTCCCCCTCCCGCAGACTCTTCTCCCAGATGCCTCCTCGTATGTTGCACAACCGAGTGTATGCTGCGGACTACCAACGACCCGCTAGGCAGGATAGTGCTCAAAGAGCTGCCGAGTCCCGCATCATGCAAGTCATGTTTCAGCCAAGCATCGTGGAGGCTGTCTTCCCCCTACTTGCGGCCTTCTGTTTAACGCTCTACCTCTTCCTTCATACTGGCCGTTTCCAAACCGGCGCTCGTCTGCCCCTTCCCCCAGGCCCTAAGCCCCTGCCAGTTGTAGGCAACATCCTCTCTTTGCCACCTAATGGGGTACCCGAGTATAAGCACTGGCTTGGATTCAAGGATCGATACGGTCCCATCAGTTCCATCACAGTACTGGGCCAAACAACAATCATCCTTCATGGAAAGCAAGAAGTCCAAGATCTTTTGGAGAACATGTCTACGAAAACCTCGGACAGGCCGCTATCTACCTTTGTCCGCATGACCGGATGCGACAGATACATAACTTTTATGTCGTATAATGCAACATGGCGTCGGCATCGTAAGATAATGCATCAATTCCTCGGGACAGAAAAACTGTCAAGACGGTTTGATGGTGTCCTCGACTTGGAATCGCGTCGACTGCTGCTACGAGTACTGGCCACGCCACAGAACCTTATTCAACACTTCAAAACGTAGGCGAGCCCCGTCTATTTTGAATAATCTACGAGGTTGACAGATTATTTAGGCAAGCATCTGCAGCTGTTTTGCGCTTGACGTACGGCTACGCCATCGAGCCCTCCGGTCTAGATCCCTTGGTCTCGATAATCGAAGAAATGATGGATAGCTTGTCAAAGACTTTCGTACCCCTCTCGTGGACGGTCAACATAATTCCGGCACTGAGGTTTCTGCCCAGCTTCCTACCCGGCATGTCATTCAAGCATACGGCTCGGCGATGGTATGCGATTAACGATTTGGTTACACGCATACCATATCTATTCGTCGCGCAACAAATGGTCAAGAACACCCACCGACCGTCTTTTGTCTCGTCGTTCCTTCAAGACAACATGAAACCAAACGGACAAGCAGTCATTGATGACGACACTGAGCGTGCTATTATGCCAGTAGCTGGAATCATGTACGGAGGGGCCTCGGACACCACCGTATCAGTGCTGAGTGCCTTTGTCCTGGCCATGGTTCTGTTTCCAGACGTCCAGGACAAGGCACAGAGGGAGATCGATGGCGCCCTCGGAGGCCGACTTCCTCAGTTGGAGGACAGAGAAAACCTGCCCTATGTCGCGGCAGTCGTCAAGGAGGCGATGCGATGGTTTCCGATTACGCCGGTCAATGTGCCCCACGCGGCCACTGCGGAGATTCATTATAAAGGATATCGGATTCCCAAAGGATCGTGCCTCATCGCCTCTAGCTGGTGGCTGCTTCACGATCCCGCGACATACGACGACCCAGACTCGTTTAGCCCCGAGCGGTTTCTGGTGCGGAACGAACCTGATCCGGCCGCCGTGGTATTTGGTTTCGGCCGCAGGGTCTGCCCCGGTCGGTACGTTGCTGATAATAGCCTGTTCATAACGGTATCGAGGCTATTGGCAACGTTTACAATTAGCAATGGCGAGGGAGAAGCCACGCTTAAACTGACTTCCGGGCTGATCGCGCACCCAGTAGATTTCCCGTTCAAAATCACACCTAGAAGCCAGGCGCATGCGGAACTAGTCCGGGGCTTGGAGAATGATTGCCCCTGGGAGAAAGGAGATGCCGGGCTTCTTGCAATTTGAACTCCAGAGTCGTGCACAATGCCCGTCGCTTGGCGGGGCAACTTCTGCTCTGGTACTTGTAGGCAACAAGTTGTTTTTTAGTGCGTGGCTGTGGTTTGGAATCAGGCTGTACTCTACGGGCTTTGATGTCAGTAACACTATTCGCATGCCTGGCACATATTTATATTCTCACGGATGAACCTCATGGTGTTGGCTTCAGCCACGTCCGGTTTTGGCGACAGTCTTGCCGTCTGCTAAGAAATACATGGCACAGTAGTGGCAAGAATACCATAAAGTAAAGGGCACTTAAGCTGTCAAACAGCACTACAGCTTACGTGAACGGCGTTCCGGACCAGTGCCCCCGGCCTCCTCATGGGAACGTCGTATTTGGCATGGGAGGTTCTTGGGGTATATGCCTGCGAAAGGTCACCATGACGGGCTGGCCTTTTGGCTATTCTTTTGCGTGCCGCTTAAGAAATGGAAATAAAGAAAGCCAGCCAGGTAAGGCGGTACGACACTCCCCCGCACAAGTCGGCGCCTCTCACTCAGTCGGCTGACATTTAGCGACTGCGCTTCGGATCAGAGCACACTGCAAAGCGAAACGAGTATCGAGTCACAGGGAGAATCGCCGGATATAGTTGCTTATTCTTCGTACAATGTCCGGTCTGAGTGTGGCAAGAATGCCGACGCCGGCCCTGCTTGAGGCACCCAGCACATGTGCTTGTTGCATTGATAGCATTCACCAGCATTGCTATCTTGCTCAATTCTAGACAGACCAAGCAATGTAAAATCAGTGGCATTTCAAAGGAAGAGACGCACAAGGTCTACGGTGACCCTTGGACCATTAGCTACGATAAGCGGTTTGTGAGCAACGTACGCCTCCAGCAGGCTCTCATGTACTTCAGGCCGCACATAGAAGATTGGCAGTACCAGTATCCCATGGACTTTTGCCCCATCTACGACAGCGAGAAGCGTAGAATTATCCACATCAACGTCCCAGAGACGCGGCGCTCGTTGAGGAGGGAGCCTATTACAAACTACTACCCAGCTGACATTGATGTTAAAGGGGGCTACCGCAAGGACCTAAAAGCCCTTGTAATCGTCCAACCAGAAGACCCTTCATTCAAGCTAGATAGCCGAGAAATAGAGTGGCAGGATTGGAAGTTTCAAATCGGGTTCAACTACAGAGAGGGGTTTGTCCTCAGCGACATCCGCTATCACAACAGCGGCACAAGTTGGCCAATCTTCTTATCGCTTGTCTCTAGTCAAGATGGTTGTACCTTAGTAAGCTGGCTGTATTCAAGTGACAAAATTTGAACCATCTGATAATGTGCAGTGGAAATCCAGACCGACCGCATCAGAGAAAGCATGCCTTCGATCTTGGTGAATATAGTGCTAGGTACATAACCAACAGCCTCAATCTCAGTTGCGACTGCAAGGGATGTATCCGCTATCTAGATGCAGAATACCCAACCAGAAAGGTTCCATCAGGCATATTGAACGCGCCACCTGCATTCACGAGGAAGATTCTAGCATCTTATTCAGGCACACCAGCTTTAGGGACGAGTCTGGTTTAGTTACCAGGCCCAGAAGCTCATTGTCCAGCAGGTTTTTACGGCAGCAAACTACAAATATGCTATCTAGGTACGTATCCCTTATTGCGTCATTACGTAAGATCAAAGTTATCAAGCCTAGCTACAGTGCTGTGCAAGTGATGCCCGCTTGTCAACTTACACTGGACTAGCAAGGTGGCACCATACAACCGGAAAACAAGCTGACGGGAATTTTGAACACGTATTCCATCAACCCGGCGAAGAAAGGTGCGGATAGGGCACAGTGGTGTTTCCAGGTGTGTTGTCAACGCCTTTCTAGAAGGCGCTCCTCAGAACCTGACCTTGTCAAACCAAAGGCGTGAATGCGCACAGCTATCAGCATCTTTTCTGTATTAGGATCAACGCTAGTGTCGACGGGCCGCAAAACTGTTGCACCAAAAAGCGGGCGTGGCCGCGCCACATTGATTGGTGTACTTAATGTCCCCTATATACTGCGACAAAAACACAGTCTATATGACGGATGCCGGAGCCTCTGTTGGGAGCCCGATGAATCCTACGGCAACGCATTTCATGCCAAGACGACGAATCTCGCCACTACCGGGCAAGCCAAAACTGACTACCAAGGGGCGACGGCGAGGTCTTGGGATATTTGCAATACCAAGTAGATCCATCCTTTTAGTAAAAGCCCAGCCAGCTACAAGCTTATGAGCCGCGAGGTTCCGCACCTGCTACCAAAACCCGGATCACTTGTATGGAAACGAGCCGGCTTTGCGAGACACGCAGTCCACGTGACGAAATATCTGCTTCTCTCACCTTGTTTTCTTTTCTTTTTTGGCTTTCCATAAAGTCCAACATGAAAAGACTCACAATAGCCTGGTTTTCATTATGCTACGGAGCGCCCTTTTCCACCGCAGCGCAGTTCATTGCACATCGCCATTATATACTATCAGAAACATATTACCTGCCGAGAGGAATCCAACCTTGAAATCCGTCATGTCCGAATTGTGCGCTCTCGACAGCATATCTGAGCAAATACCCAAATTGCTCAATTCACGATGGGGTAAAGGCCCCTTCATCCTGGCACATCAGGACCTACGGCGTGGCAATATTATTATTGACGAGGACTTTTGTATAAAAGGCATTATCGACTGGGAACTCACTGGTCCCGTTCCGCGGCAGCTGTTCACGCCACCGCCATCGATTACCGGACACGACGCCGACGATACAATGGATGAGAGAGCCAGGGCAGCAGCTTGACATCTGAATTCTTCAGGGTTCTGGAGAGGGCTAGGAAGTCCTGCCCCAGCATAGCAATATTGCCGGAGGACTCGGATGCACAGCACACGGTCTTGTTAGCCATGGCCCAGATATTACGCCACCCCTCGAGTCTCGAGGCAGTCTACTACAAATTCATTTTCCCGACACTGTTCAGTGCCGACGCTGACCAAGTTATCTCTGATGCTTGCGAGACGAGCACTTTGTTGACCGAGGCTGGAGACTACTTGATGAATCTAAGCGCTACACACAATATCTGGACGACCGAGGGATACTTAACTAAATGTATTCAATAACTGAATCTCTAGAAAAGACAGCGGCTCCGCATGAACAAGATAGAGCTATGAATCAAGCTACTGGAGAGTTTTTGGAAGCCGATCCTCCCGGTGCAAGTCATGCAACCTTAAGTACAAGCCCTGACTCATGGCCCTTGTCTCCGCAAGTTCCTTGCGAAGGTTCGATATCCGGGTGTCCCAACTAAAGATGCCTGGCAGCCGTCTGTTATCTCTAGACTTTGAGGCTCTCCTGCCGAGCTGTAGCTTTGTTGTCTCAGCTGTTTCAGTGAAGTCCAAAAAGTTCTGCGCCGTTTGTTCTTTTTGCTGGATTTGTTGCATCACTTCGCTGATTCTTTCCTGGAGGTCTCGCGAAGCCATATTGCGGACGGTCTGCTACTAGGTATCTATGGTAAACATAATGGCAACAAAATAGCTCTGACAGGTAGACCAACCGTATAGCTCGCGAAAGAGTTTCAATAGGCTGAATGGGCATTGCTTGCGGTGGTGGGTGCGGAAGAGCTGTATATCAATGAAGTACTAAAAGTGAGGTCCAGGCACACGGGAATTCCAGGTCAAGCAGCAAGTTTGCCACGGGTTAACCCTAAGTCCTACCAGAAAATCAATCAGAGCATCTCAATTCGCTAAATGTAAATTCTAACCAGCATGAGCAGTCTTGTAACGGAACTTCACGCAAATGAGACGGAATAGACTGTAGTTACAAAGCCTGCAAGTATGTGAGTCTAGCTTCTCATTTATCTTGTCGGCCAATAACGCCGGATTGTGCGTCAAGTTATAGAATTATTTCGTTAGCCACTTTGGTGGATATGGAGACCGGCAACAGCGGCGGTGACGGGCCAAGCTTGCTTTTACTTCGAACAAACCAGGCTCAGTGCCACAATGGCAGGCAGTGAGTCTACAAGAAGTTTCTTGAGAATTAGGCGACTACGCTCGTTATGTGAGCCCAGTAAGGGAATATATCATAAACTGTGTTTGGGCTGTCGCTGCTGTACACTATTCATTTCAGATTCGCAGGGAGCAGTCGTACGGTCAGGACAACAAAGAGTAATCCAAAACATTGGGAAAAAAACCTCTAGAGCACGACTTAGGAGAAATGGCCGTCCCTCTGCTCTGCTAGTCGTCTAATTGAACAAGATCATCGCCTTGGCAAGCGAGCGCAGCGCAACCAGAGACAGCAATGACAACCAGACAGTGAAGGGATGTCAGTTTGACAGAGTCATTGTTTCTCCAATCCCTTGTAACCATGTTCTCATATATAGAGCCTTGACTCCATGCAACCATGTCAGGTGGAACGAAATTTGTCAATATAACTCAAGTATTTGAGTCGAGTTCTGCAACGAATTTTTTCTCTTTTGTTTTCCAACATGCGTGAGCAACGGCGGTGTAAGAGTCAACTTACATCTCTAGTACGAATCATACCTAGAGAGCTGAAGCGGCCATACCTGACAACAAGACTAATTTAACGTCTTTATTTGACGTGTATATTTGACGTGCTGACTGCCACCAGACATCGTCGCTCGGATCGAAGCTATTCGTTAACGGTGTCCTGATGTCTACCACCACGAGACTTGTAGGGCAGAATGGTAAACTACAAGAAGGTATAGTTTCAATGGTTGTAAATTAGGTGACCCAGGACACCCAAGTTGGGGGATATTCTCAGTAAAAATACATTTTCAGCTCTTGTATAGTTCTTATCCTCGCGTAATTACTCGCTTGTTCTAATAATAAGGCCCTTGATAACTTCTATAAAATGAAAGATTTTTAGCCTCCAGGCCTCGTAAAAATCAAGCATGTTTAACAGAAAAGACACTACTCATAGTTGAACCGAGTTGACTCCAATCTCTCGGCTGGAATCCTGTCACCGGTATGAGAAATAGCCTAGTCTACTATCAAGGGTATATGGATGAAAAGCCTCATGTATGGCAATACGGAGGGCTGGCCGTGATGATAGCTGTGGTCCACTCAAGAAAAGTTGCGGCAGAGCACTACTTGGGATCGCATGCAGGTTTTTATTTTTAACTCCGAGATTCTCGTGCGTAAATATCGCCGCTATGGGTTGAGCTGCTCAAGTGCCTAGGTAATATATGTAGGGCACCTAGGACCTAGGAGGAGGCAAAGACACAACATACAGGTCGTGTTGTTTGCTAGAATGTCTTGCTCTCACTCTGCTGGGACCTACCAATCATGCGACGTAGATGAAAGGAACGTTGAGGCCAAATGCCAGATGTTTTATTTGGCCTATCTCACATGTACCGTATCTTGATACTGCATTGTGGCATGGTAACCCGGATGAAGACATATACAACAGCGTGTCAGTCCTCCCTACGTGCCGTGAGAAGTTCATCTTAGGATCCTCTACGGTCGTCTCGTACATTTCCTGTAACAACGACTGGATCGCAGTGGTGGGCGATGTCAGGGCTTAGGCAAAAGCCTCAAAGCCACATATAATACCGTATGGCCCTTACGTCTTTGGTTCTTGGACTTGAAAGACCCGACCAACCAGGGCTATATGTACAAGAAGATGCCTATGTGTAAAACCTGGCCCGAATGACCGAGGCATCAAGGGGTCAAGAGATGCTAACCCTTTGTGCCTAGATGCCCGGGCCCGCGAGTGGCCTAAGGGTATTGTGATAGCTGCAACGCTTGTGCATTGCAGCTAGTCATTTGGTTGAGGCTCTCACCGCAAGTTCCGTGTAGCACTAGATGAATACGAGGCGAGCGAGCTTTGGTTGGAAGCAGATTCACCAAGGACTAGCCCTTCGGATAGCTATTTTGAGCCTAATCAAGCAGCATCTCCGGGGGATGGATCACATCCTGTTGGATGATCCTGGAGGGCGGTTTCAGCCACAGCCATTATTGCATCTTTCGGGCTCCTCAAGTTGACACGCCAGGTTGGACCTGAAATGGTATCATGCAGTCATACGATAATAAGAGGAATGAATCGCTTTAGGTATTCCGCTTAGTGGTTGACAAAAATCAGCTTGCCAGTAGATGGGAGGACGATGTGAAGCCTTACTACGATGCTTTTGTAGAATGAGTTTTGAGATTCGTCAAGCTGTCGGCCGGCAACAAGCCGCGAGTCAATGGGGTTTTCAAAGCAGAGTAAACATTGGGTCACATAAGGAGCCTCGTGATGACTTTGTAGCTAGTTAGGTTAGTAGTAATAACTGTATTAATCTCTAAGCCTCCTTCTATCTAAGTATGAAATTCTCCCCGTTGTATATATAGGCTCCTTAGGTGCTAGTTTGCTGCTAATTTAGTGGCTGTCACGCTGTTGAATTAAAGGTGACTGTGCCCCACGCCTCCAACCGCTTAGACGGGCGTTGGGTCTCTGACACCGCGAACAAATTTTGGGGTTGTTAGAAGTGGTAGGCCAACTGGCTCTTGATGAAGGTAATTACACCGAACATGTATGCATATCTCTTTGAGCAATGAGTTTGAACTCAGAATTAGGAGTGGCAAGCAAATGTGACAGAAAAATCGAGGAAATTGACGTGTCAATGTCCGTAACGCATAAACAAGTTGTATTTCCCTCCCCAGACCGTTCCATCAACTTTCAACAAAAGGCGTCGGGCCACCGTGTTTTACAAACGAGTCATGAGGCTTTTTCAGGCCGAGGCCTTCAATCCAAGCAGAGATCTCATGTTTTCATCCTGACCGCTTCTTTAAATGTCCGGGAACTTCTGGTCATCAGGCAGAATCAAGGACCTTTGATATGTCAAAGTCCATTTTGAATTGACCTTGAATTCAATCATTTCTCCGAGCCCTTGATTGAGCCCTTGACCGAAATTCATCAATTCTGGTGACTTGAAAAGTCAGAGTATATATTGCTAACAAAAGTACAGCCTCACGACATGCACCTCCCATGGGTGAGGAATATCATGTGGCTACTCTATGTCTGTTTTGGACTATGCTCATATCGCTTCGAAATAGCGACTGCAGGAATTGGACGCAAGACTGAGTACCCGCGTTACATTGCTAAAGCAAGCGCACTTTATTGATCACAGGCATCAACACATTGCATGTTGTTACCCAAGGGAGTCTACAGTCCGTACTTTCTCGGTGTCTTTGCCAAGGTGTACCTCTCACAATCGACTCGTCATGTCGGCCCGAAACTACTCAAGATCGCAGATCCGGTCATCAAATGTTCGACGGATCGGCACTGCCAACAAATACACGTACACTGCAATAACTGCCAATAAGACAGAATCCCCTTTCACGTGATGGGTCGTCAGAAAAGAAAGGGCTCATATTGCCCCTTGTTAATTGTCTGTCATGGATTCCTTTTTGAGAGTGTTCTCAGAGAATTATTATTTTTTCGTGGTCTGGAACAATTCTATATGTAAGGATGGGCTGAGCAAGATAGGAATACATAGCTAATAGATCTAGCCAAGACCCAAAAGACAGTGTAGAAAGCATTTCAACCCTGATGCTACGGCAATATAATGTAGGAAGCAGTTTCTTGATTGTTTCCTCTTTGACTACGACAAATTTTTATGCACAATTAGCAATTAGCCCAAATGACATATCCTTCCTCGCCACGCAGATTCTTTGCCTTGAGCGTATTCCAGCCGACAACCAACCGCTCTGGGGCAAGAGCAAGCTAGATATATTATCTTCATTGTCCTTCGGCGCGCTCCAAGTTCCTCAAAAGTATCCATCACCTTGGGTCGATTTGCTTGTCGATTGGTCCACTACCAGTGATCTGGGTGACTTGGCAACTCAGATTTTAGGCTGGCATGATGGCTTTCCCCCCGTGAGACTAAGCTTGCAGAGTTGGTCATGACCGCACTCTGCTGCAGTCTAAAAAATGAGGGGCTCACTTAGCTCAAAACCGCAATGGAGGGCTGGGATTGACTTACCTCCCACCTACGGCTCTTGTTGCAGATAATCTGAGTCGGGACGTTTGTATTAGGATTCATTCCACACGCATGCATGCCTGGAGTGCATGTCTCAACGAGGTAGCCATCCCTTATTGCTTCCCGGACCTTCATGCTCAGCATGTACTGGGTCCCATGACCGACCTGCCCGAACCACGGCGCAGCAGGCCCGGCCTGTACTGGTAGATCTTTGACTACTTCATAGATATGGAAGTTGTAAGGGGTTCCACTATGATCAGTTAGAATCTATACTGATGTTTGATCTGAACTGGACCTGACAAATACTCACTCCGAAAATCTTGGGTCTGTTGCCAAATTTTCCGGGGGCAGTGACCGCTGCTCGTAAGGGGTGCCGTATGGGGCCACAAAAGTGCCTCTGTCGGACCCAAAACGGTCCAGTATCGTTCTCGGAGCGAGTATCATTTTCTTCTTAACGGGTTTCCCATGAGAATCGACATCGAACCCGTCTTGTGCTGGATATTTGTACCCTGCCCCTTGACCGTATGCCCGCAGGAATTCATCGGGGCACGTCCCAGGAAAGGGGTTGTAATTGCGGAGTATAGGACCGACGACGGCGTTTTGGCGGATCTTATTATTTTGGAGGTCGACCGGGCCGAGACGATTATCGCCGCAGATGTACTGGCTCGACGACACAACCTTGCTGTTCACGCCGCCGCATAGATTTTTGGCACATCGCGCTGCAACCGTAGTTACCACTCTACTTGGTGGTGATGGGCTGGCAGACGCCAGCAACATCAGGGAGAAGGAAATGACTGAAGTAATTAGGCGCATGATGGACGGCGACTCTAAGCGCGATACTTGTCTGATGGCAAACAATGGTGAAATGCAAGCTTGCGACAAGATGATGCCTTCTGGATACAATTGGGGGAGCGACTTGGTCCAAACTGAGCTGATTTCCCCTACGTATTTATATAACCGATCCCTTTGTTGGCTCGTCTTCTCCGTGGGCTTCTCCTAGCCTTGAGCAACGAGCCTTGAGCTCGTGATCGTCTGCCGTACTGTTGGCTCTACGCGACACAATAACCCCGGACTGCATTCCTACGATGTAGTTTAAATGTGGTCTAGTTGCATTTTTCCAATTCCACATGCCAAGCCTCTTGGCTCGGAGTATATTATATGGATTATTGCTCTACTTTGACTTTATCAGGTCACTCGCGGCACAGATTTCTTGGAGCACCCGGCTTGGCAAATAAGGAGACGAAATAGCAGGGCTATTTCGAGTTCATTCCCGATATTGCTTTCTTGCCCGATGGACTTTGCCAACTACCAGCCAAATAGAGAGCAGACTGCGCCAAGACACCCGATATGAACAGCATGATCCTGGGCAGTCTTAGTTCAGCAACTGCTGCTCTTTTCGTATAGAATATCAACATTGTTAAGGTTCCCAACTTCCCAGGCCCTGACAGCCCAGGGGTTCAACAGATAGCCCGCTTACACACGAGTGGAGATTACTGATGCGGAGCGGCGGCCCATTGAACGGCGAGGGTCGGAGCAAAGTAGTGGAGAGTCTTGAGATGTGTCAATCTTTTAACGAAACGCGCCTATTTGCATATGAGGTCAGAAGTGCCAAGAAATTTGCTCAAGCTCCCAGCCCCTGCGCCTTACATGTCCGGGAGCATAGCTGCGGAGTCCCGGAATCGAAACTAGGGTCGTATGCGGCTGAGTGGCCTGGGGATTGAAACCTGGGAGTAATATATCGAGGTCGATAACCGCACGCCATGTGGCCTCTTATTCATCTGTTTTCAGGCATATCCATGCTGGGCTCTCCATCTAGGGAATCTGACAGAGCCTCTTCCACGGTATTTGGAAGCGTGGTGGATACAGTAACCTCACTCGCCAGAAGTAGACATGCATATATTTGCGTAACACATGGATGAGCTCAGTTACATGAGCCTTTAGAAACGCTGTGATTAGTTGCCAGTCATAGCATACTCGCCGTGGCTGCATGCTGGCAAACTGTCGCGTGCTACATTCCGTTGGTCTCTGGGGTAAGAAATTTACCCATGTTTCTGTAAAAGCATGAAGCGGGTCTTTTCAACTTTTTACGACCAGACATCTCCTTCGGTTAGCATCTGACTTGCTATAGAGAGCAGACTAGCCAATCAAACCAATGAAGCGTTCATCAGGTGATGCCCATGTCCCGCCGAATGATGGAGACTGCATAACAAATTTCGATACCCATGCAATATTTGATATAGGTACATGTCGTCGCGGGCAAAGGTGGGCAAAGGTGGCTGTGGACCCAGCTATATGTAATATATTTACTGCTTGACGTTAGAGAGGCTACTTGGTTGGCAAGATAAGAACAGAAAAGGCATACAAACCCCGTCCCGATGACAATATCCACCACGAAATGGTCTAAAGCTCTAACTGATGACCGCATGGTTATAGCTCTATCGTCCTATACTTTTTTAGGACGTTGTCACTTATCACTACTCATAGCCATGTAGTGGCAGCACGAGATGTGTAAACAAGGGCTGGTCTCAGTGATCAGGGATGGGAGCAAAGAACTTATATCCACATGTAATATCGTATAGTCTCAAAGGCCCTTGATTCCTCTTATCTGACAGACCCGACCAATGAGGGCTATATATACAAGAAGATGCCTGTGTGTGTAACCCGACTAGATGAATGAGACATCACATCAAGGGCTTGATGCCTCATGCCTCTGTGCCCTGGACCCCAGGCCCGCGAGTGGCCTAGAAGGGCAGAGTGATAGCTGCAACCTTTGTGCATTGCAGCTAGTCATGTAGTTGAGACTTGACCGCATGTTTCCGCATGTTTAAGCCACCGATCCAGATAACAACAGCCAGAAACCTCGGCACAATTTTCAGGTAAAGATGGCTCTCATGGACGACTTGGCTGGCTAATATTTCCGGGACTTGATGTTTCAGTCACGGCTGCACGCACGTTTAACAGCGGCGTGATGATGAACGAGGCCAATTTTGGTGTCACGGGGGAGGCTCAAAGTTTCGAGCATAGGGACCTAGGATTTCCATCAAGTATACTATGGCAAGCACTTGGATATGAGAGCATTATATTAGTGTTCTGACAAATATTAGGTATTCAGCTGGTCTTGCAATTACGCCAATTCTTGTTTCCCCCCTTGGGGCATCCAATCTTCATTCAGCATTGTGCTTGACGTGAGGGATCCTAGACTTGAGTCGCTGGTGCAGTTCCATTATGACCAGGCGCGGCAGTCGTTGCGGCTGTCCCTGAATTTCGGGTTCCAGAAGAGCCCGGTCGTTCTTTTGATACGACGTTGCTTTCTCGGCGCCTGTTGTGGAAAGCTCTCATTAGGAATGCCTCGATTATGATGTTGCAGATCAAAAAGAAACTGCGCCTCTATGTCAGCTTTATCTCTCTTTCACAGACCCTTGTGGGCTTCGCAGCGTACAAGGCAATAAAGTTGAATGCTTCCACAGCTCTCTTCCTCCCACACCTGTTTGTACCCAAGGCAGCCTCTCGACAAAGAACACCGCTCCAGTCAACGGCAGAGAATATGAATGAGGTTAACCAAAGATAGGAAAAGATGAAGTTGATGGGGAGAAAGTAGCCCTCGTAACTGCTAAAAACGGGGCTAATCATGGCGAGCAAATATACCGGTATCGTGATGACGGCCTGCATCGCGCGGTATTCAGCCAATATGCACTTGACGAACAGAGTTCTCATACATACAATGACTTCCTGATACACTATGTGTGCACCTCTGAAGCGGTATTTGTTGAGAAACCATGATACTATCCCCGTGACGATGACGGCGGAAGCAAAAACCATGAAATGGCAGAATGCTGCACTTCCCCTCAAGGCTCCGTGTACCATTGTAAAGGCGTCTTCGATGGAACGGGTACGTGTAGTGATTGGAAGATGTGACGGGCAAGTAAGCTGGCAAATGGGATGGTCCGTCTCCCAACTCTTTATACCTCCCATCCGCCGAGCATCCGAGAGAATCCGTTGGAGTATGGAGTGTGACATTGGTCTACAATTCATTATTCGCCTTGGTCATGGAGTCGAGACCAGTCTTTCCATATTTTCTAACGGCCCACAGCCAATAGTCGAGAAAACCCAGCGCCGTCATTCTAGAGGAGGTCGTAGCTGATGCAGTTGCATGAGCCGTCAGTGACGTAAGATCCGGGAAGCTTCAAGCCAAAGAAACTTTGGTGGCAGTCAAATCCATTCCGTCACTGGGCGAGCGTTTCTGCGGCGCCTTACGTTGGGTGCCATCAAGCCGCCCCCGCGTCAATTTTTGCTGCCGTCCAACTTTGCTTCAGGCAAGCCACGCTCTGCGGAGGTGAGAGAACATACCGGCCAGCATGAGGTCGGTTAGACAAACATACCAGTCCTTGGGCCCACGGAACACCCGGAAATTCAGCTAGACAAATAGACACTGAAAGTTCGCACAATTTTACCACTGCTGTGCGAGACCGAATCTCTCACGGCTCTCTTTGGCCTCTACACGTTCAAACATGCTACAGATCACGAAGTGCGTCAACTCCGGCAGCATTTCCCGCTATCAACAGCCAGCCACCAAGACATTGTGTTTTTACAGTAATCATGCGTGAAATCATTTGCTACAGCACATTTTGTACCATAAAACACCGCAATGTCAAACAAAAGCGATATCGCTGCAGATACCTTCTTCTCGACCGATCACGTGGACGCCAATTGAACTGTCCGTCTTAGCGGCCGATCACGTGGTCGCTCTCGGTATATCTTGACCGTCGGCATGCCTTCCGATGCCCAACGGTCCAGACCGACTGAAACGCTGAGATGCAGATGACTTGGCAGTGGGGAGTCGGGATGCATAGTATTTATTTATATCACGGCGTGAAAGATGATCCCTTTGTGTTTAGAGACATGCCTATATATATTATACACCATCTGACGAGGCTGACCGTTGCCGACTCCAACCAAACGTACCATCGAACTTGCACTTGAGAGAAAAAAAGAGATTACTCCAAATGTCATCATTCTTTTTCAAAAGTTACCTCGGGTTTGGAGGAAGCCCTGCGGTGGATGAGCTTGAACGAGGAAAAAACCCAATTCGCGCCCTGCCAGCCAGCTGGTACACCTCGCCAGACCTCTACGAGCTTGAAAGGCGGGCGATTTTCTCCAAGAGGTGGCTCCTTACCACTCACAAGTCGAGGCTTATGAAACAGGGTGACTGGTTAAGGTACGATGTGGCGGGCTTTCAATTTATAATCACTCGCGACCGACAGGACAACATCAACGCTTTCCACAATGTTTGCAGACACAGAGCTTTCCCCATTGTGACCAAAGAGACTGGCCACAACAGTGTGCTTGCCTGTAAATACCATGGCTGGTCGTACGGCTTGAACGGCAAGCTGGCAAAGGCCCCGGGGTACCAAGACATGGAGGACTTTGACAAATCCAAAAATGGCCTGTTTCCTCTTCATGTCCACATCGACAAAAATGGATTTGTCTGGGTAAACATGGATTCGGGTGCTGTGCCCGAGGTTACCTGGGATCAGGACTTTGAAGGGGTCGACGAGCAGCCGCGATTCAAGAGTTACAACTTTGACGATTACGTCTTCGACCACACCTGGGAGATGGAAGGAGACTACAACTGGAAAATCTTGGCCGACAACTACAATGAGTGTTACCACTGCAAGACGACTCATCCCGATATCCCAACCATTGCAGACTTGAACTCGTATTACGTCGAGACAAAGGGCTGCCATATCCAACACTTTGGAAACCCGAAGCCGGAACAAATCGCGCGTGGGCTCAACGTCGCCAGCACATACTTTTTCCCCAACGCCTCCATGAATGTCTCGTAAGTGTACACTGGCAAGTTTTTTGGCGCCCCAGATCAAATACTCACTTTTCTGTTCAAGGCCACACTTTTTCTTTATGCAGAGATTTGTCCCCCTGGGCCCGAGCAAGGCGGTCATGAAGTACGAAGTCTACAGAAACAAAACTTCGAGCGACGAAGATTTCAAACTCATTGATGACATTTACAAGCGAATCATGTCCGAGGACAAGATTCTTTGTGCCAACGCCCAGAGGAACATCAACATCGGCGTGTTTGTGAATGGGGAAATGCACCCCAAGATGGAAAAGGGCCCTCTATATTTTCAGAAGCTGGTGCGAGAGCTCTTGACGGAACACCACCAACTAGAGACGGAGGTGGGCGAGGAAATATGGCCAGCGCGTCAGACCCTGCCCAAGAACGCCGTGGCTACGGAGAGGGATATCAACTTTTGCTCAGCGGTCGACTGCTGCAAGATCAACAGGGTGGTTGTGGAGGTGTAGGGGCAGTTCACGTGCCTCTGCCAAGGGTTCCCTTCAAATTTTAAATTTTTTTTATTTCTTTTCTAATTTAGCGCTGACGAGGAAATGACTACATGTTGCTGCTCAAAAGCAGGAATCTTGAGCCCAGTACGTCGGTGAGATACGTGGTGCTGTGTTGGCCAGAGGTGTAAGCGGATCAAGATTCGGTCTAATGCCACTATACCCGACATGTTTACTTGAGCTTCTCGGGGCTTTCAAAAGGGGGAGTTTGGCTGGGAAGAGACTTGGTGGTCCGAAGACTGACCCAACCTCCGCCACACAAGTCCATACGTCACCATGACCTTGACTGTTACCTAAGAGAAAGATTTCCGGGCCCCCAGGCTGACAATCCATTGTCTCGGTAGAACCGTGACAGTGAACACAAAGCCCGTACCAGGGAGTTCCTACGCAACAGGCAGTCAGCGGCAATAAAAGTATGAGTACGGACTCCGGATAGAAAAACAAGAAAAGCCTTGGCCGTACACCCCCCACCCTTTGCATAGCTCCGTCCCTGCACGAATTGCTGTGCGTTGTCATGTGTTGACAATACAACACATCAGGCAAACGCTACCGGAGAACAAGTGGCGCCTCCTTTATCGGCCCAACGTTTTAGGCTTGGTATCGTGATCCCCCGCACTTTTAAACCTGACTGAGACACGCAGCTCCATCCCTATCAATGATCACGGTGTGGTGACGGTGTGGTCCACCCATAAAAGACCCGTCACCGTGGCGATAAGCCATCATGCGTACGTGAGCGTCTGCAAGAGCTGTGCCTGGCCGCGAGCTGGTGGTTGTGACATCTCTCAACGACAGACTTTGCGGGCTGTCGTGGCCGGTGAGCCAGCTTTGGCAAACACAATGACGCCGCCAGAAGAGAGTTTTGGAGCTGCCGCTCGAGGGAGACGGAGGTCACATTATGCCTGCCTCACTTGCCGGTCCGTTCCGCCGCCGAGAGGAATGACTTGTTGCATCTCCCACGGATCCCTCTGCTGACGTTGCGAGAACAGGAGGAAGAAGACGCGGTGTCCCGCTGAGAAGCCTGCCTGCTCCAGCTGTGTTCGCCTCAAACAGCCATGTTCTTATCCGCCTGCTGCAAAGGCATCTCGGAGTGGCCGTTCGGTACGTTTCCTTCCGCCCGGAAATAATGCTGAGATACGAGTCCACGAAGCACCGACATCTGACAGGCCAAACCGGTAGGAGGAGAGGTTGGCGCACCTTGAAGAGAAATTGGATCTCCTCTTGACTAGGAGGTTGTACAGACTAGGTCCATGTCACGTTCAGTGTTCAGATCTGACCAGATTCCCAAAGGCCGAGCCATACCTCGGGTCAAGACCAGCTGCCCGACGACATATCCAGCTTCTCTGAAAAGTCTCACTCTGCTACGCCTCCGGCTCGAGAGAAACGGCCTGCACCTGCACAAGCATTCGGCAGCCAACAATCGTCGACCCCCTTCGAAGCTGAAATCGACCACCTTCGACCGACTTCATCCGACATCGGCCTTGGCATTCGGCTCTACTTTGAGTTTTGCCATCGGCAACCGATCTGGTGCTTCGAGCGAGACGAGGTTGGAGATACCAGTTCGCTCCCCGACGAGCTTGCTTGCAGCATCCTGGCTGTGACGTCTCGCTTCTCCAGGAAAGGCGACGAGCTGCAGGTCTATGGTGATAATGCCAGAAGCATGATCATGGTCCGCATAGCCAGCGGATCCGTCGGTCTTCCTACGATAGAGAGCCTTTGCCTCCTCTCTTATTCGTCGTTTATAGGTACAGCCAACGCATGGCCGCAACCAATCTCCCACTGTGGCTAATAGTAGCGATTTTCTCCAGATGGAAACGTTCATCTCGGCCAATTCTATCTTGGGCTAGGTCTCCAACTGTGCCGATCCGCAATGCTGGATCTGGACGCCGGATACACGATGGACGATCTCACGTTAGAGCGCAAGAAGAGAGTTTTCTGGAGCCTACAGGTTCTCGATCAGTATCATGGCCGTCAGACTGGGGCCCTCAGCATGCCAACAGAGATATGGCGCCAGTCATACGGATCAAGCGGTGTTGATCATCGTCATCCCATGGAGCTGGACGCCAAACCTCCCCCTCTGCCCATCGACAATGTTGGCCACACGGTTCCCAGCGAACCCGGCATCTGGAATACAAGTGTCCATCTCGGCTGGGTCTGGAGTCGTGTGCGGAAATACGTCTCGGACTGCGCTCATGGAATTTTCCGGGAACCTTGGCGGCGGGATTCCATGTATGCCACCGTCTTGTCGGACTTTATGGAGGCGGAAAATAGGATTCCAATGTGTCACAGGTACGACTCGGTCAAGTTTGTCGAGCGCAAAATGGAAGATCTCAAGGTGAATCGCGACTACTGGGTAACATGGTTGAAGGAGCAGTTCACATACCATGCCATACCGACAGTCCTCAACCATCCTTTCCTCTATATTGTTGGTGCTCAGCACAACGCAAACCTGGCCATTCCGAATACGTTTTGGAGGCGGTCGTCGGAATTGGCCTTGATCCATTCCACCTGGATCGCACGAATGATCGACATGGTGGTGATTAAACAAGTGCCCCTGACGGATCCTTTCTTCGGGCACATTGCAGCCATTGCAGCCACGGTGCATCTGTATTACTGTTGCGCAGCCGCGGCCAAACTGAAGCACAAGTCTAACACGGACTTTGCCAAGTGCAGAAGGTTTCTAAAGGGCTTCATTCCTTTCTCGCCGGCATGCCGAGCATTGGTATATCATTCCCCGCATACGTGTATTCACAGAACATCATACCGCAGCTAACAGGTATTCAACAGGACCGAAACCTGGACAAGATGACTAGTATTGCCGCGGGCTCCGAAGTAAACGATGTCGAAGATTGGATGCCATCCAGAATCTACCTCAGCGTGCCGCTGATGTGGAACATTCTGCGGTTCAACTGTACCGCAGACTCGAGGGAGTTCTCCCACACCGGTCTGCTGGACCCGTCGCTGGCCCTCACCGTCGCTCACGAAGACGACGACGACGACGCAATGATGCTAGACATTATTGTGGCCACGTCGCCCGAAATTACAGTCAATACCGCCGACGGCGGTCAAGACGCGCCCACGTTGCCCTTCAAGGGAACGGTCAACTCGTCGCCAAGCTCGTCGCGAGAGACGGCCTTTAATGAGATATCTGCCGAGCAGGCGGATAGCCTTACCTTCAACACGACTCCCTGGCTATATGCCGATCCTCCTCAGTTCAGTGACATGACAGTCCTTGTTTATGACGAATCGCAGCCGAGCGCTGGCAGCGGCAGTAGCACGGCGTGGTGGGAAGGGGGGGGGCCCCAACGACGGTATTTTCAGTCAGATTTAGCGTGTACTTTGAAGCGTGCAAGTAACTAGATGCGGGTTTCATCTCGATGGGCGGGTGTTCGTGTACAGTCTCCTACCTCGCGGCATTTGAAGTAGAGTAAATTGAAACTTGACGTGAACAGGTGCTATGATGCGCCAGCAAGGTGAAAGCACTGCCATCTACTCACTTACCATTGCAGCTTTTTTGTTTTCACCATCGCCAGCCATGATTAGTTTCTGGTTTCTTTGAGCCTTTTCTCCTGAATTTTGCCAGCCTACATTCTATCCAGCCCGCTCGTTTGTGCTGCCTCATGAAAAGAGGCTACATGAACCCGCAGTCACCAAGATGATGCGTTGCGCCCAACCAGACTTCACTAGCGTCGGCCTTGCGCCCTTCCCCTTTGCCATCATAGGGGGCTCTGGGAAGGACGGGGGGCATGGCCGTCCCTGGAGCTGAGAATCGCAGTCGCTCCAACTTCAAGCCCTGGCCGGCCGCCGGCGTCGGAGCTCCATGATATCATGTCTTGGACATGTCGGGCTTGCAGCAGGTTCCCCAAAAACGGTAACCACCCGACATCCCCTGCAGCCGGCGTCGACGAACCACGAATTACCAGTGTTACCCTCTCCCTTTATCCCATGTGCTCGCTCGCCTTGCTTCCTTGGTTCCGGCACACGTCGCTGTGATCCCGGAGCTTGCAGCACCTCCACTTGCGTATCAGGACTTGAGAGCCAGGACTGACTTTACGAATTGATGTACTCCGTACTCCGTATGCACGTTCGTACAAGCGTGACGTGCATGATGCTTATTGCTGATCCATCATGGCTGGTTCCTGTCCACCTTCCGGCCCAACCTGCCAACCTGCGCCCATAGCACAGAGCACGGACCGAATCAATACGATTATTATGCTACATCAGCCCCCTTCGTCCTCGTCCGGGGCAGCATGGCAGTATCGGGCACATGGGGTCGGGACATTGGCACACCCCTCCCGTGCGAGCTGCGCCGATACAAGGCCGCCATGGTCATCGTCAACGTGTCAACGAACTGTGCAATTCCACCCTCACCTGTGACTCGAGCCACATGACCATGTCGAGACCATCGCAGCGTAAGCCAGCCCGGTTCTAGAACGTGACGGGCCGCTCTCTCTCCGACGCCAAGGCCTCAGCAGCGGTCAGGCCTAGTAATGCGCTATACTGAAATTACACTCGGGCAAAGCCAACTTTTGCACATCTTGATTATTATTCCAAGATTTAACATGATTAACACCAGGGCGTAAAGGAGGTTTTGGTTTGGGGGCCTCATGCAAGGGTGTGCTGTTGCTGTTCCATCGGGGACGACAAGCCACCCAATCACGTTGCTTCTCGGGATATTTAACGTGACCCGGCGAAGAAAAGGACTTCGGTACTTCATTTGGTGTCTTGAAAACGACAAGAATCAAGTTGACGGGATGATCGCCGCCGCCACCATCTCAGAAGCGCCAGAATGCTGTAGAACCTGATCAAGCTCCGACGCCCTTTCGATTTCGAGAGATGGCGCCTCGATAGAGCCCGGCCTGCGATACCGTCATTGAGACGTGGACGACGGGAACGGCACGGCATCGTCGCGCGGAAGCCGATCACGTGATCGTCATTTATCTCCAAACTACACCGTGCTGGTTCCAATCCCGGCACGCAAAAAGCGTCGATAGCTCGGTATATGTATACACTGAGACTGTACTGCAGACGAGATGGAATAGATCATTGGAACTTGGACCTGTCGGTTGACTCGACTACGTTTGCGATTTTGTCACGACTCGGCCTGAAAGCGAGTTACGAGTCACAACCATGGCGGTGACTGCGAATCAACCGCGCGTCGTCATTATTGGCGCCGGCATAGTCGGGGTCAATCTGGCCGACGAGCTGGTCTCGCGCGGCTGGAGCGACATTACCGTCGTGGACCAAGGGCCGTTGGCCATGCCCGGTGGCTCGACTTCGCATGCCCCGGGCCTGGTGTTCCAGACCAACGCGTCCAAGACGATGACACTGTTCGCAAAGTACACGGTGGAGAAACTCCTGACATTGCAGCAGGGTGGGCAGTCGTGCTTCAACCAAGTCGGTGGCCTTGAGTTGGCAACCACGCCTGAGCGACTCGAGGAGCTCAAGCGGAAGCACGGCTATGCCTCGTCCTGGGGAGTTGAGGCCCGTCTAATCACGCCTGACGAGTGTCTTGAACGGCATCCGCTCCTCAATAAGGACATGGTTCTCGGTGGCCTTTACATCCCGGGTGATGGTTTGGCCCTGGCGGCTCGCGCGGTGCAGCTTCTTGTCGCGAGAACCCGCGAGGCTGGCGTAAAGTACATTGGCTGTACCGTGGTCTCGGGGATTGAGCAAACGGAGGGCCGAGTGTCCGGAGTCATCACACAGAACGGCAGTATCCCTGCCGAAATAGTCGTGTGCTGCGCCGGATTCTGGGGCGTCCAAGTCGGCGCCATGGTTGGGTTGCCGGTGCCTCTGTTGCCCATGGCGCACCAGTACGTCAAAACTACCGCGGTGCCGGGTCAGCTTGGTCGACGCTCGTCGACTAATGGCGCGGGCCTGCCAATCCTACGGTATCAGGATCGAGACCTGTACTACAGAGAGCACGGCGACCAGTACGGTATTGGGTATTATGGCCATCGGCCCATTCCTGTGGTGGCCTCGACGCTGGCTCCGACTCCCGAGGACGTTGATGAGCTCAACATGCCGTCTCGTCTCGACTTCACCCCCGAGGACTTTGGTCCGGCTTGGAAGTCGTCGCAAGAGTTGCTTCCGGCGCTTCAGCAAACCGAAATAGCGGATGGGTTCAACGGCATCTTCTCATTCACTCCAGACGGGGGCCCCCTTGTAGGGCAGTCGCCGACGGTAGACGGGTTCTACGTGGCGGAAGCAGTCTGGGTCACGCATTCTGCCGGTGTAGCTCGCGCCTTGGCCGAGGTCCTCACCACGGGAAAATCACATATTAGTCTGGCCGAGTGTGACCTGGCGCGATTCGAGGAGGTACAGCTCACTCCACAATACGTCCGCGAGACCTCGCAGCAGAACTTTGTCGAGGTGTACGATGTCCTGCATCCCCTTCAGCCCCGGGACTCGCCTCGCAATCTACGGGTCAGTCCGTTCTACCATCGCCAGAGAGAGCTGGGGGCCTTCTTCTTGGAGGCGGGAGCATGGGAGCGGCCCCATTGGTTTGACGCAAATGAGACGCTGCTCAGGGAACTACCTGAGGAGTGGCGCCCGGTCGAGCGAGACGCTTGGTCTGGCAGATACTACTCCCCTGTTGCAGCGGCAGAAGCCTGGAAAACTCGCACCTCGGTTGCCATGTACGACATGACTCCTCTTAGGCGGCTAGAGGTGTCCGGGCCGGGCGCAGTTGGGTTGCTGGACTGGGTCACGACCGGGAATGTCTCGAGGAAACCGGGGGCGGTGACTTACACGCTGCTGCTGGACGAACAGGGCGGCATCCGGAGCGACATCACAGTCGCCAGAATTCGGGATGACTTGTTCCAGGTCGGTGTCAATGGGCCCGTCGACCTGGCATATCTTTCACGAGAGGCTCGTGTTCAAACCAAAAACGCGCCGGAACGGGCCGTCCAAGTTCGTGACATTACTGGCGCCACGTGCTGCATCGGGCTTTGGGGCCCTCGCGCCAGAGACGTCGTTGCCCAAGTCACGACGGATGACTTCTCCGACAAAGGGCTGCGGTACTTTCGTGTCAAGGGGGCCAGCATTGCTGGAGTACCAGTCACAGCGATGCGGCTATCCTACGTCGGCGAACTTGGCTGGGAGCTGTATGCGAGTGCAGAGAATGGTCTCCGACTGTGGGACGCTCTCTGGAAGGCTGGTCAATCGTACGGAATCATTGCGGCTGGTCGAAGCGCTTTCAACTCCCTCCGCCTCGAGAAGGGGTTTCGCTCATGGGGCACTGACATGACCACCGAGCACAATCCTTACGAAGCTGGCGTCGACTTTGCCGTCAAGATGGACAAAAAGGGGGCATTCATTGGCCAGTCCTCTCTCAGGGGGATCTCCAAGGACACAGTCGCCAGAAAACTGCGTTGTATCACCATTGACGATGGAAAGTCCATGGTACTAGGCAAGGAGCCGGTTTTCTTCCGTGGCCACTCGGAAGGCTACGTGACGAGTGCTGCCTTTGGCTTTACTATTGGCAAGCCCCTCGCATACGCGTATTTGCCTAGCACAATACGAGAAGGAGATGCCGTCGAGCTCGAGTATTTCGGAACAAGAATTCCAGCGACGGTGACATCAGAACCACTCTACGACCCCGAAATGAAGCGACTTCGTGGATAGAGTAACTTTCAGGCTGGCCAAGATGCAGGGTCGGGCTCTACAAATTATGGAAGGCAGGGGGGCTAAAGTAGCAGATGATCGGCGAGGGTGCTTTATTGCGCATGATACAACGAGGGCTTTATTAATACTCTAGTCATGTTTTTGCTAGTGGAGCACAAGTCTTGTCCGTGCTTACTTGCTAGTCATTGGGAGCTCCGACTACAATTTTGTTTCGAATGAGAAGGTTGCGTGTCGCCGTTTTGCCGTCTTGCCTTGGCAGTAGCCCATCCACGCCCAATGTCCACGGCACCTGGGCTGAGAAGTGACGACAGAGTATATCGGGGATGAGCCTGGACAACACGGTAAGCGTGCAAACATACCTAGACACGCGGTGCTTGGATATGCCCGTGCCGCTCGAAATCCGCCATGCAACTGATGGACAGCATCGAGCTACCTCCAAACACCAAGTACGTGTCCGACGGGTCGTGTTGCCCAGACCTTTGGACTGAAGTTCCATGCCCGTTGCCATCCATTGTCTTCCCAGCAGATTCCAAGTTCTCTCCGTCCGCCCCTCATCCTCGTCAATCAATCGTCCACTTGGCGAAGTCTGAGTTGTCACCCGCCAAGAGCCGGCTGGGATAAGGTCAGTCACGTGAGCGGCAGAACCGGCACCAAGCACCGAAGCCGCGCCGAACACTGACAAACAAAGTCCAAACTTGTCAAGCGAGATCGGCCCCTGGGGTAAAGCCAGTCCGCCGATAAGACGTCCCCAGCAGCATGTCCGGTACGGCGAGAAGACGATGCTCACTGTGCTCCGATAGTACGCGTGGTGGGGGAGACCGCCGGGACAAGAATACAGATAAGGAAACCATCGCCAGCCTCCATCGTCCCGGCCTCTCTCGAGTCTCCAGATGAGAATCGAGCCCATGACATCATGGCCGCCGCCGGTTCATGCTACGTTATTGTCGGCGCGGGCATCTTCGGAGTGTCCACCGCTTACCACCTGATACGAAGGTATCCCGAGGCGTCGGTGACCCTTGTCGACCGGGATGCATTCGACGCCGATAACCGAGTTGCTGCGTCATGGGACTGGAACAAGGTGATGCGAGCCGACTACGACGACCCCGTATACTGCGAGCTGGCGCTAGAGGCCCAAGACGTCTTCACGTCTGATCCTCTGTGGAAGCCCTTCTTCCACCAGACCGGGCTCTACTGGATGTGCGGTCGTGACTATGCCCGCGGCTGCGTCAGCAACTTCGAGAGACTCGGCCGCCACGGCGACATTTCAGTCTGGCCGGTCGAAGAGGCCCGCAAGCTGTTCGGCGGCCTGTTCGACGAGTCCGACTACACCAATGTAGAGCAAGTTCTCGTGAACAGGGCCAGTGGCTGGGTCGCCGCCGGGGACTGCTTGCAGGCCGTCACCCGCAGAGTCTTGGGACTGGGCGTCAAGTACGTGGCCGAGGAAGTCGCAAACTTGCAGTTCGACCCCAGTGGACGGTGTGCCGGCATCGAGACGGCCCAGGGCCGCCGCCTACCGGCCTCCCATGTTGTTCTTTGCACTGGCGCCTCCACGCCCAAGCTGCTGGAGATAAGCGCCGCCGCGAGCGGGCTGACCAATCTACAGGCCGGGTCGAGGATCCTGGCCGGCGGCATAACGACTGGAATGACACGCCTGGATGACGATTCATACGCCAAGTTTGCAGATATGCCGGTTGGCATCCAGGGATACACGACACTAAAAGGTAACAGCGCATGTGTGCCCTCGCAGTTCCTTCGCGTTCGTGAGCAAGCTGATTTTTTTCATTTCTCTTTTCCTCTTGGCGGCGGAATTCAGCTCCATTCATGGGAAGTCTGCCTCCAACGAAAGATAGGGAGCTGAAATGGTGGGGACAAAAGATCTTCAGGAACACCAAGGAGGTTCTCCCGGGACGCTTCATCTCGATGCCCCCAGCGGAAGCAGATTATGCGCAGTGGAAGATTTCCGAACGGCTCAAGGAAGACATTGTCAACGTGAGCAGCGTCTTCTATGGAAACCAAGCTGCAAAGTGGAAGTTTGAGAAGCATCGCATCTGTTGGTTAGTTGTCGCCGCCGCCCCTTTCGTAGTTGCCGTTGGCGACTCCGTGGTTGACAAACACCCAGGGATGCCTTCACAACCAGCTCCGACTTCATCATCTCACCGCACACGGCTTCAAAGGGACTCTACGTGGCAACTTGTGGCTCATTCCACGGATACAAATTCTTCCCCGTCATTGGGAGATATGTCGTCGACATGCTGGAGGATACGCTCCCCGCACGGCTGGCGAGTAAATGGGCTTGGGATCGCGAAAGGCCTGATCCGTCGGCCAACCCGGACTGGCCCAGCTGTGAGATGAAGGACCTGCTGGATCCTGTGAGAGATTCCAGGCTCTAAGTCCTGCAGGTCCCTTCCGCCCCTCCCCCGGGCGGCTGGAACTGTCGTCACAAGATGCACTACGGGCGGCGCATGAATAATTGTCCCTGCGTTCTGTATTTTCCTTTGAGCCTCGCGTCTATCTCGCCCAGCCGCGAACCACGCTACATTGCCGTCGATCATGAATAGATGTGAGTGGTAGCCCGACCAGGCGCATGCAAATCCGTCGGCGCCACAGCGGCTGTTTACCCTTGCGATAGAGTCTAGTCTATAGGCAGGGCAATAGCCGCCATTTTTAGTCCAATTCGGATTTCCGTGAAAGGAAGGCAATTCATGCTCATGTTATGTGGTCTGGTCTGTCTCCCCGCTGGATGATCCAGCCGCGCGTTTCACCGTGATGCGACATTTTCTTCGCATTGTATCTCAACCAGTGCGTCTTTTCATTCGACTCGTCTCCAAAGACCAGGGCGTTGCGTTGGTCACAACTCTGCCCGTACGTGGTTGGTTGGTTGGTCGAGTTGTGGTGCGTCGTGACTTGCAAAAAAGCCAACTAGCAAGCAACGTCGGAAACTGTGTGCGCCAAATACGTACCGTACTGCACAGCTCTCCGTGGCCTGCCTTGCCTGCCTTCTGTCTCTCGCGACTGAACGGTGAGCGATGTGGGCATCCGACTGGGGGAAAAGGCCCCGAGCCGAGGGGGGAAGAAAAGGGGGAGGGGTGTCCGATCCGAGGTTGTTGAGCGACACGAGACAGACGCAGGTATGTTAACAAATCTAGAAGGAGATACGGAGGTTATTGTCCAATTCGGACAGTGATCGACCGTTTTCAGTCGTTGGGTGCGTAAGGAATAGGGTTTCTCTGATTCAGATGGGGCGATCCAATTGGGCGATCACGGAAGATGCTTGATGGTTTTAGCAACGGCCTCGGCCATGGACCCTGCCTGCCTCCTCGGATGCAGTCGCATGGATCATGCGGCAGCTCATCGTCGCAAGCCTCAGCGGAGCGCCCGCGCCCGTTCTGGCATGTCCCGTCGCCGTGGTCTTGGCTCGTGATTGCAGACTAGGCCCTCGGGGCCACTTGACGGGACCTCGACCAGCCAAGAGGCTTGTTTTATATAAGATCTACAGCTTTAGTATGGGCCGCCGGCCATCACCCGGGCCATTGGCTCGAAACCATGGACGGGATTGAAGCGGCAAGCAATCTCTCGGGCGTCAAGCGAGACGGACCGAGTATGCATATAACTACGCGGCATGGCCTCTTGCGAAACCTCTCTCTGCAGCAGATATCCTCCTCCCATACCACCGACCCGCGGCGTCCTCGGCCACGCCTACCATGCTCTCCAAGGCGGCTCTTGCAGTCGCGAGCGCCATCCTGGCCGTTCAGTCCGCGACGTTGCCGGCGCAGGGAGGCAAATTCATCGTCGGCGGAGCGCCCGCCAGCGAGGGCGAGTTCCCTTATATCGTGGCCATTTTGCTCAACGGCCGCGAGTACTGCGGCGGCTCCCTGGTCAACGGGAACACCGTCATCACTGCCGCCCACTGTACCCGAGCGACCGTTGCGGGATATCAAATCCGTGCGGGATCACTAGTAGGTCTTGATGCCATACCCGGGCGATGGGCCAGAGCCAGAGCTTGTCGGCAAAGACCGGTTCTGCTCGCTCCCTACCTACGCCTCCTGCTTCCATTGTCTCCTTACTAACAGACTACCGCGCAGGCGTGGGCGTCCGGCGGCAAGGTATCCAACGTGTCATCTGCCCAAGTTCACCCTGCTTGGAGCTCCCGCACTGCGAACAACGACATTGCCGTCTGGAAGCTGTCGTCGTCGCTGGCGGAGAGCCCGACGATTCGCTACGCCAAGTTGCCTGAGCAGGGCCTCGACCCCGTGGCCGGGTCCAATGCCACCGTAGCTGGCTGGTACGCGCAGGCCTGCCCGTCGACAAGCCCTCACCCCCCTCAGTCGCGCCGCGGAATAGATATATGCTGACTCTGGAGCCTAGGGGGTCCCTGCAGGAAGCCCAAGCATCGTCTGCGCTGCTGCAAAAGGTTACGGTTCCGATTGTGGCCCGGACTACGTGCCAGAGCGCCTACGCCAACTCAACTGTCCCGGCAAACGTCACGGATAACATGTTCTGCGCCGGCCTGAAGCAGGGCGGAAAGGACTCCTGCCAGGGAGACAGCGGCGGCCCCATCGTCGATGCCGCCTCCGGAACCCTCATCGGACTCGTTTCGTGGGGCCAGGGCTGCGCAGAGCCCGACAAGTACGGCGTTTATACTAGACTGGGAAATTTCGTTGACTTTGTCAAGAAGAACATGTAGACGGACGGACCCCTCGACGCACTTGCTTGGACATGGGACATGAGCGTGTTTAGACGGCCAGGTTCGACCAGGACTGGATGCTGAAGAGCCTGCGCGAATGGACCTGTAGTAGTAGTAGTGGTGGTAGTATACTTTCTCTCGCGAGACATCGATACGGCATCAACAACAATGCAGTTGATAGTCTATTCACCCCGACGCCTCCAGACTCTAGAGTTTCGTCTTTGCGTCGAGGAAAAACAGGTTCCGGCCGTCCTCTCCCGTGGTTACTCTCCCCGTCCTTCCAACCTGCTCTGAAGCTGCCCCCGCCAGCTGCGACAGCGTTTGGTCGTCGCCGTGGTTGGCGAGGAACCGCTTGCCCGTTCCTCGAAGCCTGCCCACAATGAGGCCTGTTCCCGGCGTGCCGTCACGGTTGTACTCGACGGTATACGTCTACAGCCACGTTAGCCGGGGCCTGATAGGGGTCTCGAGGGTGTTTGTGCCGCCGTCTCTCAGATGGTCTGGTCTATTCGGGTCTGGTCCCGGTCTGGCACGCACCTCAATGGTGGCCGCGCCCTCTGCCGCCTCGGCCAAGGGCGGGCTGTATTCGTCGACAACCTCTGGCAGCGGATTCCGCGCGGGATAGGATCGCCCGTCCCCGCGTGGCTGGGCCGACAAGCACAGGGCGTGCTGGTGCGTGAGCATGCCGCCGTTGGCCAGGATGAGACCGGTCTTGTGCCTCTTGGCCCGCAGTGCTCGTGCCATGGCCGTGATGGCCTTGCCCCCTGGGCGTCAGCACGCGCCCGTGACAGTGACAGCTGGGCTGCGTGGATCCCGCATACCAGTCGCGATGCCGGGAGCGCAGACTTACATGCATGGAGTAGTTGTTTCCGGCACCGCCGAATGAGGTTAGGCCCCCCAGCAGCGTGATGGGCTTGCCGCATGACGTGGTGGCGAGGCCGACGTGATCGCAGGCAAGCTTTGGAACAATTGGAAAACACCTGGTGACGGACACATGGTTGAGTCAAGACGAAGCTCGGTGCGCGCAGGCAGGTTGGCTTGGCGTACGTACGAGTAGAAGTCGTAGCAGTCAATGTCGCTCGTCCAGAGGCCCGAGACGTCCATCGCTGCATCGATGGACTTTGCGATGGCCTCGCTGCAATGCAAATGTCGTCTTTCCCAGACTAGAGACGGTTGTCTGTTAGTGTCGATTTACGGGCTAACAGAGTACACCACATGCACGCGCCCGCTGCGACACGTAGTGTGCGTGTGCACGGCGAGGGAGGGCATGCATGGCTCACAATTGTCCTTTTCGTGCGTGCCGGCGCCGCCCAGGACGTAAATCCACTTCTCATCGGGGATGCCCAGCCGCTTCGCGTTTTCCGTCGACGTGAGGATGCAGGCGGCCGACAGGTTGACGCCGTTGAAGGCGTTCATCAACAGGGGATCTGGTCAAGGCAGTGCTTGTTAGCCACTTCTGGTTGGGCGCCGCCGGGGAAAACGCTGACCGGTCGTCATTACACGGTTCGCAAATCATCCTGTTCTTGCCGGACACGCGTCCGATTTGCTCGGCCGTCTTCGGAGGCTGCTGGAAGTTCCACGAGTAGACGTTCTCGGACCCGACTCTGTCAAACTCGGCATACATGTTGGCGGCCTCGACGGCATTCTCGGCCGCCGACTGTCGCCTGTGCGCACGGCGAGCATTTTCGTACAGAGGGTAGACGTGAATCGGGAGGCCCATGGAATGCAGGGTGCCGGGGCCTGCGAGGGGGGGCCGGGGCCGCGGGTCAGACGAAGCGCGGTGCCATGTGGCTCGCATATGCATGTCAAGACTTGCCTTCTTCGAGGATGGAGAGATCCAGAGATGCTAGCTGCTTGCCGTTGGGGTCGGGCTCGAGCCATCCCTTGGGGGGGATTTGTCCGGCTTTCTGGCAGGCAGCAACTGCCATGGCAAGCGGGTTAGCGACGACTGATTCGCACTCGCTTCTTCTTGCGCTAGGCATGGGCAGGACTTGCGGGACGCGAGCGCCTCTCCGCCCGTCAAGACGGAGACGACGCTCCTCCTGGCGGCGATGTCTCGAGCGGCTTCGTCGCACTGCAGGGCCGGCTGGTTGCCGCCATGCTCGCCCAGGACTTTCCGGGTCGGCTCGATACCGAGGCGACGGGAAACGACTGCCGGGAGGTCATTGTATGCCCACGTCCAGGTCGGCACGATTCTCAGGCTGTCGGCCTGCGACAGCAAAGACGCCCGGGCGGCTTGATCGAGCCCGCTGTCGCGGACGGCGCGTCCAACGGCGTCGGCCATGAGCTGCGCCGGCTCCATCGCGTCTTCCGCCCGGGACGACTTGTTGCGCACATCGCCCACGCCGACGATGATGGGAACCGCGGGTTGCGCCGCCATTTGCGAACGAAGGCTGGGCCGGGCGAGATTCTGGAGTCTCGAGTCTGGACGCTGCTGGCAAGGGGCTGCGGTGCTGCGGTGCGGTGCCGCCGGTGAAGCTGCGAGGGCATGGGGAAATTCAACTCCAAATTCCACGTCCCAACTTTTGTGTTGAGAGGGCCAGCTCTTCGACCAGTCATCCCGAGGTCCATCGTCGTCGTCGGAGGCTCGGCACTCCCACGTGCCGCCAGCGATTTGTCCATTTGTCCATCGGCTCGGTCGGGTATTCAAATTGTCCGATGCGCGGCCTCGCCTCTTCCTCCGCTGCGGCGCGGGGTCCATGGCCTCGTCAAAAACTCCGGTCCAAGTATTTGGCCCGATACTCCGTCGACCCCGATGGCGTAAACATCGCTGCCGACTGACTAGTCCATCCACATGATGCTCGTGTGCTCCGTGTCAGTCGTCTTCTCAGCAGCTCGCCTTGTATTCTCGACATAATCTCCCGTCTCATCCCGCAACGGCAGGCCACCCGGCCATCTCCAATTTCTCCAAACGCAGGCCGCCTCATGAACCGTCATCATGGCTCGTCCATCACTGGCCTCACAGCCGCCCGAGCTGTCCTTTTACGAGCTGAGCTTCCCGGCGGAGCATGTCCTGCAGGTGACCATCAGCCGCGAATCACACATGAATGCCATCCCCATGGCCGGCCACTGGCAGGGCGAGCGGCTGTGGCAATGGTTTGACGAGGAACCACAGCTCCGCGTTGCCATCGTCACCGGCAAGGGGAGGCGGGCCTTTTGCTGCGGAGCCGACCTCAAGGAGCAGGCGCAAAAGGCCGACTCCCTCGAAAAGCCCGACTCGCCGTCCTTTCCCGCCGGCGGCTTCATGGGGCTCACCCGGCGCGTTGGCAAGAAGCCAGTCATCGCAGCAGTCAACGGCTTCGCATTGGGTGGAGGATTCGAGGTTGCGCTCAACTGGTGAGTCGGTCTTGTGCTATGTGAAATCGTCGTGGCCACGCGCCAAGACTTGCGGCTAATGCCTCTTCGCAGCGACATGGTTGTCGCGTCCCCGTCCGCCACGTTTGGGCTGCCCGAGGCGAAGAGAGGTCTCTGGGCTGCAGCCGGAGGCATCCCCCGCGCCGTGAGAACGTTCGGAATGCAAATGGCGTCCGAGATTGTCCTCGCCGGCCGCGTGCTGTCCGCCAATGAGGCAAAGGACCTGGGTTTCTGTCGAGTCGCCGCGTCCGCAGATACGCTGGTCGATGAAGCCGTCGCGCTGGCCAAGGACGTCGCGTCCATGTCTCCAGATGCCGTCATTGTGAGCCGTGCCGGCTTGAGAGAAACGTGGGAGACGGCAAGCGTGGAGAGGGCAGCCCAGCTCGTCCAGGACAGATACGCCACACGCCTGTTGGGGGGTGAAAATCTACGTCTCGGCCTCATGGCGTTTGTGACGAAGACGAAGCCTGAGTTTGTACCATCCAAGTTGTGACCACGGTTGTCGGCGCAAGTCCATAGGACTCCTGCAAATCCAGGACTCACCCAAACCAACGCTCAACAGCGGCCGTTTTCGAAGCTTCGCTGCCCCTGCCGTGCGTGTTGATGTAGCACCGAGTTGGCGTTGGCACACAAAAGCTGTCTCCTCCAGCAACACAGCTAGCCACGGCCAACACATGACAGACTGTCCATCGTCTTGACGACAAACAAACAGCCCAAAGTCGGGACTAGTTCCAACTGCAACTACAAGTCCTGTAGCCCCAGAGAACAAGACACACGCAACGTGCGAGGGTTTGGCTCCATAAATGGCGCCGCCACGTCCTTGCCGCCTGGTACAGGGTACACGCAAATCATACTATGGCAGGCTGGGGCTGATCCTGCTCTGCATTTTTTTTTTCGCCTTATATAAAAGCTGTCGTCAGTTCGTATCAAAGTCAGACTAGTCGTACATGCCAGGTACATGTATGCTCGAGCCACCATTGTCCCATCCATCCATCCATCCTGTCGCATTTCGCCTAAGAGTGCAGCACCTCCAGCACCTTTTTGCCCATGGCCAAGACCTTCTCCTCTTCCAACCGCCGCGCCACAAGCTGCAGACTAATCGGAAGGCCGTGCATAGTCTTGGCGTCGTCTGCCATACATCCATGATGAGTACTTTGACCTTTCCGTGAGGGGGGAAGAAAGGGGGCGGGGGACTATTTACAGTCAGCATTGATCGACTCGCAGTCTGACCCCAGAGGTTGGTAGAGTTCCTCAATGCGGTCAATAGATTCGTCAACCGTCAGGCCAGTCGGGAAAGAAAGACAAGAGTAGTCAAGGACGTTGTAGACGCCCGTGTACCCGACTGGTGGTACAAGCCCCATCACCACGTTAGCCCTGCCGACGCATGATTTTGGCCCGCTCCTCGGGGCACAACCTACCGTGCTTGAATGTGCCGTTCTTGACGGTATTGAAGGGGATGGTAGGGCACAGAATGGCATCGATGCCCGCCCTGTTCCAGCGGTCCAGATAACGGTTCTGGAAATCGACCCTTTCCAGCTGCAGGTTCCACATCTCGTACGTCGACAGCTCCTTTGCTATCCTGTACTGCTCCATCTCGGGCCTCCACGGCTCGCCCGTTCTCTCCAGCTGCTTCCGGATGGCGGTGCCTCCGTCTGCGACAAACATGCGACCCAGAAGCGCGAGACCCTCCTTCTGGTCAACAGGGTCCCATTCCACGACATCGTGGCCGGCAGCCTCGAGCTTGGACACGACGTCGCGGAGGGCACGCGTCACCGGGGGTGTTGGACGCACCATGTTGTCGTGCCACATGACGGCTATCTTGAGCTTGTCGGGCAGCTGCACGTCGCGCCATGGGATGGGCAAGCATCGTGGATCCAGCAGCCAGGGCTGACCACGCACAACCGTCCTGGTGTACATGGCGATGTCGTCGAGGGTTCGCGCCATGGGACCGTTGACCGACTGCACGGCTTCCTGCCCCGGCATGCCGGAGCGCATGTTTCTCACCGGGAACCGGCCAGACGATGGGCGAAGGGTGAAGATGCCGGTGCAGGCGGCAGGAATCCGAAGCGAGCCGCCAATGTCTGACCCGACGCCGAGCGGGCTTCCCTTCATGGCGAGCAGCGCAGACTCGCCCCCGGAGCTGCCGCCACTCGTCGTCTTCCTGTTGAGCGGATTGACAGTGCGGCCGAATATGTTGTTCACGCTTTCTGCAATCATCATGGCGGTGGGAGTGTTGCTCTTGACATAAAAGACGGCCCCGGCATTCTCCAGGAGCTGTGCCAAAGTGGAATCCGCCTTGGCTGCGTCGCCCACGAGAGATACGAAACCGACGGTGGCATCCAAGCCGCGGAGATTGAAGTTGTCCTTGAGCGAGATTGGGAGGCCATGGAGAGGACCCACGGGCTTGCCCGTCTGCTTGAGATGCACATCTCTGGCCCTGGCTGTCTTGATGGCGCGGTCAAAACAGGTCTCTGACAAACAGTTTGTCTACATGTGACGTGCGCGTTAGTGAGGAGGTGTGACGTGAAAGCAGAAACTCGTACAGAAACGTATGTAGGAGGCGTGAGCGCGTGAGCGCGTGAGTGAGCGAGCGAGTGTGTGAATAAGTACGTGTGTACGCAACTTACCAACTGGTGGGCGGCTGCGGCTCTCTTGCAGAAGGCCCTCGTGACCTGCTCGGAAGACAGTTCCCGGGACTTGAGCTTCGGAATCAGTTCTGTAGCCGTCGAGCCTGTAATGGCGAGCTCCTCGGCTGTGAACCAGCCGCACGTCTCTGGCCACTGCGTCACATCATCCTCGGTCTCGGCTGGGAGTACTTCAGTCGGGATAAGCCATTCTTCTGGGATAGAAGCGAGCAGTTCTTGTCGCTTCCTGGAGCCTATTTGCTCCCAAGACGCACGGCCTTTGGTCTCGTTGGACCGGTTCGCAGCATTCGTCTCATGCGCTCCGTTTGTGCCGAATGTTCCATTCACGGCTTCCAATGTGGCTGACGTCATTTTGAATGGTGGCACTGAAGTGAAGCCTCACGCCCGCAACAGCCGCCGTCGCCGTAGCTGTCGCTGTCGCTGTCGCTGTCGCTGTCGCTGTCGGTGAGGGTAAGGTGATGGTGATTCCCAGTTGTCGTCCCCAGACAGGTCGACACTCTTCAGCCAGCCCACAACGAATCGGTCGGTCGTACGCCCACCTCGGCATAGCTCGGAAAATGCGGGATCGACATATAATAAGAGAGACGGACTATTGCCCGAGGCCAGCGCGTTGGGCAGACTTTGGCTCTACTAGTCCGAGCACGAAAGGTGCCATGTGGTCCACTCTCCGCAATGTGTGACGGCCCAGCTGAAGCAGCGAGAAGCCGAAACTGTCGTCAAGACGAGATTTTGTCTGCGGACGCATGCAGGGTGAGAAGGGTCAATGGTCCATGCATACTTGAGTAACCTGACGACGGAGTGACCGGGACAAAAGCCGTAGGGACACCCTTTGTCCTACGGCACGGCCGTCGACCAAGAGTCATCAAGTTCGTGGTTAGACGCGTCTGAACTGAGCACTCGGTGGAGGACACGACGAGGGTGACAACCGAGAGATAGAATGGTTCCCCCTTACAGAAGCGTGCCTACACGTTCCACGCAATGTTGTAGTCGAGGGCATGCGGTGGGAATGACGTGCGAGGAAAATGGGCGTCGGGGGACTACCGAGTAGGAGTTGAGTACTTGGCACTTACATGCATCCAGTCGATTCAAGCAGCCGCTTATGTATGTATGCATCTCGTTGACCCACTTTTTATGCGACGAGGCGTGGCTTCGTGCTTGGTGCCAGTCAGTACTCCGTAGTTACTTACTCAAAGTACTCAGTAGTAACCAGGCGGTCAGTCAGTGTGGTCAGTGTCGAGCAAGTACTTAAGCGACGTGCTCGTCATTGGCCAAGGTCAAGGGCTGTGAAAATGCATCTCGGATTTGGATCCGTCATGTCTTCCTGCGCAACCAATCCAACCTCACTCACTCGACCCGTCCCGCCAGTCCTCTCTCTCTCCAGCGCTCTTCGCACTTGGCCAAGCCGTCAGGGTACCGTTGGACGCCTGCATGGTTGCAGTGATGCCAATACGCTCGCAGAATTCTGCACTGATGGGTGGAGGCAGCATGCATGCCGGCCAAGTAGGCCGATACGGCTACGTGAATGTAGTAGATGGACGATGGGTTCATGCGAGAAATGAGTTGGCAGGCACGCTCGACAGCCGAATCCAAGGCTCGGTGCGCATGGCCGTCTGCCGCCGTGTCCTCACACTGGGCCAGCACGGCAATGGCGGATGCACAACGGTTGACGTTGGCCGAGAGGGCCCAGGCAGACTCGCCCGAGTCGACCTGGGCAAGCTGGTCCACAGCCATGATGCAGCAACGCAAGCCATCGGTGGAAACCTGACCCTGGGCGACCCGGCTAAAGAGGTCGAAGGTATCTGCCGAGCATCCCACGACCTCAAAGATGCTCTGGTCAATCGCCTGCCGATGCCAGTCATCAAAAATAAGACCCCTGCTGCCCCTGGCAACGGCTCCCAGCGTGTCCCACCAGACCAATCGGGCCACGATGTCTGTCAGACCCGTCACCGTGTGGGACAGCCTTTCCAAGGCACGCTGGTCCGGGCAGTGGCAATCTAGAAGGGATTTGGCGCCGTGAAGGTGCCGCTGCCACTCACCGAAAGGGCTGTCGCACACCTCGAGCACGGCAAAGGCGGCGATTCCCAGGAAGGCAAAGGGATTTGCGGCTTCAAGAGCCTCGTTGAGGCCAATCAACGCCGCAAGTCGGTGGCGAGCCGTCTCTACAGAGTCCCGCGTGTCCCCCCCGGCAAGTGGCCCAGTTGAGCGGCCCTCGATACGCGCCTGCATCAGATCGTGAAGCCTGGAGATGAGTCGGACGGCTTCAGACGAGAGGTGACGACCATGGTATGCTGCCGATCCGTCTGATGATATAATGTGTTGACAAAAGGCGACGAGACTGGTAATGAAGCTGTTTTGATCCGCGGCCGGCAGTCGACGCCATTCCAGGACCGGGCTTTCGCTTTTTGCCGTCGCGGCATCACTCGTCGGTGTCTTTTTGACGTCTTGTTCCGGCGACGGAGCATTGCCGTCGGCGAGCTTCGGCGCGAGCTCTTTCCGCCGTCTCTTTTGCGATTTGGCGGCATTCGACGACAGTGACGAGGGCAAGGCCGAGGCAGGGGGGGAAGCAGAAGCTGCCGACGGCGCGCTTCGATAGTCCTTGCCCAATCTGTCGGCGGCCCATATGACGCGCTGCGGATAGCCGGCGCACACCATCTTGGCCTCGAGACATTGCGAGCATGATGGGCGGTTCAAATCGCATTTGATGTTCCTTGACTTGCAGCTGTGGCAGTCCCGGTCTCGGCGCATTCCACGCGGCTTCCCGCGCGGCTTCTCCTCCACTGGTGGCACCATGCCGAGGGGATACGCGCATCAGGCACCGCCGGTGGGAATAGCGACAGCTGATGCGAAAGAGCCCTTGGTTGAGTTGAGCAGGGGACTAGTCGGCTAGTGCCCGAGTTTCGACATCCATGTTCGCTATCAAGGCAAGACGGCGCAATGTGAGAGGCCACGGTGATGGGTTTGAAGAGGGCGAGGGAGAGGGAGAGAGGAAGAGGGAGATGACGAGAATAGATTCGTTACTGGGATGGGAAAGAGGGCATTTTGTACATGCTGTAATGGGAGAGCGGCCGCGGGACCGGTTAAGTATTGCCGAGGCGGAGGGCAATAGAAAGATGGAGAAGGAGGAAGACATGCAACAATAGAAGCAGGGAAGCATGGAGGCAGGCAGGCGGGCAGGATTAATAGAAGGCATCATATCACACCTTGACCTTGACCACCCGAGGACGAAAAAAGGACTTGTGGCTTGCCGGGCCCGGGTTTGAGATTGAGTGCAGTGCAGTGAGGCCGGTGCGCCACAATTGTATCGTGTTGTGTAAAGTTGGCTAGACGGAGCATTTTCCGGGAAATCGGGCATCGGAGCGGCTGGAATGCGTCGATGAGCATGAGCATGAGCATGAGCACGAGCATGAGCACGCATGACTCCGACAATGTGACTGCTCACGTTTGCAGCATGGCCATCCCCAGCCGTTGAAGCCCGCGTTTCCAAGCGTGCGCCAGGCTTCTCTCTAGACCAGGGCTGCGCCAGCGCCGGAGGTGTCACGTCCCACACCATGGGAGGAGCCGTTGAGGCGATCAAGGCCCGGCCGGACCTTGGCTAGTCGGATGGCGACCCGTGCGGAGGCAGCTCTCGGTTCATATAATAAACGACGCGGCGGCCACGGCGAAAAAGAAGGCGCTGAGGAGGAAGCCGAAGCCTGCCTCGTTGCCTATTCCCCACGGAGAGCAGCTCGCGCTCGCGACAAGAGGCACAGCAGCCTTGGACGTTGTTACAGTTCGAATAGGCGTACGATCTGGACATGACACTCGACCGCACAAGCTTTTCTCATTTCTCGCCAGCGAGGAGCGGGCGGGCGCCGGGCGGCTATCGACAGCTGTCCAACTCTGAAGCGCCGCATGTCGGCAAGGCAGTGAGTGAGTGCTCCTTCCTTCCTGGTAGCGCCAGGCTCCACGCCGACTCGGGTGCTCAACACGTGGATCATGGATGCAACTTCAACGTTACCTGCAGTCGGCGGAAAACAGTGCTCCATCAATCCATGTCGCGTCTGATCCGCAAGTTCCAGTCTCACAAGCCGAGTTACCATCGATCCGGTGCAACCACAGATAGTCGTCTCGTCCATCGCGCCCATCGCGCCCATCGCGCCCATCGACCGAAATTATCATCATCGCCGCGTCCACCACGAGACGAGACTCGAGCTACCTGGGCTCTCCACCCGGGCAGCTTTTTGAACATGTCCTCGATTGCGACATCTCTGCTGCGGCATTGATCCTTCGCGACCTCTCCGGCTTCTGTTCTGTCGCCACCTGCTCCTCCGCCGCATGTGCACATGTGTGCGCTTCTCGTCTGGTCCGTCCACGCCCGCCACAACAATCATCGTCCAGCATGGGCTCCTCACAGCTTCGCGGCTACTTCCATGTGCAATACCAGCCTGGAGAACGGAGACTCGTCCAAAAGATCGACTTCTTCATCCTCACCTTTTGCTGCCTCAGCTACCTGGTCAATTACGTGAGTTGCTTCGCAGTGCCCGCACGCCACGTCTTCGCCCATGACTCGGGACCAAGTGGTTGACGACATCTCCCATGGCCTTGTAGCTTGATCGGACCAATCTTGCCAATGCCTACGTATCGGGCATGAAGGAGGACCTTGGCTTTGTGGGCGACCAGATCAATGAAATCAACACGTGCTTCACCATCGGGTAAGGAGACCGTCTTCCTACATCCTAGATCCTCGACCATGAGACGCGTCTTCTACTTTACACATGGATCGCTGACAGCCTCTTGCAGCTACGTCATTGGCCAAGTGCCGTCCAACCTGTCCCTTCACTATGTCAAACCTCGCTTCTGGTTTCCCTCCATGATGATTCTCTGGGGGTGTCTTACCATGGTCACTGCGTCCGTCCATAACCCGCAGTCTATCATGGCCATCCGCTTTTTCCAAGGCATCTGTGAGGCCTCGACGTTTATCGGCACACATTACATTCTTGGTGCATGGTATACTGAGCGCGAGCTCGGCAAGCGCAGCGGCATATTTACATCATCCGGTCTGGCTGGTACCCTCATTGGTGGCTTCATCCAGTCTGGCATCTACAAAAGCCTCAATGGTCGTCTTGGCCTTGCGGGATGGCGATGGCTCTTCATCATTGACGGCTTGCTCACTGTCCCCGTGGCCGTCTACGGTGTCATTTTCTTCCCCGACACCCCCAAGACGACTGCCGCCTTTTACCTCACTGGGGACGAGAAAAAAATCGCCGTCTCTCGAGTTCCCGATGTTGCTGAGCAGTCCCCCATCACCCTCAAGTTCCTCAAGAAGGTCTTGTCGTCCTGGTACTGGTGGGGCTTTGTTGGCCTGTGGTGCCTTGCTGGTGAGCTGGAAAGTTTCAGTACCAACTCCCTGTTTGCCCTTTTCCTGCAAAACCATCCGGTCAACGAGTATACCGTTTCCCAGAAGAACAATTATCCTAGCGGCGTCCCTGCCGTCGGCATCGTGTCAACCCTCTTCTGGGCTCTGTTGACCGACTTCCTCGGCGGCAAGCGTTATCTCGTCGGCTACTTCATCGGCGCCACGAGCATCGCGACCTCCGTCATGGTCTTGGCATCGTCACGAGACCCCAATAACCCACACTCTACAGTCGTTACAATGGCCGCCTACTACATGGCAGGTTTAGGTGAGAAGATGCCGTCTCCACAACTACGGCCTGCGCACAATATTGAACAGCGCTATAGTCTACGCCTGCCAAGCGACCTTCTTCGCCTGGTGCAACGACGCCATGAGATATGAGCAAGCCACCTTTCGGAGCGTCGTCCTCGCCGGCATGAACCTTGGTAACAATGCTGTCAACGCATGGTGGAGCATCATATTCTACGGCGCATCCATGGCGCCTTGGTTTGTTGTGGGTTGAATCCTCCCCTAAACGTCACGCAGCACGGTCCCTAACTATTTGGTACTCAGCGGGGCATGTGGGCAATGATTGCCTGCTCTGTTGCTCTCATCTTTTGGACGGCCGGGTTATCGCTGCTGGATCGCAGAAACAAGAGGCCCTTGGTTGTAGAGGCTCAAGAGCCTGGGGGAGGGCTTCAAAAGGCGTAGGTTGGGCCTAGCTGATTGCTGAACCCGGCTTGTTGAGGAGCAAGGGACCTATACGACATACTACTAGCAACGACAACCCTGATCGGAATCAAGGACGCATCGAGTACGGAGGAAGAAGGCAGCATTTTCCGCTCAACCCGACAACCAAGAATATTCCCAGACCCGGGCTTGGGTGTTCTCCAGTAGCAATGCGACATTGCCAGGCACTAAAGCCAGCAAAAGCCGACATTGTGAAGCGATCCTTGCGAAAAATGCAACGCAAGCTCGCATCGTCAGGCTTCTATTGCCAATAATCATCACCAAGTGTCCGTCGACTGGCCTCGCCGAATTTGTCAAATCGACTGTCTGTCGAAACCGTCTCAGTCGGCTTTGCAGCCAAAGGGACTCAGTCGGTCGGATCACTCTGCCAAGCACCTTTACATGATGGGCATGGACTCGAACCAGAGTAAGGACAAGAAACATGGAGAACAAAATTTCGACATTGTCCAACTCGTCGTACTTTTTGAGTGCCTTTGCCACGGCAGTATTTATATCTGGTCGAGCGTCGTTGTTTCTTGTCCCTACCTCTCATCAACACGACTCCAGCCGAGCAGGCAGTTGACCTAGGCTGTACTACTACCGGACAGCCTCTAGCAGATCATCGGCAGACTTTACTCAGCGAGACACAATGTTGCCAGTCTATCTTTGGTTCATCTCTGGCGTATCGGCAGCTGTCAGCTGCCAAGAAAGTGCGGTATGCGCCACCGATCCCGGTGCGTCGGCGGAAATGATCAAGCCCCAAATCGAAAGACTGGTCTCTCAGGAAGGAGGAGGCGGGATTCACAAGGCCTAGCGTACGAAGCTCATCTTATTGATCCCTAAAATGTTCTGCGCTTAGCACGGCAACCAAGAGGATTGGCACGTCGGCTAATCATTGCATGACAGAGCCAATCGCATGTTGGCGAGGGAAAGGGGGCAGCTTCTGTGCTTTTTTTCCCAGAACACCTCTTCCAACGGCAGGGAAGCCGAGATGCTTGTCAAGTAGCTCCTCAACCGCGGAGGCGACCGCTGTAGTTGTGTCGCAACCCTTCTTGGCAACGACGTCTCTACATTGTGCAAGTCGCGTCTAGCAATCCTTCACGTTCGCCATCCAAAGCAGCCCGTTGCCATGTTCATACAAGTCGTAGTCTCTGTAAACAAGACCGGGGTCTGGTTACTTGCCAGTCCAGTGCGTGGGCAGCTGCTCATCGGAGAAGCGCCTATTTTCAGGCGTCGGCAAAGCTTCCCAACGATACAAGCACCCGGGAGGATGAGAGTGTTGCAATAGGCGAGTAGTTGCGAGTGGACAACAATGAACATTGCGGAGAAGTACAAGGGCTGAAAATGATACTGAGGACTAAGCGTTGTGGGTTAAGGCATTGACAAGCAATGAAACCACACCTTCTAGTAACTATTCCAACAGTCAAAAAGCGGGGTCTTGCCGAAGAGGCAGGCGCATAATCCTGAAACCGGCGACGGGGGGTTGCCGAGGGACCTTCCCGACATAGTTATCATATTTCCCGAAATCCGGCCCACGCCGCGGGTAGAGGCACAGAAAGAGTCACGGCGTCGTGACGCTATGGAGTAATAGTAATAGCATAGACCTATATTTGTGAAAATGGCGCCATCCTTGCCCGGGGGGAGGCAGCGCAGGCTAAACGCTCGTCGTGCAACACCACCGACCAGCCAGAGTAGTTGTCATCCGCTGCAAACGAAATCAACAGCTTCCAAAAAATAAAGCCGCCGCAGGGCAGTCAGCCTCTGGCAAGCTGCTGGCTATAAAGAAATCTCGAAGCCGTCGACGCATCAGTTCGACCAAGGACAGTTCCCCGTCTCAAAAGCTCCCCGTGGCTGATTACCGTGACGAGTCCGCGCGCCGGTCCTCGTTTACGTGACATTTGTCTCGAGAGCTTTGTGTTATTTTGCCCGCCATGCAGCACATGTCACTCAAGACCGCATCCGCGGCGGCACTGTTGGCCTCGGCCGCTTTGTCGTCTGGAGCGCAGGCCACGCGGTACTATGTCGACTGTTCCCGGAGCAGCGCGGGAGTCGGAAGCCAGGACAGGCCGTGGAATAGTCTTGGGCAGGTTAACTCGCCAACCTTTTCTGCCGGAGACGTGATTGCCTTCAAGGCCGGCACCACCTGCACCGGCACATTGTCACCCATGGGCGTCGGCAAGGCAGACTCGGTCATCAGCATCACCAGATACCCTGCCGGTGGCGCGGCAGACAACCCCGTCATCAACGGGAAGGGCGCGGCGGCTGCCGTCACCTTGACGAACCAGGACTACTGGCGGATTTCCAACCTCACGGTGACGAACCCGGCCTCGGGACTCGCGGCCCGTCAGGGGATCCACGTCACGGCCAGCGACGGCAAGACGCACACGGGAATCACGGTCGACTACACCACGGTGCACCACGTCGCCGGTCAAACGGACAAGGCCACGCGCTCGGCTGATTTCTCGCTGTCGTGTGGGATCCTGGTAGACACACGGCACACGGGAAGTCGCTACGACAAGGTGCTGGTCCAGAACAACGACGTGTCGGACTGCGGCGGCGGCGGCATCAAGGTGCGAGTCGGAGCAACGAACAACCGCGGCCGCGAGGCTCGCGTCACGCGGAACAAGATTCACGCCTGTGGCGGCGACGGCATCATCGTCTCCTTCAGCGAGGCCCCTCTGATCGACTACAACACTGCCTCTGACCTCGGCACGGGGGCTTATCCTTGGACCGGCGGCACCTTCGCGGGCATCTGGGTTCTCGGCGACCACAATCCCACCATGTCCCACAACGTCGTCTACGGGAGCGTCATGTCACAGTTTGACAGCGAGGCCTTCGACTGCGACTGGGGCAACACGGGCAACTGCACCGTCGAGTACAACTACAGCCGTGACAACGCGGGCGGCGCCTTTCTCAACTGCGACGGCTGCGGATCATCCGGGGGTGCCGACCAGATTGTGCGGTACAACATCTTCGAAAACGACTGCCGAATGATCAGCGACGGAAACAAGCCCACCTTGTACTTTTACCAGAACGTCATGTACTGCGCCGGCAAGAGCTTCGACATCAACGTGCCCACCAAGGCGCACTTCACCAACAACATCTTCGTGGGAAACGGCAAATCGAGGCTGCCGGCGCGGAGCGGCATCACCTGGAGCTGGAACGTCTTTGACGGCGTCGAGCGCCCAACGGCAAATGGCATCCAGGGCGACGCTGGGTTCCTGGATGCCGGAAAGGGCGGAAACGACCTGAGCTCGGTCTCTGGTTATCGACTGAAGAAATCGTCGCCGGCGCTGAACAACGGCGCCATCATCCCGGGGACCCGCGGCTTCGACTTCTTCGGCAACCCCGTCTCTGCGACGAGGAAGCCCAACAGGGGCGCGTATGATGGACCAGGACTTTGATGCAGACATCCTCCTCGACCCAAGTTGCAGCTTGGCTATTATCGCGAAGCGTTCTGCGCCGCCTGCACACTTGCTAGATGTATTAGTAGTGTTGATGGTACCGTGAACAGCAAGGGAGGCTATTAGTTGGAGTTTTTCGAGGATCATCAAAGCGAACATTTTGCATCTGCCAGAACACAGCCCGCCTTGAACACGGGATGGATTGTGTTGTGTTTTTTGTCGTGATTGATGATTGGCGCAGCCGCATTTTGACGCCGGGTAAACCGCGGCCCGTGTCGTGCCGCGCGCTCGCAACGTGGAGCTGCGTCACACAGCCGAGCGCGTAATGGTTGGACAACAGAACATGCAGACCCATGGTATGAACGCAACCTCCCGCCTCCCCTCGACATATATTCGCCATTCACACTCTCTGGCTGTGACAATGGGCCGCTTACGGCGAGGCCACAGGACCGAAAGCGACCGTGTGCAAACGAACTGGGGCTTTCGCGAAGCAACGCTTTCTTCAAAAGGGCTAAAACTTTGAGAGAGCGCTACTCGCCAGGATTTTGGTATAACCTTTCGAAAGTCTGGCTTACGCGGCGTGCCCTAGTGGAGCTTGACCGTCGAAATCAGGCCCATCCGTCGCCGAGATTTGCTGTTCCTGGCTGGCACACAACAAAACTTGCTCAATTTGCGAGACACGGTGGCCCCGACCTCCGGCATCTTCGAGGCGTATGTTTTCAAGCCACCTGCCATGATGAACAGATTCGTTGACTGTTCAGTCTAGCTTGCCAGACCGAAGACTGTCGCGAATGACATGGGCCCAAGTCGCTCTTCAAAGCCTCCAAGTCGACACACGCGATCGACGAATGCAACTAGTGTCATCGCCAGAACGAAAAAGTCTTCTGCCTACGGCAACCAGTTTCAACAGCATCTCACGGATTACAACATATACCGAGCGGGCCACGGTTATCAAAATAATGCCCCTGAACCCAACAACCTGGCCCAGATGCATGAAGAGCTGGCGGCTCTAGCATTCACAACCAGCAAGACGTACGGTTTACTGGGCTTCAGCCTATGCAAGTGAGGATGTAGTAAAGCCTCGGCCAGACTTCTGTGATGCAGCTCGCCTAGGAGACATCAGTAAAAAGCTCAGGGGCGATCAGTCTATACAAGCAACAGGCATCCCTACCAAGCACCTAAGCGTCCCAGCGGCGCCTAATTTCTCCCTAGTAGTCAAGGGACCTGACGGGAATGCTTCCGTAGCCCAGCGCCAGGCTTGCTACGACGGGGCGCATGGTGCCCGTGCCATACACGCCCTGCAAGACTACCACAAAACTCAGCCGATTTATGATGGCAACGCCTACACCTATAGCTCGACCTACCACGCGGGCACTAGTACGCTTCAGCTGTACGCTCACCACGTCACCGCGCCCACCACGGCCGAGGGCCGGCCTGAGTATCACACGACTCAAGCTGGAGCTTATGCTTTGACCTATAGCCGTGAATCCGTTATCCAGGGAGCCGCGGCCTTCCGGAATGCCAGGGAATCAGCGCAACGTCACCTGGACAGCTCTATTCAGGCTGCGAACGCCAAAGTTGCGCGATCAACAGCTTCAGGACACGAAGAGCCTGAAGAGAGCGCAGCTTGTACTGGCTGGCAAGATGCAGACTGCGCGCTTCAGCAGCAGATCAGCGACAGTAGTGTGGATGTACAGCCTGATACCAACGCAGCTCCCCAATGCATGTACGCGGAGGAGGATACACCAAACCCATGCCAAGAATCGGCAGTCTTGGCCCTCGACGGCCCGCCGATAGGCCTCGCATCTAGTTTCACCACTTTTGCCACTAACGCGGTGCAACTTTGCAAAGCGTTCGAGGGATTCCGTCAGCCCATCCTCTGCTTCCAAGAGAACCCAGCACCGCTCATGGGGCAGAAACGTATAGGCCTAGAGGAAAGGTTGGCTTCAAAGGCTTTGAAGGGAAGGGGCGGGAGAACGGTGTTGGCTGCGGTCGTTGGAACGAGTGACATGAGTCTTTCTTGGTCACATGATGATTCATATATGATGGCATTGACCCTTGGACGCGAGACGAATCGTGTTGCCGGCACATTCCGTGTCAGCTCGGCAGAGTTGGCTGCTGGTCGCCAACTGGAAAGAGTGTGTGCATTGGGCCAGAACTTGACGCCCAAGAAGTCTGATGATGGACTCATCTCACTGCGCATGGCTTCTAATCGGAGAGGAGGAATGCTAAGGGGCATCGAGGCCATGCACTGGGAAATCGGAACAAATAAAGAGGATAACAACAGTAGACGAATTCCAAGTAAACAAGGTATAAAAGGTACTAGATGAAAAATTGATACAAGTGCTCATTGTCCAGAACTAGCCTTACAGGGTGCCGCATGTAAGCGTTACGAGTATTAATTACAAACTCAAGGGGGAGAACAACCTCTTTCCCCCTTTCTTCTCATAACTACATACCCTGCCTTCTGCGGTATGTTTCCGATATGGTCCCGGACTCCAATGGCCCGAGTAGCATTATCTTGCCCGTGAAGGAGAAGGCTCCATACCATCACAAGTACCTCATTGTCTTTTTCTCCCACGACATGTTTGCGGTTGCGCACGGGGTGACGTTTGGATTTGCAACGAAGCGAGGACATGACACGGACCGCGGCAAGGCGACGTGCCAATCACAGCGACTCGAATGTCATGGTTGATTTGCATCATTACCTTGATGGTCTTTGGTCACAACCTTGATGGGCGGGACGCGGCGATGTATCTCCGAGTAGACGGGAACCAAAAAGCACGGAGAGGTGCAACGGCCAGGTTTGAGCCCTGGGATGGGCGTGGAAAATCCCACATCGTGCACTATTTAAACTGTGCCTCGTTTTTGGAAATGGCTTCGACCACCCACCCCCCCTTGATGAATCGCGGGCTGCAGCAGAGAGTGCCGTTTCAGCCCTCACAGATTCACAATGGGTGCTCCTCGACGCAGGGACAGATCCTCATCTGGTGGAAGCAAGTCCAAAAAGAAGTCTTCCAAGATCAGCATCCCCAAGAGGTCGGTCCCGGTTACTCTTCTTTCGGGATTCCTGGTATGTCGTCTTGGACGCGGCGTCGTCAGATGCCTCACGCTGACGACGGACTTGCAGGGAGCCGGAAAGACGACCTTGTTGCAGCACATTCTCCGCGCCGAGCATGGGCTGAAAATAGCAGTCGTTGTCAACGACATTGGAGCGTGCGTGTGCCGCGTGCCGCGTGCTGCCGCCGGCGTGGGCTAATTACTGTGCAGCATCAACATCGACGCGGCCCTAATCAAGAAGACGCACAAGCTGACAAGAACGGAGGAAAAGGTCATTGCCCTGCAAAACGGCTGCATCTGCTGCACGCTAAGGGGGGATCTTCTCGAGGAGCTGGTGCGCATCTCTCGGCTTGAGGAGTTTGACTACATCATCATCGAGAGCAGCGGCATCAGCGAGCCGGAGCAGGTTGCCGAAACGTTCGACGCCCGCCTCGCCGAGCGCATGGGCGACCTGGCGAGCGTAGACGCTGCCGCGCCGCTGGACGAGAATACTGTGAGAGTCCTCAAGCAAATGTGAGCACCGGATGTCGCCCTGTCTTGGGTGGTAATGCGCGCTGACTGCGTGATAGCAAAGCGGCGGGCGGACTTCAAAAGTTTGCTCATCTCGACACGACCGTTACTGTGATTGACGCCTTCACGATGCTGAATGATTTTGACACTGCGGATATCCTGTCGTCCCGTCGTAATGACGTTACCGCGGAAGACGAGCGAACGGTTTCGGATCTCATGGTCGACCAGATCGAGTTCGCCGAGGTCATCATTCTTAACAAAAGCGACATGGTGAGTCTTCGGAAACCGGGAGCTTACAAGGGGGAGAATTGAATCACTTACAAACTTCATCTGTAGGTTGATGAGGAAACTAAAATGGCAGCCATGAGCTTGATCAGGAAGCTCAACCATAGGGCCAAGATTATACAGTCTACCCGTGGCAAGGTGGATGTCAAGGAACTCGTCAACACGGGATTGTTCAGGCTGGACGTTGCCCAATCCGGCTACGGGTGGCTCCAAGACCTCCACGAGATGACGGTGCGCGAGGTAATAAGGCGTTGGACTGGATGGCTTGCGAAACTTTGTGTGCGCTGACTCGCAATCGCCCAGGTGAATGGACGAAATGTCGCGACGCCCAAGCCAGAAACCGAAGAGTACAACATCCAGAGTTTCATTTACACGCGACGCAGACCGTTCCACCCTCGACGGCTGTTTCGCTTGGTCCATGACAAGTTCATTCTTCAAATGGAGCATCCCGACGATGGCGAGGAAGAAGGGGATGAACAAGACGCCGTCATGGTCGAGCATACCCATGCGCTTCATTCCGGATCAGTCTCGGGGTCGGAGAGACGTGCTAGTGACTCGGAACATTCCGAGAAGAACTCCGCATCTACGGCCCGAACTGTGCCGTCTCTCGAAGGGGAGCCAGGGAAACACGCAAGCGACGACGAGGCCATGGATGTCGACACGGACACGGACATGGACATGGACATGGACATCCCATCCAACGCCACAATCCTGGCCAATAAACGTGCCCATCCCACCTTTAGACGTCTCTTTCGATCAAAGGGCGAGTTCTTCCTGGCCACCCGCCCCCATCGAGCGGGAGACTGGTCACAGGCCGGTGCCATGCTGACCTTGACGGGCGGACGACCCTGGTTCTGCACGCTGCCGGCTGAAGCGTACACTACCGGCGATAAAGAGGTCGATGCTCTTGTTCAGCACGATATCATCAAGGGCGGCCAGTGGGGTGATCGCCGACAAGAACTGGTCTTCATTGGCGAGAAGCTAGACCACGCAAGCCTGGAGACGCTGCTGGATGAGTGCTTGCTTACCGATGGTGAGATGGGGGAGTGGGAAAAGGTCATGACGGACGAGAAGCTTGACAGGGCGCTTCGTGTCGAGGTGCTGCAGGACGTGTTTGATGATGGATTCCCAGACTGGACCGAAGAAGATGATGACGGTGATGAGGGCCACCACGGCCACAAGCACACCATTTACTCCAAACACAGTGGGTGATTTGGCAACTGAAGACGTAACCAAGGTCGACACCACTGCCTGGGCGCCACAGCTTTTCATTTTCATGTCGCAGGTAGAACTCTATTCCATGAGGACGGGATCCAAGCACTACGGGTAATGTCAGTGGCATGGAACGTAGCACTTGGCCATCGATCCGAGGGTTACTCACCAATCGGAGCTTGGTTCATTTTCGCTTGTTTTCCTTCTCTTTCCTTTTCGTTCTTTTCTTTTCTTTTCTGTCGATATATTTCCGTGTGGATACATGAGCCGCATGGGAGCAAACACAACGAACGCGCGTGGGAACCCCTCCCCCAAGTGACGGCCAAAATTACTTTCTTCTCTCGTCCTGCCACAGGACTGCTTCCTCCCCCAGACGTTCGGACGCCCGGACGCTGGCGTTGTTGGTTCTTGGCAAACGAAACGTAAGGCAAAGAGACGAGCATAGAAAAGCAAACCACAACATCGACCCTTATCTTTGGGGCCTTGGCACGGGCGCAGTCGTTGCTAGTGGCTGACTTGTCACGAAATGTCTCAGTGCAAGGGGCCCGGTGTTTAGGAATGAAAGCTTGGGGCGTGCTTTGGGTCGTACTGGTGTTTGGTTGGAGGCCCGGAGACGCAGGGAATCGTCTATCGGGTGTCATTACTCGTTGTGACTGGTGACGTTGTAGTTAGTTAGGTTACTTCCAAGTTCTCGCCCAGAACGGGCATATGAGAGGCGTCTCAGCGCGAGTCTTGCGGCCACGTGCGACGATGTGTGTTCCATGGCCCATGGGCATGTTTGTGTGTGTTCCACGACGCCCGACACACGCAAACGGGCCACCTGCTTGCCGCTCAACGCTAATATAAGCATAAGAGCAAATCTCGGTCAGGCACGGCGCCTCGTCAAGTCATACTTGTGCGTCTTGGCCATGCATTCTGCGGGCACGGCCATGCCCACCGCCGCCCACGACGCCTCAGTTTCCACAGTAGGCTGGGGCTTGGAAGCCGATGATGACCATCCCTGCCTGCATCTTGGATGGGACTGCTGTCTTTGTCGAGCGGCGGGATCTGAATGGCCCGCTTTGCAATAACGTTCGTTAGCCCAGCAGCAGCCGCCCTGCTCAGGCAGCATAAGCCGGAGCTTCACGCATCGTTGGCTCCGATCGCCGGGGCCAACGTCGTTTTGTGTGTGAGCAAATCTACTGTCGATCCCAGCCCTTCTCGCGCTCCATTGACAAGCTCAGCCTTGCCGAGGCGTCTCGGAAAGGCACATGTAGTTGGTTCTGCACTTTGAATACGTTGCTCTGATTTCGATGGGCGTCTTGGCAATGTGCTACTGGTCCAACACTTGGGCCGTGCTCAATGGCCGGACATTGCGAACCTTGAGCGGGAAAAGAATGCTAATACCAGGCCCCGTGAGCCGTAATCTCGAATCCGTACGTCCTATGCCTCTGCGCAGACCTTGGTGTTCCTGCGAAGCGAGATTGTGTGGCAGGAGCACGGGGGGGCAACGGGCAATTCGCCCGGGTGCCCAGGTGGACCGCACGTCGGTTTGATATATATGTACTTGGCGGAGGTCATGTAGTGCCTTCATACCGACGACCATGGAGTACACTGGCACCATCTGCTGAACCAACTTTGTGTGGTCTCGACGCAAACCGCAGAATTTGAGCCGCTGCCAGCCAGTTGCCCCTCTCGGGTATTTCCAACCAGAGCCGGTTCTGACTCTGTCTTGGCACCCTGTCACCTACGGCCGTGTGCCACCGTGTGGCCGTTGCAAACGCCCGTGTCAGTCTTCTTTACTGCTTCCTGTTTCACCTTGTTTGCTTGCTGCCCTCTCCCCGGCTCATACCTGTCCGCCTGTGGCCCGAGACGAGAGCCCGGTATATTAAAGAGGCCTGCCCGTCGAGCAGCACCTCCACACACGCCAAAACCGTCCAGCACAACCAGCCCTCGCTCAGCAAATCACTGCCCCTCAACTTGCTACTTTGATCCGTATCTGCTCGGGATACTTACTTCCACGAGTCCAGGCTGGGGCAGTCTTTGGACAAGTCTCGACACAGCTCGAGGTTGGCTCGGTTGTCCTGCATGGTGAACTGTATTCCACCCCATCAGCCATGGCGAGCTCGTTTCACTTCGACGCGCAGCTCTGTAAGGAGCATGTGCAGTTTGCTTCGTATCTGGAAAAGTGGAATTTCAGAATAATATACTGGACCATGTTCGCCGTGAACTTGATTGTGCTGTTCTTTGGTTCATGGGTATATTCAAAGTATGTAAGCAACATGACCCCCTGGCGACGTGATGACTCGCGGTCCGTCACTGACGCACGGCATTGTGCAGAGGACAGGAGGCGATGGAGACGTTGGGGACCAACTCACGGCAACGAGCAAGAGTTCTCCGCACCTACATATTCATCTGTCTAGGCTGTTTAGCCGTGTCCACGGTCGTCGTCGTGATGGAGGTGTACGCCCTTTTGGCGCTGCAATTCTGCGTCGGCGAAGACCTCATGTCATTGTACTGGTCGACATGGACCATGCTGCAAGTCGGCTCACTGGTCGCCATTATCGGGGTCATCTTGGCCCTGTGCCATCACCAGAGAAATCGCAAGCACCCGTAAGCCCCATCGACTTCACCCACCGCTTGTTGCCCACTGTCGGCAACCCACTTTCCCACCGTGCTGACTTGGAACCAGACCCTGGGCACTGGCACTGGGAACGCCGGTTCTCGTGGTTGCAGGGCTTTTGCACCTCTTTCACGACTTCACAAAAAGACAAGTTCAAAAACTGCCGGGACTAGCCGGCAATTCATCAGACGAGGAGCAGGGACCACGGATCAGTCAAGCGTATGCACACAATCCCGAGCACTGAGGCACAATGTGATGAAAGCCGGACAGGTCCTAACCCGTCCACTCTAGGAATACCATTGCAAACCCGGGCCACGAAGAGAAATGCGAGGATGTCCATGCCGAGTTCATTGGCTTTACTGTCCAAGGTGGCCCTGTTGTCAGATTCACACAGCCCGTGGCGGAGATGCGGCAAGGGGAATTCTTGGGCCGCGATGACGACGGAGGGTCGACTTTTGCTTTCCCACGAGGAAGCATTCGGTTTGAGACGGGGCCAAGCAACATGACGGCGAGCCATTAGGCTAAGCGGGACAGACGACCGACAGACAATATAACAAGACGGTGGACGGTCGAGAAGTGCGGGACATGATGGCACAATAAGCGTTAGGAATGAATACCGTTGAGTTTCTGGACGACTCACTTTGCCCCCTCCCCTACAGCATTGTTTCCGTGCAAAGGGAGAGAAAGACAAATTGACGACCACGCCTCGCTTTCGACCATCTTGTGTGGTACGCTGATAACTGGCGTTGTGACTCATGAAACAAGTTGACATCAACTGATGGAGAAGCGTGGCGACGGAGGGTGGTTCCAGGCCGATGGTCACGTGCGGCCAAGCGGCTCAGGCCCTGGGATGATTATGATTAGCGAATAACTAATCGTGCCCGCCCCACTTTATGTGGTTCGGCTAGCAAAAGCCCTCACCACCAAAGGTGGTGCTCGACAGCAAGGCGGGCCGGACACCAAGGCGGGCCAATTTTCAACCTAGACGCGTTGAACCGCGAAAATGGCTGCAACTAGCGTCCAAACGGCAAAAAGCGATGTCGAATTACGTGTCAACGAGGCTCTTGAGTATATTGAGGAAAATCCAGGTGCAAAAATTCGCTCTGTGGCGAAGAAATTCAACGTGCCTCGTAGCCGGCTTCAACGACGTGCTAACGGCGTTCCTGCTAGGAAAGGCCATCCAGCAAGAAATACAATGCTTTCACGAGAAGAGGAAGTTGCTTTATGTAACTATATCGATCGCCTTGATAAGGCCAACTTCGCTGTACGACCTGAATTCATTACAGATGCTGCAAATTACATCCTAAAAGAGAGGGCATCGTCAACTGCCCCGCCTAGGCAAGTTGGAACGCGATGGACTACACGCTTTATCCAGCGGCATCACTATCATAAAGGTCTTCAAAAAAAGATTGATTCAAGTCGAAAAGCTTCAGAAGATGTGACAAGAGCTCTTTCTTATTACAACAAGCTTAAAGAGGCTATTCAGCAGTACGGAGTCCCTCCTGAAGATATCTGGAATATGGATGAGACTGGCTTTCGTATTGGAATGGGAAAGGACCATTTAGTTGTTACAAAGCGAAGAAGAGCGCATCTATTTTCAATGCCAGAAAACAGGGAGACTGCAACAGCAATAGAATGCATTTCTGCTGGCGGCAAAGTTATTCCTGCCTTTCTTATCCTTACAGGGCAAAAACACATGGAGTCCTGGTATCGGATAAAGGAGCTTGAAGCTAATACCAAAATAACAGTCTCACCAACCGGCTTTACGAATGACGAAATTGCAGTTGCTTGGATACAGCATTTTCAGGAATTTGCAACGCCAATAGGCAGATATCGCCTTTTAATCCTAGATGGCCACGGATCACACCATACAATTGAATTCGTTGAATACTGCGAACAGCACGATATAATTCCCTTTGCGTTGCCCTCGCACCTTACACACATCCTTCAACCTCTTGATGTTGTGATATTTCAGCCACTAAAGCATTATCATGCAAAGGCGTTGGATATCATTGTTCGAGACGGCGTGTTGAATATTACAAAGATTGAATTCCTTGCTTGCATTCAAGCTGTACGAAAACAAGCTTTCAAGACTACTACTATTCTCACAGCCTTTCGAAAAACTGGAATTTCACCCTACAATCCACAGCCTGTAATTGAGGCCCTTGAACAACGAGCTGCAATTTACACATCAACACCATCGCCGCCGCCGTTATATCACAACAACTCTTCCGACTTTGAGACGCCCACAACACTCAGGCAGATAAATAAGGTTGCCAACAAGCTAGGGGAGGTATTAGAAGACGATACATCCCTTGAGCCTGAGTTTGCACGCAATATCAGTCGTTTTATCCGCGGCTCTCTTATTGCAGCTACTGAGCTTATGACCTGGTTTATAGCAGACCACCCACCAGTGACTTGGGTGGGTCAAATTGAACACAAATCCAACTACAGATTGCTTGAACACGCCCCATGGGCCATGACCCATCAGACACTTCAAGTACGGTAGACCCTGACTCTTGTAGAGCCGCGACCTTCGCTGGCGTCTGCGCACGTCGTGATGGCGCCTGGATGCATGTGCAACGCAATTTATCAAGCTACGTTGATTTGAGTCCTGACGGCCGCAGGAGGTGCGGGCGCCAGAGAGAACGGGTCCCGCGGTTGCTTTGCTAATCTAATCAGTTGCTTTAACCCCCAGGACCGTCCGTCCGTCGTTTCCTCCTCCAACCAACCAGAGTCAACTGCTGACCAACAATCTGCGACCATTCAGCCAGAGCATCTGCATGCATCATTCAGGCTTGGCGCACTCCGTACGCCGACCCAGCCCCGAATCCGCTCACATCTACAATCATATTCCGACACTTGTCTCAGGCATTGGCGGGGGGGTTTGGTTGCTGGACCAGACACTGCATAGTTGTTTGATACAGCATGGGCCTGGACAAGGTTAGGCACATTGTGCTGGTAAGCACCGCGCTGCGGCTGTGTTGTGATTGATGCGCACGTTATTCCCCTCACAGGGAAAAAAAAAAGTCACTGCCAATCCATAGCTTTGCACCATGTGCTAATAACTGACTCAAGGTTCTATCAGGCAAGGGCGGGGTGGGCAAATCATCCGTGACCACGCAGTTGGCGCTCTCGTTATCCCAGGCCGGCCATTCCGTGGGCATTCTCGATGTTGATCTCACGGGGCCTTCTATCCCTCGGATGCTGTCCATCGAGGACTCAAAGGTCACGCAAGTCCCGGGCGGCTGGGCGCCCGTCTCGGTCCATCCAGGGGACGCCGGCGCCGGCGTCGGGAGCCTGCACGCCATGAGCTTGGGCTTCCTGCTTCCAAAACGAGGCGATGCCGTTGTTTGGAGAGGCCCCAAGAAGACGGCCATGATTCGGCAGTTTATTCGCGATGTTCTCTGGCACGATACCGAGTATTTGCTCATCGATACGCCACCGGGAACCAGCGACGAGCACATCTCGCTTGCCGAAACGCTGCAAAGTGAGGCTCTTCCCGCGCAGGTTGCAGGTGCCGTCGTCGTGACCACGCCTCAAGCAGTCGCCACGTCCGATGTCCGCAAAGAGCTCAACTTTTGCTTCAAAACGGGCATCCGCGTCCTGGGTGTGGTTGAAAATATGAGTGGTTACGTCTGCCCTCACTGCTCGGAGTGCACCGACATCTTTGGCTCTGGGGGCGGTCGCAGCATGGCAGACGAGTTCAACGTTCCGTTCCTGGGCACGGTGCCCATGGATGCGCAATTTATTTCTTTGCTTGAGGAAGGTCGGCAACCACAATATCCAGTCGGCACACGCATCAACGGACGCGACATATCCTCGCCTACTCCGCACGGAGGCGACGGCAGTGACGTCAACAGCGGCCGCAACCTGGTTGATAAGTACAAGCACTGCTCGCTCTCGCACGTGTTTCAAGACATTGCGACAATGCTTACGGCGAAAATCGCAAGCCAGGCTTGAGACGGCAGTGTTGGACAAAATCTCTCATCCAATGAGCCTTGGCTGCGTTCACATTGTCCGAATCAAGGCCAACTTTACACCTACGGAATTCACAAACCGGATCATGACGAAAGCTTAGCTTGCACTTGTGCTGTGCCGCTGCGAGGAACGCGGCTTGCTATACAAGCAAAAGTCGGCAGAGAAGATGCTGAAATGGCTGAGCAGGAGGGGCAACCTGACGATGTTGGAGGGCTGAGAAGGCTAGATTTTCAGGAACCAGACCAGCACCGAGGGATCTTCTGGCTCGTCATGGGGTAGCTGCCACGCTGGGTAGCAATACATGCGGACTCTGAAGCAGGCCAAGGCCCACCATGCTGATGATGGAGATTGATGGGTGCAAGCGAACCTCAAAAAAAAAAAAGAAAGAGGCACGAGCAGCTCGTGCTGGCCAACCACGAAGGAACCTAGAATCAAGGGTCCCAGGAACAACGATAACTTGGGAGCACAAGCGCGGCACAAGATGAGATTCATTTATCCACGTACTAAAACAGGCTGTGCAAGAACTGCGGCGTTCAGAGTACAGAAGATCTTGGAGATGTGGACATGAAAATAAATGGACGGGACAGCACAACAGCGAGTCCACAGCCAACTGTAGGGATCGACAAAGACTTGATGGACGTGAGGCAGGATAATGCATGGGCTAACTTGCCGTCGTCGTCCCGCCCATCCAAGGCCAATTGCAGGTCCAGATGCAACCCCGTCCAAGACGTACACCAGACGGTCCAGGTGCAGGCGCGGGCGCAGACTGTCGGCTTGTACGAATCCTCAAGAGCCACAGTCAAGTCCTCTGCCAGCACTTGAGCGTCTGTTTGTGCTCACGGACACGGGTCGGCAGGACTGCGAGAGGCTCTCAAGAACGAAATGTAGGACCTCTGAAGCCTAGCGCTGGAGGGGAGATGGGAACAGCGCCAGACCTTTTTCATCTTCATCTTAATCTTTGTCGTATTCCAAGTGAGCAAAGTAGCAGTCCTACGTCATCAGCAAGTCATGCCGCGGCCCACGAACGATGCCGTCCGTCTCATGCACGAGTGGTAATGAGTGAGATCTGAGAAGATGGGATGGAGATGGAGGGCCCGCGGCCCACGGCCCACAAGAGCCGACACACCGTCTACAAGTACTAGGGATTGCTTTGAAGAAGGAAGAAAAAAATCAGTGCAATCAATACTGTTGCTAGGTACCCAGGTAACTGCGTACGTACTTTGCTAGCAAAAAAACTCTGTTGTCACCCGCCAGCCACGCCACGCCACCCTCAAATGCCCAAGACACCCACTTTATCCACTTTGACGTCCCAGTCAGTCAACTTACATCCTTTCGCATCCACACTTGGGCGCCGACGTCTCTTTCTTTCCTTCCTCCCTTCTCTTTGTGCGCCTCACACGATCAAGCATTTTCTTCGCCATCCACCTCTTCAATTGCATTGAGCCGCGAGACACAATTTCGACAGTCATCTATGGGCTTGTCCCGGCCATAAAGTCCTGTTCCAATCCCGTCTGCCGTCTCCGCGGCGGACTCGATTCCGATTCCGCACCGGTTTCTCGCGAGCATCATCCCCCTTGCCCCCTTGCCCACAAATTTTTTTGAACCGCATTCTATGCATTCGTCTGATCCACTGCGCTTCCTCTTCTCTCGACCTTGCAAGTACGTCTCACCATCTCTGCCTACGATTACGACTTGATTCACTGACTGTCTTCTTTCTCAGGCCTCGATAGCACCCTTTCACCAGACAAGAGACCTCTTTGAACCCTCGCGCAAGGCAAGCCTAACGTGCAGATATCTCTGCCTGCTAGCTCCGGTACTTTCCCACGGGTATCGGACTACGCCTTCAGTCATCCAACATTCTGTCACAGAAGCTGTTTCTTCACTCCCTCCGCTTTCGACCCCCTTAACGTCCTTCTAGAGACGTTAGCGACTCCTCGACACGTCTTATTGCTGCTGGCTACGCCAGCGACCCTGGAACAACCACCTCCTGCGGGCCTACTCTCTCAGACAGACACCGCAAGGTCTGTTTGAGCGGCAGCTAGTGCTCCGCAGACTCTGCCTAGCGGGCAAAGAAAGGAAAACGAAAAAAAAAATCCGTTTTCGCAAGCAAGGGCTTCCAGCACTTGTTAGTGTCTCATTCTCCGCCCGGTCTAAACAGAGAGACCCGGTTTGATCCCTACGTCTCCTCATCATTGCCAAGCCTGGTGCGGCTCCTGCCTCTCCAGAGAGCGAGACGTTAATTATGGTCAACCTTTCAGTGCCTGAAAACTATACATTCTCCCCGTCCTCGGCAACGCCGCATTTGACCATCAATCACGGCGTCGCTGCCGATCTGGATTCCAGCAATGCCTTTGAAGGACCCGAGAAGCTGCTGGAGGTGTGGTTTGCTCCGAGGCCCTCAGGTCTGCCCAGCTCTGCCGCGCCCAATGGCTTGAAGAGTGTCTCCGCGGATACTTGGGTCGGTATGTTGGACATGGTCAATTGCAAGATTCTGTCTGTTCTCCAGTCAGACGACGTCGATGCCTACTTGCTGTCCGAGTCAAGCATGTTCGTCTTCCCCCACAAGCTTATTCTCAAGACCTGCGGAACCACCACTCTCCTCCTCGGTCTCCAGCGCCTGCTTCACATTGCGGCTGTCCATGCCGGGTTTCCTTTCCACAATGCCAACTCGGTCTACGACGTTCGAGCCGCGGCAACACCATACCGTGTCTTCTACAGTCGCAAGAATTTCTTGTTCCCCGATCAGCAAAAAGGCCCTCATCGAAGCTGGAAGCAAGAAGTCAAGTACCTGGATGACTCCCTCGAGGGAGGGGGCAGCGCCTACATGGTGGGCAAGATGAATGGGGACCATTGGTACCTCTACATCACTTCGCCCAACCAAACCCTCACCCCTCCCCTGACTCCGGATTCCGAGCCGAACTGCCAGCCAACCCCTGCCATGACTATCTCTTCCAATGGCGGGAGCTCAGCCGGCGGCTCCTACAGTCACAATGATGAGACCCTGGAAATTCTCATGACCGATCTTGACCCCGACAACGCCAAGCAGTTTTACTTGTCGCACGCGAGTGCGGTCGCGAGCGACGGGCTTGCTGCTGAAGCGAAAAATGCACGCAAGCAGGCACAGGATAGTGTCGGCTGTCTTGACGCCGCCACCCCTGAGGAAATCGATGTATTTGGACAATGCGACAATGGCGATTTCGAGACGGCCAAGGCCGAAGGCACTGAGGAGCTGACCACCGAGGGCCACGCTCTCGGCTCCGTTGTCTCCGAAAGCTGCGGCCTCAACGACGTCTACCCCACCTCGGTCTACCCGGACGCCCGTGTGGACTCGTATCTCTTCAGCCCCTGCGGATTTTCCGCCAACGGCGTGGTTCCTGCTCCTGCTTCGCCTTCCGCCGATGATGACACGGCCGGCGCGACGCACTACTTTACTGTGCACGTCACCCCCGAACCAGGCTTCTCCTTTGCATCCTTCGAGACCAACGTGCCTGGGGGGCAAAAGGGTCGCACCACAGCAGAGATTATCGAGCACGTGGTCAACATCTTCCGCCCCGGCCGGTTCAGCGTCACCCTGTTTGAGGCCAAGGGTTGCAGCGCCAACTCTTATGGCATGGGCGATGGCACATTTAAGAGCCTCTCGATGCAGCGTCTGGTCGACCCTGTCCGCGGATACCGGCGTGTAGATCGCATTGTACACGACTTTGAAGATTACGACTTGGTCTTTCGATTCTACGAGCGTGAGGACTGGCTGGGCGACAAGGCTGCGCGCGTGGGAGAAATTGAGTGAATTGATCGATCTTGACGATGACGCAAAGCTTCCACTTGGAATTTTCTTTTCCTATTTGTCATGTTGACCCAGGCATTCAATCTGGTATGAAGGTCTAGTCTGCCTCGTGGGATTTAATTTCGGCTCCAACTCTGTACGCTCGCTCTCTGGATATGTATCGCAGAGCTTGCTACGTAATTTTCTGTCAGCCAGCACCAACGTCCGCGCTCTCTTTGGAATACTATTCTGAATAAAAATCCAGTGCCTACTCCCGCTTTGTAACTGCTCGTCTCTGAAACCCTCTCTGGCAATCAACAGTGTCCATCAAACGTGCTATTGCAGGTTAGATACTCTTGTCCGGAAACTGGGACAAAGAAGACCAGAAAAGCCCCCTCCGTCCAAGGGTCCTATCAATAAGGCACGTGACCACCCTGCAAAATTTCCATGCAGTCCCGCCAGCCACACTCCCCGACACCACCATCAGCCGAAGCTTTTTCGTCAGCCTTGTTCATCCATTTTTATTTTCTCTGCAAGTCCCTACATCTTCTCGGAAGTTTCCAAGGCTCAGTTCAACCCGCCACAGAATGCATCTCATGTACACACTCGACGCCAGCGGCACCAGGCTGTACACGCTGAAAAAGGTGGCCCACGGACAAGTCACCAAGTCGGCGCACCCGGCGCGCTTCTCGCCCGACGACAAGTGGTCGCGGCAGAGGGTGACGATGAAGAGGCGCTTCGGCTTGCTCCTCACGCAGCAGAGTACGTTGGGCCTGCTTGTTGGGTGGTGCGTGGGCGTGGGCGTGGGCGTGTGCTAACTTGTCCAGAGGAGGAGTAGGTCTGTCCGCAGACGTGCCGTGTCAGATCGGGGTCGACGGGTGGCACGGGCGGACCTTGGCCCAGGGAACGATGTCATGCGGCTGGGCGGGCGTTTGGGTCAGCTGCGGGTTTTATTCGTCTGTTGTTTGCATTGCGCTCTACTGCTGTGGACTTGGGGATTCGGGGCAGCGCGCGTGCCTCGCGCGTTGGTGTGCGGGCGAATTCGAGACGTGGGCTGCCCGGGGCATGTCGAGGTTTTATAAAACGAAGGATATGTACATGCGTCTGAGGGGAATTGATGAAGGAATTTTACGCTCTAATGCTTTCTCTTTGCATTCACGTTTCTGCCGGCCCCGACGCGCACCTTTGCCGCGCTGCCGGACCTCCTCCCGCTCAGTATGCCCGGCAGGACGTCCTCGTCCATCACGTCCTGTCTGCGCTGCCTCCTTTGCTCCTCGCTGGCTCTGATGTACTCCTTTTGGTCCTCGGCGAGAATCAGATGGCGGCCCCAGCCGTTCTTGCCGCCCGCGCCCTTGGGCGGCCGCCCGTTGGCGGAGCCGTGGACCGCCTTGGGCACGCTGTAGACGTTGCCGCGGTTGTTCCACTGGAACTTGGTCTTGAGGTGGATCTGGAAGTTGCCGTGCTGGTCGGTCGAGCAGCTGGTGCGCGTGAGCGTGGGCTGGCCGCACTTGGGACAGAACTGCTTCTCCACGTCTTTGGTGATGGCGAAGCAGCCGTGGCACCGGAGCACCCAGTTCTTCAGGTGCGTGATGCGCGCCAAGGCCGGCGTCACGAGGTTGATGTTGATCCGGAGCGCGACGTTTTGCATGGCGTAGTCGGACGTGAGAATGGCCGCCTGCAGCGTCTTTTGCGCGGCCGGCGTGCTGCTGCTGCTGCTGCTGCTGCTGCCGCCGCCGCCCGCCGAGTCGGCGGCTTGGTGTGTCTTCAGGTTGGACGGCGTGATCCAGCCTTGGTCGTCAGAGTCTTGTTGCGTCGCGGCGGTTGCTGGATCGGAGGCTGGCCGTGGTTCTGGTCCTGCCGTGGCTTCCTCCCGCAGACTCGCATCGTCCAATCGCGCCGCCAGCGCCGCCACCTCTGCCCGGTGGCCTCGTTGTTCTTCAGAAGTGTCGTCTGGCGAGTCTTCCGCACCGGCCCGGGTCTCTGCCTCGCCCGGCCGTCCATTCAACCGCTTCTGCCCGGGGGCGTTCCTCAGTCTCCAGTCGCCGCCGTTCCTCTCACACTCGAGTTCGTAGCCGAGCGCAATGACCTCGACATCAGGCCGGCTCAGGACCGACAAGTCGCCCGTTCGCCTCGCAAAGTCCGTCACAAACTTTATGCTCGCGGGGCCGGGGGCGCGGAGGGTAACAAACGGCAGGAGCGTCGTCTCGACCCGCGCGCGGGTGGCGGGGTCCCTGATTTCAGACACGACCGACGGAATCGTGTACAGCTTTTCGGCCTGGGCGAGGAGCGCGCCGACTGGAGGGTCGTTCTTGATCAGTGGACCGGTATCAAGGACCAGGCTGTGGATGGGTTTGAGGCTCGCCGGTGGAGAAGCCGGCGGCTCTGCTGGCAGGGTGGCCATGACGAGCAAGGAGCGAAAATAGTCGCCGCTGCGCCTGAAGATCCCCCTGTATCTCGTGATATTGCGTGCGCTGCAAGCGAGGGAGCTTGGAGAGGCTTGTTGTCGAGTCGTGGAAAGAAACGGCGTCGCGGTGATGGTGATGTTGAATTGGTCACGACGTGGGGGCAACTCGCAGTTTCCCACAAGTTACAACGGCCCAATTAAAAAAAAGGAAAAAAAAGAGAAGGCGGGTCTGCCACGAGATGTGAGAGCTTTCGTGGCGTCACGTGCGACCTTGACAACTGTTCACCAACAGTGGACCGTGATGGCCAAAGCATCGTCGTGTAGACGCAGAACACAACTAATAAAAAAAGCTGACCACCTTTTTTCTTCTCCAAAAAGGATGACTCCTCATGTACAGACGGAGTCAAGACACAAGTCACCAAGCACCGCCTTTACCAGACGTCTCCGCGCGCACAACAACGGACTTTTATTTGGAGCTTACGACGGGTTGTCCATGGAACCTTGTTTCTATTTCTTTTTATAAAAAGCAAAAGTGAGAAAAAATGCACGTTATTCTACCATCCAACTGATGACGTGGGCCCAGCACTCGGGGGGAAAAAACACAATAAAGCTTTGAGTCGAGGACAAAAATGTTCCATTTACAGCTTCGACGCCCGGTTGTCGGCCCGGAACAAGACACTTGAGTCCGGGTAGGGATCAAAGGTAATGTCGTTGAGGGGGTTGATCTCGGAAGCCCGGTGGAACATGTCCTCGTACACACGACCGTCGTACCGACCCAGCGAGCTGTCGAGCTGCCAGTCGGAGAACTTCCAGGCGTCGACCAGCTTGACGGCGTGGGGGCGGATCTCCTTGAGCAGGGAGAGGGTGCGCCTCGTGCGCGCCAGCTGGATCTGCCGGACGGTCGAGGCACCGCTGGTGAAGAACTCGGAGGCGTGCGACTGTAGGTAGTTGAGCGCGAAGAGGCGGAACAGGCCGCGCAGCATGGCGGTGGTGGCCGGGTCGAGGGACGACGTGGTCGCGTCGTCCTGGAGCGTCTCGTGAAACTCCTTGATGATGAGGTACTGCGCAAAGGCGGTGGACAGGCGCCAGAAGTCGACGAGGAGGCTGTTCCAGGCCTGCTTCTCCTCGTCCCGGTGCTTGAGGGCCTCAAAGGTCAGGAAGGCCACGCGCCAGCCAAAGGCCCTGACGAGGTCGGCGTCGCTGTGGAGGATGTCAAAGGCGGCGCCGATGTCTTGCCGCGCCCTGAACTCGGCCAGGACGCGCGAGACGTCGTTGGACGCGGGCTTGCCCCCGACGACGGCGCGCGCCGACTTGAGCAGGTACCGCGCGACCTGCTGCGTGAGCATGTAGTTGTCGCCCTCCCAGGTGACGGTGGGCAGGTAGTCGGCGTACCAGCTGCCGATGCCGGAGAAGGCAGAGTATCCGTGGCCGCCGCACGCGCGGCGGCACACCTCGAGCCCCTCGGCGGCCACGGTGGACGAGAAGGCCTTGAGGGCGCACGAGGTCGCGTGGAGGTCGGGGAGCATGTCGTGGTTGGCCCGCGAGGAGGGCGAGGGCGCGGCCAGGCGCTTCTGGTTCTCGTTGTACTGCCTCAGCATGGCCCGTCCCGTAAAGTGCAGTGCGTACGTGGCGGCCAGCAGCGGGAGCAGACGGTGCTGGACCATGGTGTAGTCGATGACCTGGTTCTCGCCCAGCTCGTCGTTGGCGCCGTCGCGGTCTTGGAACTGCCGGCGGACCGCGCAGTAGCGGACGGCGATGGTGACGCCTCGGGCCAGCACCGACCCGGACTGTAGCACGATCTGGGATCGGATAAAGGTCATGGTGCCGTAGACGAGGGCCGGGTTCTGGGGCCTGATGTACTTGCCCGTCTCGGGGTCAACGCCTGAGAAGCGGCTGAGCAGGCTGACGTGGGGGACCTTGACCCTGTTGAAGAGCAGGAAGCCGTTGTCCATGGTGTTGTAGCCAAACTTGGGGCCAATGTCGCCCACGTGGATGTTCGGCAACGGCTTGTGCGTCTCGAGATGGCGAATCTGCACGAAGAACGGATGCGGCCCGTACGTCTTGCCGTCGATGACGAGCTGCGCAATCACAACCGCATGGTTGGCCGCCTTTCCGAGCGAGCCGATCCACCACTTGGAGGCTGTCAGGTGTGGTGTATGGATGATAAAGGTCTTGTCCTCCCGGTTCCACGTGGCCGTGGTCTCGAGACCCCGAACGTTGGAGCCGTGGCCAAGCTCCGTCTGCGCGTAGCAGCCGATGTACTCGTAGTTCCGGGCCTTTTCGAGGAACAGCTTGTGCTGCTCGGGCGTGCCCTGCTCCTGCAGCGTCTTCAAGAACATGGTGGCGTGCAAGCCGTACGGCGTCGGCTCGCCAACGAGGTCATTGGCGGCCGTGTACTCGTCCTCGTCCCATTGATGCTTGACTGACAGCCGTCTCAAGGCCTTGGCCCTTGCCAGCGCGGCCTCGATTCTCTCGATGCGGCCGTTGAAGTAGTTTCGGGACTTGTCGAAGACGGGGTCGGACTGCAGAATCTCCAAGATTTTGGCGTTTCTCTCGAGCACCCTGCTGGTGTGCATGAATTCGGCGAGCTTGTCCACGTTGACGTTTGACCTGGCTCGTTCCTGCTCCAGCAGCTCTTGTCCGTTGAGGCCGGAGGGCTTGAGGGCCTTGACCCAGTCGGGATTCGGGGGGGGCATGGCGAGCTCTGCGAAGCAAGATGCTCTGGGGTCTGAGGGAGTTTGGGAGAGTGGTTGAGTGATTTGGCGATGAATCTTTGGGGAAGAACGGGGACGACGCCTTGGACAAGGGGGGGTTTAAACCTAGAATGGGAGGCGGGAACGTGGTGTCATGGCATATGTCGCAAAGGACTTGGGATGTATGGGAGCAAGAACTCACGCCGTCCCGAGGTTGATGGCATTGGCTCGGTACGACGTCTCGCGGCGTGGCGGTTTGCGAGGTCGGACGTGTCGGAATTATGCCCAAGAGCCCACGATGTGGGGCGGCGTGGAACTAAAAACGGCTGATGCCCGTGATGATGGCGGTGGTGGTGACGATGGGTGAGCCCCAAGGGATGCTTTCTCGGTACGCAAGCGTTTGGTGGCGACGTGGCCCTCGGCACTGGCAGCCTCTTGGCGGCACTTCGAACCGCAGCTTGTGAGTGTGGATTATCGTGCAAGAGATCGATAAGAGAGCCGCTGGTTATCACGGCATGGGCATGGGATGGTTGGGATGGTTTGGGATGGTCTCACAGGCGAGCTAGCTCGGGCCGGACGATGGATCGAGGACCCCTGTTTGGCCTAGCTTGCTTCAGCCAAACCCAACACCAACATGACTCGACAGGCCGGTTCAGGTTAGAATTCCCATGTGCTGCGTCTGGTGTCAACCCGATTCTCAGTCGCGCAGATGCCAGCCAGAGTCGGGATAATGCGCAAGGCGGACATGGAATATTCATTTCCAGCATGCCTTGGCGCGGCGACGGCAGCAGCAGTACTGCGACTGCAGAGCAACTTGGTTGCTTTCCGTCAAGAATATATCCCAAGTTATAATCTTCACACACAATCCACGTCCGGCGTCGCCCGTCTGCAAAGTGCCGAGGCACATCTGCTCCGACCGGCGCCGATACCGACCGACTGGGTGAGGCGGAAGGTGCGGCCAGTGCTGCCGTTACACCACTGCTCCTTCCTTGCCCCGGCTAGTTTCCGTCCACCTTGACGTCAATCAAGGGGCTTCCTCGGGTACATGTCAGGGTTAGGGTTGTGTCAACAATGTCGACTTGGTGGCACTGTCTCGAATTAATCTGCTCATCTCGCCGTGATTCTGCATCGTGGCCTCAAGCGCTCCCGCTGGTGCAAGCCCGTACCTGTCTATTCCGGGTAAATGTAACTTGGCACGCCCAAGTCGCGGTGCACTTCTGCCTCTGTTCATGGAGCCGGGAAGCATGGTACACACTACAATGCCACAACTTATCAACATGATCTCAACGGGTCTAGTAGTTGCGGAAGCCGTCCCGGGAAGTGAACATGGTGCAGCGGCCCTCATCGGTCACCTATCTGGCCAAATGCCCCCAGGATACGTTCGCGAATGGCCTCTACTGTTGCCAATCCCTGCAACTTGCCGCTTGAAGAGTCAGTGTTTTCGCTGCCCCGTTTCTTGAACTGCGCCAGGCACAAAATCGTCCACCGCTGGCTACGGAGTATGTCAGACGATATGCTTGTGAATCATGGGCCAGCCAGGGTGAGAAATCCGGCTCCCAAATCATGGCCTCACTTGGGACTGCACCCGAAGGGGACACGCCTGCGAGACCGCCTTTTCCGAGCGAGTCCCGATGAGAAACCAGCACGCATAAGTGCTTAAAAGCCAGCTCTAGACTTTGCCCTTTTCCACTCGGCTATTCGAACGCAGTGGCCAGCTGGAAAGTCTGTAGCACCGCCGATTCTCGACCGGCAAGACGTGACGCGTTTCAGAGAAACAGGTCAAGGGCGCAATACAGCGTCGCCCATTCTCCAAATGCATGTTCTGTCCAAACATGTACATGTGGACACCGTGATCATCGCTCTCGTGGCTAATGTCGACGTGCTGTTCCGGATCCAAATACATGGAAACCGGCCTGCCAAACCTGACCGTGCTCAAAACCGCGCGCTCTTATGCTTGATGGATATAATCAGTTCGGCACTGAGACGTTCGCGGCTCTCTAGTTGAGCCCGTTCTGGGATCATCTTGCGGCGGCACCACACAGACGTCAGGTGAGAAGACTTGGTTTTTTCCTAATGAGGTTTGTGTATGTTTTTCCACCCTTGTCCTCACTTGGAGTCTCTGACAGGTAGACGTGCGAGTTTCAGTCCATTTGCCTGGGCCTATATACAGATCGCGATTGCTTTCCGAGGGGCTGAGTCATCATCAGGGCCCTTTGACGATGCTCTGTAGAGTGTATCACATGTTGCGTGCAGATTGAGGTCTATCACGTCAAAATACGAGGTTTCTAACGCCAGCAAAGTTCGAATGTTGATGTAATGTATGCAGCGATACACCGTCGGGTGCGTTTCTGATCTCCTTGGTTAAAGACTGTAATTCTCGTTTCAAAAGCGCAGCGGTCGAGGTACGTGCAACACATGAGCGTAGAAGAGGGGGAGTTCAACATCAACGATATTTCTTGTTATTAGCTAACAAATGCAGCTTTTTTCCAGTACAGATACCATACCTAGAGATATCCCGCCGAGTGGTTGAGTTGAGTTGTTGTCGTTCCTTGGCCATGAATGGTCTAGGGTAGCCACGTCGCATCGCGACTCCAACGGCTGATTGCTCCCTCGTGACGAAAGACTCCGCGGGATGCAAAATGCCGATACTCTGGAGATCGTGGAGAAATCAACACCCCAGATTGACTGCATTTCTCGCTCCCCAAGGTCCAATCGCATATTACTCCGTACTTTGGCAACGTTGTCGAGACCCATCTGCGGAACTGCTCCCGTATCTGCTACCGCGCTGTTGATAGCCGAAACTAAGCGCATGCAAGGAACCCAGCGTTGCATATTATGCCAAATACGAGAGACTTCACGTATGCCCTCGACACGTCAGGGTCACAGGAAGCCATGGCGGCAAGGGCTAGTGCTTAGGCGGACAAGACATTGACGGCAATATTAATAGAACCCGTTCAACAATAAGCATAGACATTGCTGGGTACAAAGGTTGCGAGGCTTGGTGGAGTTGCATTGCCCAAACTCCACCTCCAGACAACACTGCCCTTGCAACCCCGGATGCTTTGAACCTGACAAAGGTTCAAATTACTAAAAACTGTCTCAAAATTATGGAGAAGCAGAGGGAGCAGTAAATCGTGTAATAGTCGTGTCATGCCCATCCCCATGGGGGTGACATGGTCAGTTGGGGTCAGTTGTCAGACCTGTTTACTTTGTAGATCCCAACGCACTTGTTGACCAATGATGATATCGACAAGGAAATCGAGGGCTGGCTGCTGTGGAGCTCAGTCAATGACGTACGTAAGCAACGACGCGGGAATAGACGGGCGCAAATCAACGATGAGGTGTTTTCCAATGCTGATATATGTCGGTCGTTGCGCGTAGACATGCTGGTTGAGACTAACCTCAACTGGTAAATACTATGCGGTGCTCTGGCGCTCACACATGCGGACGGAGGAAGACCTGCGTGTCTCGGTTGGCACATCTTGGACAAACGGCACCAATGCTCGTTTGACTGGCTGACTGGGCAGACGCATACGATAGCAGTCGACATAACGCTATAACAACGGCGCCGGCTCACCACAGGACAGCGTGGTGACGTCCAACCACCCTTGCAGCTCATGGTCGGCATAATACAACGCTTTGTTTCCAAAAGTAGAGCGTACCGACCAAGATATTCCGCGGGACAAGCAGCAGACTCGGAATAGGTGTGCTCGCAGTCCGTGTTGTGCTTAGTCATAAAGCATGAGGCCAGGAGGCCGTCGGGGACTCGCAAAGTGAAGGGTCGCTCGTTCAGCGGCGTGGCCGGTTCACGCGGGTCACGCAAGGTAATTGATGGGAGAAAAAAGCAAGACGCCGGGGGGCTTGGCTGACCAATGAAGCCTCTTGCTTTTGCTCTCTCTGCGTCAATGCCTTGTTGGTGTGTACGTCTTGAAAATTTCTAGAAGTGTTCGACGGATTCCCCGCCCCGCAAGGGTCAGGCAAAGCCCTAGCAGTGATGATTGAGGTATTAACCGAAGAGGGGTACCGACCGTGGCAGGGTTGTTTGGGAAAGTTGTTGTTTACATGTGGGGAGCTGGTGAGGTGTGAGTGGGTTCGATTTGGGGACTGACTGGGACGGAAGAGAAAAAATTCTCGAAGAAGAGAAAAGGCGACGAGAGATTGAGCGAAGCTGGAGTCGGGAGACCCAAGGGGGTCGAAGGGGGGAAGGGGAGGTGCAACTGTTTTGGTTCGTAGGACGGCAGTGGATAGAGAGAGAGAGAGAGCGATGGTTTGATGGCTTGACTGGATGAGTTGCCCAGATGGATACAGAGCCAGGCCCGACAGGAGTGGGCGTGGATGGAGAGGTGGAAATTGTTGCAGGCGGCGGGCGATGCATGCTTTCGTCGGCCGTGGTTGCGTGGCCAGAGTCTGCAGTAGAGTTCAGACTCCAGAGTTGAGAGTCGACGTTTCAGACAATTCTGGGCGTTGTGCGCGACCGGATTGATGGTTAGCCCTCGTCCTGTGGCTTGGCTTATCGGGCATTCAAAGAGCAGGAGCGACCGGCGGACCGGACTGGGTTCGTGCCACAGGTGGGATGCCAAGGTCACCTGATCCGTAACGGAGCAGGGGGGCACGGACTTGCGGACTTGTGCAGCTGCTGCAGGCCACTGAAGAAGCAACGAGCCTTGGCCTTAGTACACTGTAATCAGCCAAGACGCCAGCTGGCTCATCGGAGTCATCGCAGCAACCAAGCGACGTCGAACGGCTGGCTGAGAGACGGCCGCACCATGGTCCAGTCCAGGGTTGGCTGGGTGCGGCTTGCGGCTTGCGGCTTGCGGCTCGCGGCAATCTGTGTGGCACATTGGCCCGCCCCTGATTGGCCGCGTCCAGACGGGAAGCGAGATTGCCTGCGAGACGGACTGCAAGCCACAGCAACATGCCGCCTGGCAATACCCGACGTCATCTCCCTCATCCGGCACCCGACCACCACCACCACCACCACGACGGCCACGGCCACGGCCACGGCCCAAACACTCGTCCCGCATTCGGCGGTCGCAAGACTTCTGCTCGGGAGGAATGCGAAGCGCGAAATCCACGGCTCGCCCACCGAGCACCGAGCACCGCCCTGGACGGCACAATGAATTCAGGGCCTGCCTCACGGCAATGCTGGGCAATGCTACCCCAGGATCCACGCCGTCACGACTCACGACACAGGCACCGGTCGATATGGAACACGCGGAAACTTACTCAACCAGAGAGCCAGGTGCTCAGCAGCTCTCCTCTCGCCCGCCAACCCGCATGAACTCCACGTACGCACTGGCAATGACACGTAGTGGCACGGAGTGCTCGATACGGACTTGGCTGGGAACCCCTGGCTGGGAACCCTGGCTGGTGACCTCGTCTTCTGCCGCTATCTGCCAGAGGGGGTCGAGCAGCTCATTGCTATGACTCCGTCAATGACGATGATTCACACACAGTTGGGACTCGCAACAACACGTCGCGACCCACTCCATTACCCTCACAAAACACGTCTTTCGCTCACTTCAGGGCCACCACCAGCAAGAGCGAAACCTTGGATCGAGGCCGAGGAGAGAGAAGCCCGGCGCTGGCCATGCCGCTAGCCGCGTGCTGCGCTTTGCGACCCACCCATGTCCTCTTCTTATTCTTGCCGGGCAAACCTAAAGCGAAAGCAAACCACGTTTGCGGGGAGGAGCCGCCAGTGGGCGAGCGAGCATCTGGATTCTGGGGTACGGCGGCGTTGAAGCGAGCGCCAGAGACTTTCTTCCCTATCTCTTATCTTGCAGAGGTGGCCAGACGGTCTGGATCTGGATCTAGGTCCCATCTCCATGACCCATAATGGTGACGAGGGATTATGGACACGGACAGCGGTGGAATGCCTCGCTGCGCCGGCGACAAGGTCAGGCACGTCAGTCGCGAAAACGGGGCCTGCTGCGCGTCATGTGCGACTAGGCGACGATGTGATGTGAGGTGATGTGATGCGACGGGATACGATGCGATGCGATGCGATGCGATACAGTTCGACACGCGCAATACAAGACGAGCAAGAGCCAGACGGATGTGGTCGGTCATGTCCTCTCTCGGTCACTCGGTCACTCTGTGCGTCACGTCTTTCTTGGCCGTCAGCGCTTGCAAATCCCTCTTGGTTCTGGTTCTGCGCCCGGCCCTAGTCGTCCTGCCCCGTCGCATCCACATCCACATCCACATCCGCATCCGCATCCGCATCCGCATATCCACATGCTCTGTCTCTCTCTCTCTCTCTGTCTCTCTTTTCCAACTCGCCCCGCCGCCTTGCCGCTTAGGGCTTTTGTCTCGGATTGCCAGTCCATGTCTTTGCTCCGCGGACGGACCACGGACTAGGGCTACTAGTAGTACTAGTAGGACCCTCCGGACCACTGGACGCAGCGTCTCAAGTGCTTGGCCTGGCATCAATTATCAACCTGAACTGATGGTGTTTGGCGCCCGCCTGCCAACTAACCCAGCTTGCCTCTCCGGCTCCGGATAGCCTCCTTCTACGGCTTGGTACGGCCACCGGCGCTTGATGACGCCAGTTCACTTCACGCTCTCGTCGACCTAGTCAGCGCCGCGTAGCCCAGCTTTGCCTTCCCCTCTCTTGCAGCATCCTAATCCTGGCTGCTGCAAGCCTCAACGCTGCCCAGAGCCCTCGTTTCCTCGTGTCATCTCCATCAAGGCGCCGAGTAGCCAGACAGACCCTTTGTGCCTTCTCCGTACATACGTCGGTACTTGTGTAATCGTGCCAGTCTTGCCAGATGCAAGTTGACAAGCTCCATCTCCTCCACACGTCAGCATTGATTCACAATAGTCCTCTCTCGTGGCCCTTGCTCAATTGTCCCTCTTATCTCGGGGTGCGGCCCATTTCTTTTTTAACCTCTCCTCTTCCCTCTTGGCGCCTTCCCACATTTTCCTCCCCCCATCCCACATCTTTCCTTTCTTCTTTTCTATTTTCCGTTATTTCGCTCCTACTTCTCAGGTTCTAGTTACCCGGTTCCTAGTTTCCTTCCCTCGCCTCTATTCCTCTGGTTGATCTCTCCTACTAAAAGGTCAACTTCGCCTGACTGTGTCAGACCGAGCTGACCGGGACAGCCTTTGGCCAGCCAACGCCCGTGTTGACATTTTCCTCGCGAATTGTCAACGGCCGCCAGGGTATTTTTAAATCTCACCATCCCCAGCTGGACAGATTTCTATACACATCACATTCACGATCCCCAAGACCCGACAGAGGCTACACCCATCATGTCGGACCCAGTCGCACAGGATCACGCTCTCTCCACGCAGGTCAAGAAGGAGAAGGATTCTTCCAGCTCCGATCACACCCCTTCAGATAACGTCCTGAGCGGTCCCATCGAGGGCGAGGTGACAGATTTCGAGGAGAGACGATCCGACCTGGAGAAGCAAAAGACTGCCCAGGGCGCCGCCCACTTCAACCGTCTGGGATGGAAGCGCCTGACCATTGTTCTCATCGTCGAGGCCATTGCGCTCGGCTCTCTGAGTTTGCCCGCGGCCTTCGCCTCTCTCGGCATGGTTGCCGGTGTCATTTGCTGTATCGGTCTCGGCCTCATCGCCATCTACACCTCTGATATCGTCGGAAAGGTCAAACTTGCCTATCCCGAAGTTGCTCACTATGCAGACGCCGGACGATTGCTGGCTGGCCGCTGGGGATACGAAGTCGTGGGCGCCATGTTTGTTTTGCAGCTGACTTTTCTTGTCGGATCGCATTGCTTAACCGGCACCATTGCATTTCTCAACTTGACAGAGAATGGAGCTTGCTCGGTCGTCTTTGGAGTCGTCTCCGCCATCATCCTACTTCTGCTTGCCATTCCGCCTTCGTTTGCCGAGGTGGCTATTCTGGGCTACGTCGATTTCGTTTCCATTCTTTTGGCCATTGGCATCACGATTATTGCCACGGGTGTGAGGGCCGCCCAGATCGACGGCGGCCTGTCCGCGGTGGCCTGGTCGGCTTGGCCCAAGGAGGGACTTACCTTTGCGGAGGGATTCATCGCCATCACCAACATCTGCTTCGCCTATAGTTTTTCCATGTGCCAGTTCTCCTTTATGGATGAAATGCACACCCCGGAGGACTATCCCAAGTCCATCTGGGCGCTCGGTCTTATTGAGATCTTCATCTATACCATAACTGGTGCCCTCGTGTACTCGTTTGTTGGTGTTGACGTCAAGTCCCCGTCACTGCTCTCTGCCGGTCACACAATTTCCAAGATTGCTTTTGGCGTTGCTCTGCCCGTCATCTTCATTTCCGGCTCGATCAACACCACCGTGATTGGGCGATACATCCACGGCCGAATTTACAAGGACTCAATCACCCGCTTCATCAACACACCCAAGGGCTGGGCAACTTGGTTTGCCGTCATTAGCGCCATCACCCTCGCTGCGTTTATTATTGCCGAGGTGATTCCATTCTTCAATGATCTGCTGTCGATTTCGTCGTCACTCTTCATCTCCGGCTTCACATTTTACCTACCCGCGTGGATGTGGTTCAAGCTTCTCAAGGACGGCCCCTGGTATTCCAAGGCAAACATCTTGCGATCCATTGCCAATGCGGCTTGCTTCGTCATCGGAATCGTGGTTTTGGTCTGCGGCACATACGCCAGTATCGACGACATTGTACGTTGGCCGCCTTGCTGTTGTTTGATGTTGTTTCTTTCCCCTTGTGATGAAGCATCTGTGCTAACTTGTTCCCATTAGGTCTTGGCGTTTCGGTCGGGCAGGACCAGGGGAGTCTTTTCTTGCGGACCAATTGCATAAATGAAAGCGAATGATTTTGTTTTTTCTTGTTATATCATGAAGGGTGGACAATGGAATACGTACGCGGCTGCATTGTCCACAGAAGGCGCATTCACGGAGCGTCGAAGAAGCCAAAGCGGACCAGCGAGTGACTTTCTATGCGCAGTAGCGGTAAAGGTACCGCCCTGGATGTGTACATAGGCTAGGCTCGATGAAGTAAAACGTGAAGCTGGGTTTTGATGCCAGTGATGCCAGAAGCAGCTTTAAACTGTGCGGTGCGACACTGACGTATTCGCCGTGGACGCATGCATGCATATGGGAGTGTTAGTGCCTACGGAGTAGTCGTGGCTGAGAGACGACCGGCGCAGACCCAGCTTTATCTATTTGAGTAGGCAGAGACCAAGCTGAAAATTTTTGGTAGATTATTTCATGGTTCTGTTGTTGCGTGTTGGTGGCCCCGAAGCAGATGGTGCACACGGCCCATGAAGCCATTCAAACCCCCTCTGCCGAGCCATGAATCAACAAGCCGTCACTCTCTCTCTCAAGTCACTCTCTAGTCCGAAGGAAGCTGGGACTAACCTAGCTGGGCTCTGGGAACGCCGACTGGCCTCCTGTCACGAGTGTCACCACCAATGCCCGGGCCTGGACACCGTCATGACGTGTCAGGCGTGAGGGGAGCCGATTAGCTGCCAGGGCAGGGCAGCCGGGTCTGAGAGAGCATGGCCGCGCGGATGACTGAGCAGGCTTCGAAGTGTCCCTAGCCGCGTGCCAGGTCTGCGGTAGGTATCTGGCATGTGGCCAGAAGGACGTCGGTGCATGCAGGACGGTGAAGCCGGGCGATGACGAAGCTCAAGACGCTCCCATGCCTGCGCTTGCGCGGTGAGACTGCCGACCAGCAGAGAAGGCGTCGGGACGCGGCGGTGTCGTGGTCGGCCGGGGCCGGCGGCCGTGTCTCGTCTCGCCGTCTCGCCGGCCGGCCGGTCTCGCATTGGCATTCCCAATTAGGAAAGTCCCTGCAGGCATGCAGACCTGAGACCCTACAAAGAAGACAAAGAAGGCGTTGTTGCTCGCATTCGAGTCTCACGACGGCGAGTCGTCCGACACTGGGGCCGGGACGAGAATCAGTGCGAGGAAGAGCTTCTTCTTGAGATTCGCAAATCGAACAAACGCACACATGGGAATTCCACACGAGAATATAGCACTAGTCCAAGTTCAGATAGACGCTCCGCTCGTACAAATTCATTGTGGCTCATGTCTGTGCGGCTTCACAGCCATGGGATGACGCGTCCCTCGCTGGCTTGCTACGCGCCGAGGGCGTCGGTGGCCTCTTCCGTGGTCGTACAGAATGGCGGGTGGGTAGAGAATGACAGAACAATGCGGGCATATAGTTAGTTACTCTTGGTGACTAGTCTCTGTGACTAGAAGAAATGTACCCTACACTAGCACAGAAATATATATAGAAATACCGAGCTTGATTTGCATCAGCTTGATATCCTTTTTAGAAGTCCGATGCATGCGTTTAGATGCCCCTTGTTCGGTCTACACTCGCCGAGGTGATGTCCCGGCCTCCCCGGGGGACAACCAAGCTGAAGCTCTATTATTACCTTGCCCGCCGAGACCCTACTACAAGGCAGCCACGTTGCAGATTCATAACGACCCATCTCACGAGTCAAGTGCCGCCCACGATCCCCACATGGCCACACCTTGGCCGAAGGGCCAGCCCAGCACCATGGCGGACAACTTGTTGAGGCTCATCAGCAGTCCTCTGCCGCCGTGGAACACGGAGTGGCGCAACGGCGGATGGGGACCAGGACCAGCGGACCGTTTTACTGATCAAGCCGCTGCGGGCGTGTTGGTGAGACATGGAAGCAATGGTCAGTTGCCGATGGCGGCGACGTGGACGAGGAGAAATGCCGACGGGCTTTGCTCATTTGCCCGTGTTTGCTACAAGGTGAAACAAGGCAATAAATTGAAAACATCTTGGCCCGAGTACAGGTCTTGTTATGAGACGTGAGCCAAGAATCTTGTCCATGGCGAAACCGAGAGAGATCCCGGGTTTTCCAACGCCCGTGCGGAGAGAGAGCCTGGCTCCTCCGTAGCACAGAGTATGCAGATGCAGGATGCGGGATTCTAACAAGTCTCTTCTCGTCCCGCGGCGCAGTTGGTCTCCTTGAGGATGACGCGGTCGGGCAAGTACACGAGAACGGGAGACGGACAAGCGAGTGGTGCGCGCCAACACCACACCCTCACCCTCGCACGACAAGACTGGCTGCCCTGCTTCTCATCTGCCGGCGGAGAAGAAGGAGGGGAAGAATCGGCGGCGTCCATGGTCGTTCTGGGGGAAAGAGTGGGGAGAAGCGGCATCGCGCGGAGTGCTCTTCTCTTCCTCCCCTGTTCTTGGCCCCGGCCCCCTTGCTTTCGACTCGGCAGCTCTGGCGCCGGCGAGAGAACCGCGACGGGATGAACAGCACCGAGGCTGCAACTCTCTTCAGGCTGTTCTCGGCCTCGTCAGGTTCCAGGATAGTATAACTCTGCCCCTCTGCCGCCCCCTTCCCATCTGCCGTGGCTCGCGCCTGACGCACGTGTTTGTCCCCGTTTTGCACGCAGCCATCCAAACCATGTCTGGAGATGGAATCGCCCCTGCGCCTGCGGCTCACGCAGCCATGGCCATTGACGAGGACGGAGAGGCAAACGTCGAACATGGCAGACCCGAGTCGCGAGTGCCCCGGCTTCCCAACATGGACCCGGGTCGACGGGCCGCCGTTGAGAAGAGGCTGAAGCGCAAGCTCGACGCCCGCTGCGGCCTCTTTGTGCTCATCTACATCATGAACTACCTCGATCGCAACAACATCGCGTCGGCGCGCCTCAAGGGCCTCCAGGAAGACCTCAAGCTGGACGACACACAGTACGCCACGTGCCTCAGCATCCTGTACGTGGGCTACATCCTCATGCAGGTCCCGTCAAACATGTTCATCAACCGCATCCAGCGGCCGTCCCTGTACATCGCCTGCTCCATGCTCCTCTGGGGCCTCGTCTCGACGCTCTCGGGCAACGCCAAGGACTTTGCCGGCATGGCCGTGATCCGATTCTTCCTCGGCTTCATCGAGGCCGCCTTCTTGCCCGGCGCGCTCTTGATCCTGTCCAAGTGGTACACGCGCCGCGAGCTGACGACGAGAAACGCCATCCTCTTTGCCGGCAACCTCATCTCCAACGCCTTCTCGGCCCTCGTCGGCGCCGGCGTGCTGTCCAACATGCAGGGCGTCTTGGGCCACGCCGCCTGGCGGTGGCTGTTCTGGATCGAGGGGGCCGCCACCATGTCCATTGCCGTCGTCGCCGTCTTCATCCTGCCCGACCTGCCTCACAACGCGCGCGGCTTCACCGACGAAGAGAGGGCCGTCGCCCAGTTGCGCATGTTTGAGGATGTCGGCGAGGCCGACGCCGACCCTGCTGATCAGGGTATCTTTGACGGTCTCGTCATGTCCTTGACCGACCCCAAGATTTACGTCATGATGCTCACTTTTACCGCTTACGTCGTCGGCTTGTCCTTCAACGCCTTCTTCGTAGGTCGTCCCGGCAAACCCTACTCCCCCCCCCTTTTTTCTCGTCCTCCACGCCGACACAAGTTGGAGACGACCCTACTCCCCCCCCTTTTTTCTCGTCTTCCACGCCGACACACGAGCTAACAGGCCTCATCAGCCTACCCTTACAGGCACTCTGGGCTTCGGATACGTGCCTACTCTGCTCATGAGCTCGCCTCCCTGGGTATTCTCATGCGTCGTCTCCCTCACCAACGCCTGGCACGCCGATCAAACGCAGGAAAAGGCACGCAGGATAGACTCCCCCCCCTTCTTCCCTTTGCCCCCCCTTACTAACAATAACAAACAAAGCCTCTGCCCAGTGTCCAAGCCCGTCACTAACATTCGCCCTCGTCTAGTTCTGGCACATTGTCGGCCCCATCGTCATGGGCATCGTCGGCTTCGTCATCAGCATGTCCACGCTCAACGTCGCCGCCCGCTACCTCGCGCTCTTCCTGCAGGCCGGCTCCTACGCCGGCTTCATCGTCTTCTACTCGTGGATCAGCTCAACCTTCCCCCGCCCGCCGGCGAAGCGAGCCGTCGCCATCGCCCTCATCAACGCCTTCAGCCAGCTGGGCAACGTGGCCGGGTCGTACGTCTGGGCCCTCAAGGACGACGGATTCCGCAAGAGCTACGGCATCGTGCTGTCCATGTTTGGCGTCACCATGGCCGGCTGCTGGATCCTGAGGACGATGCTGGTCCGCCTCAACCGGCGGCTGGAGGAGGAGGAGACGGCCGAGACGAGGCAGGGCGCCGGCGAGGGCAACAGGGGCACCGAGGACGGGCACGTGGAGAAGACGGACGAGAATCTCCACATGCGCAAGGGCTTCAGGTACCTTGTCTGAGGAGGAGAAAGACGGGCGATGCCACTGCTGCCGCGGGTGTTTGTGGCTGGCGCGCGTGCAGCTGTTGCACGAGACGCGCGCGGTTGTCAGAGACGCCTGCATACTCGCTACATGTACAATATATTCGGTCGTTTTCCGGCCAGGAGAAGAGAAGATGGGACCCTCGTAGTACTCGACTCGGCCACGCGTCAGGTCTACCGCCGTGGAGCTTCAGCGCAGTCCCGCGACCCAGTCCATGCCGTGCCGGCCCAATGTTCCTCCAAGAAGCACGCCTGCTCTCCCGCGGTGGCACAGCAGCCAGAGTAGCTTGATTTGCAGCAGAGCAGCCAGCTACGACAACCTATGGACGAGGACAAACTCGGCTGGCTGGCTGGCTGGGTTGAAGACGGCCAGGCACAGCCAAAGTTTGCCGGGCTGGCAAGAACAGCGTGGCTGCGCACAATCGCGCACCATCCAGTACCTCGCCCAGTGCGTGCAAGCGTCAGCGTCGCGTCAGTTTAGAAACACGATCCGGCTGACGCTTGTTGAGCCTCGTGGCGGCCACGTCAAGGCCGGCTCATTCACTTTTGCCGACGGAACCCGAACTTGCCACTTGCCGCAAGGAGAGAAGCGAAGCAGCAGCAGCCAATCTCTTTTCAGCAACGGGAGGGAGCGGCCCGGGACGCGCACGCGGAGAGCTTGACCCTTGTCGCCCCGCTTTTGAAGCAACGAGGCGACAAGAAAAAGAAGGGAAAGAAAAGAAAAGAAAAAAAGAAGACGAGACCTGCATGCCGCTTTGAGCACATGGACTGATATCCTCTCGGCGGCCACACTTTTGAATTACCAACTGCAGAGTGTACCGACGCAGCTGTTTTGCTACCACGTTTCAGCACGTGTCCGTCAGGATCTGCATGGCGCAGACGCAGCCGGATGCGATGCCATGCGATGGCACGCTCTCCCCTCCGCAAGGATACCGGCTCAGCATCATCAACCGCGGACTCAATAAGAGCTCGTCCTTCGGAGACTGACAAAGCAAGAGCCATCAACCTGAGCAGCGTCGCGTCTGCTGCACTGTTGCACAGACAGTCCCGGCCGCCCTCGACCGGCAAGCCGGAGAGGAGAGACGTCTGCGACGCCCGGAATCGTGACGTGACACGGGCCGTCCAAACAACCCAAGAGCCAGTTCAGGGACAACACTGCACTGCACCCCAACTTATTCTCCGCGCCAGGCCCACTGCCCAAGATGCTCGAGCCGGCCTTTGGAGCACAAGGCGCCACCGCTAATGCCGAGTCTCTGACGCAAACAAGTTTGACTACTGGCCGCCAACTCTGGCCTTTATTCTTCACCATCTCGACACGCGGACCGGCGGAGCTTTGCCTTGTGAACTTTCTCAACGACGGGCCGTGACCGTGCTCTGCAACCATGCCGACTAGGAGAAATCGCGGCTATCAACCTTTGCTCGGTCGACTACCCAAGCCTCCAAGTGTCGAGGCGTCACGCCAACTCGTGCATGTTTGGGGCTTTTCTGTTGTGACTCGGTGTCTACATGAAAACCTCTCTCCCTCCGCCCCCCTTCCTCCCTCTCTCTTCCTTGGAACACTGGACAGCACAGCCGGCTGGTGAACACGGCGAGACCATCTTATAAGTGCCCTCGACGGCCCGCGACTTTGGATTGCTTACCGCAGCACCCATTCTCCGATACCGTCGAAGCACCGCACAGCCCGTCATGAAGGCACGCGCAGCCGTGGCGTTTGCGAGCCTGGCGGCCTCTTCCTGGGCCATGAACAGGGAGCCGCCGCCCATCTTCTTCAACCAGCCTCCCATGGGCTTCAACAGCTGGGCGCGCTACACGACCAACGTCAACGAGACCCTCCTCGTCGAGACGGCCAACTCCATGGCCAGGAACGGGCTCCTGCAAGCCGGGTACAATCGTATCAATCTCGACGAGGGCTGGTCGCTCCCGGAGCGAGGCATCAACGGCTCCCTGGTCGCGGATCCCGACAAGTTCCCCACGGGTCTCAAGTGGCTCACCGAGTACTTGAACATGACGGGCTTCATCTCCGGCATACACGCCGACGCCGGCAGCATGACGTGCGGCAAGAACCCCGGCTCCTTCAACTACGAGAAGAGGGACGTCGACGACTTCATGGACCAGGGCTTCTACTACGTCAAGCTGGACGGGTGCAACATGCGCGACGACACCGAGGAGACGTACCACGACATCTTTAACCGCTGGCCCAAGGTGATCCGCCAGGCCTCCGTCGACCGCAAGGAGACGGCCATCATGGCCCTTTCCAGCTCGGCGCCGGCCTACTTCGCCTACCGGAGGAACCTGACCGACTGGTACCGCGCCGTGGCCTGGGCCTCCGAGTACAGCCAGCTCGCGCGCCACTCGGCCGACGTGGCCACGTACGGCGACGGCAGCGCGTGGAAGAGCATCATGCACAGCTTCGACCAGAGCCTGCGCCTGGGCCACTTCCAGCGGCCCGGCTTCTACCTCGACCCCGACGTCCTCCTCCCCGACCACCCATCGCTGAGCCTGGAGGAGCGGAAGACCCAGTTCGCGCTGTGGTGCAGCATGTCGTCGCCGCTCCTCTTCAGCGCCGACGTGCCCAGGCTCGACCCCGACACGCTCGCCTTCCTCACCAACAAGGACCTCATCGCGGCCGACCAGGACGACCTGGCCCAGCCCGCCACCCTCGTCAGCCGCGACTCGAACTGGGACGTGCTCGCCAAGAACCTCGAGAACGAGGAGCGCCTCATCACCGTCTTCAACCGCGGCGACACCTTCGCCAGCCTCAACGTCTCGTGGTTCCGCACCGGCATCACCCCCAAGCTCACGGGCAACGGCAACGTGCGCGTCACCGACCTCTGGACCGGCGAGGTCTCCTTCCTCCCCGTCTACCTGCGCTTCCTCAACGTCACCAACGTGCCGCCTCACGGCACCGCCGTCTACCGCCTCCGCAGCGCCAGCGTCATCACCCCCACCGGCCACATCTACAACGCAAACACCTTCAACTGCCTGACCGACGACCCCTCGGGCTACGTCAGGTGGGCCGTCTGCAACGGCTACGACAGCCAGGTCTGGCGCGTCCGCTCCGACGGCCACATCTACAGCCTGCTCCGTCCGCGCGACTGCCTCGTCGAGCTCGAAGGCACCGTCGTCACCCGCAAGAACAGCTGCCACCACCACCCGTGGACGTACAAGACGTCGGGCAACCTCGTCAACAACGTCTCGGGCAAGTGCCTGACCGAGGGCGCCGACGGCAGCGTCACCACCGAGGGCTGCGGCTACCTCCTCAACGAGCAGATCTTTGTTCTGCCCGCCGGCATCGAGCTCGGCGGCTGGTAGGGACGCCGTGGACGTACAAAATGACCCGGCCCCCTGTTCTTCTTTCTTTTCTTTCGTCTGTATTCTCGCCTTGTCGCTAGCCAGCCGCTCACTACTCGGTAGAACACTCGCGTAGTGGTGGAGGTCGCGGAGCGCTGATTCTAATTCTGATTCCGATTCTGATTCTGATTCTGATTCTTGTCATGATTGGGGACCCTGACCCTGTGTGTGACGTGCATGTGAAGTACTAGCGCCATAGACGGTCGTGTAAGTCGCCCTTGCTCGCGTGTCTTGCAAACCCAAGCCCAGCTCGGCGCGATTGATGCTCCGAAAGCCGACCCTCTGGTTCATTTCTGGGACGTTCAACAGCAACCAGCTGCTCTTCGCGCTTGAGCAGTTTCGCTGCCGTGGGGGAGGAAGTCTGGCACGAAGGGACGCTGTGTAACCTTGCTGGGCGCTTCTAGGTGAGCCCCAAGTCCTCCATGGTTTGTGTGCGGTTCATGACCCTGGTAGAAAACACTCTCCACAGTCGGACATGTGCGTCAATTCCCGGCCTTGGGTGGTTTTGTTTGTGCTCGACAGGCCAGGCGGTGGATCCGGTTTCGACATGGGGTCTGCCACGGACCAGAGATGGGCTCATTCTCATTGCCTCGGGGCGGGGGAAAACGTCCATGGTAGCTGCTAGCATTGACTAGGATAGACCGAGATGTTGCTCAAGTCAGGGAGTGTGGTCGTCGTGAGAAACTTGCCGTCTGCACACAGCCCGCCGCCTTCAGCGTTATTGACAATGCCTCGGCGGGAGCGGGTTCCTTCGCTCTGGAAGAATGTCAGTGCCTCCAGCACGGCGCCCGGTGTACGGCTGGAATCTACCAGTCACGAGTTGCCGTTTGCCTTTGGCTTTGAACTCATCGGATCCAATGTATTCCGGACGACCTTTTCATCAGAGTCGCATCCTCTGCCCCCTCACCCCAGTGTCGTAATCCCAACCTCGGGACAGCAGGCGCTGCGGGCTGGCACCTCGGTCGGGAGCGGCGGTAAAAGCAAAGAGATTCGCACTGGAGAGGTCGTTGCCAGCGTTGACTGGAGCAGATCCTCACCACTTGTCAGCATCTCATACGTCGACTCGGACGAGCCGCTGCATACTGATCTTCCTGACCGATCCTACGTGGTGGACGGGGACGGCATTGCACATTACTCCCGCTACAAGCGTGGAACTCTGCACGTCGGTCTCGGTGAAAAGGCGGCCCCCATGAACTTGTCAGGTAGGCGATTCGAGCTGTCTGCCACCGACAGCTTCGGATATGACGTCTATAGGACGGACCCATTGTACAAGCACATTCCGCTCCTCATCAACGCGACTCCCGCCGGTTGTGTTGGCCTCTTTTCAACCAGTCATGGACGGGGGGAGTACTCTGTTGGTGCCGAAATGGACGGCATGTGGGGACGCTACAAGGTGTATCGACAGGACTATGGCGGCCTGGAAGAGGTTGTGATTGTCGGCAAGACTCTGAAAGACGTTGTCACGACATATGCCGAGTTTGCTGGCTATCCGTTGCTGGTCCCTCGATGGGCATTCGGCTATCTGTCCGGGGGCATGAAGTATTCCATGCTCGACGATCCACCTGCATCTGAAGCACTTCTCCGACTGGCTCGGAAGATGAGGGAACACGACATTCCCTGCTCTGCCCATCAGATGTCGTCGGGATACACTGTGGCAGAACGGGAGCCCAAGACGAGAAATGTGTTCACGTGGAACCGACACCGCTTTCCAGACCCCAGGGGATGGATTCAGGAACACCACAAGCTCGGTATGCGGCTGATCGCGAATGTCAAGCCCTACGTTTTGGCCAGCCACCCAGAGTATCAGAAGCTAAAGAACGCGGGTGCCTTGTTCACCGATCCGCACACCAAGACCACAGCCGTCGCCCGACTTTGGAGTGCCGGTGGTGGTGAAAGTGACGAGGGCGGCCACATCGACTTCACCTCAGCCGCTGGGTTTGGGTGGTGGGTCAATGGGGTCAAGAAACTTCGGGAGGAAGGCATCGACTGTATTTGGAACGACAATAACGAGTACGCCATTGCCGACGATAGCTGGCAGTGTGCTCTTGATCAGCCCTCCCTTGCAGTGCCAGAGGGTCTCGAGGAACGTCGAAGCATCGGCCTCTGGGGACGCAGTTTGCACACGGAGCTCCACGGCAAGGCTTCGCACGATGCCCTGCTCGAGGCTGATCCAGACAGTCGACCGTTTGTGCTTACTCGAGGCGCCACGGCTGGCACGATGAGATATGCGTGTAGCTCCTGGAGTGGTGACAATATGACGAGTTGGCCAGGAATGAAGGGCGCAAATGCACTGTCGCTCACGGCGGGCATGTGTCTGATGCAGTGCTATGGCCATGACATCGGTGGATTCGAAGGGCCGCAACCGTCTCCGGAGCTGTTGCTTCGATGGGTGCAACTCGGCGTCTACTCCCCCCGGTTTGCCATCAACTGCTTCAAGACGGGGGATGACAATAACGTTGGCGACGTCATCGAGCCATGGATGCATCCGTCAATCACACACCTTGTCAGAAAAGCGATCAAACGCCGATATGAAATGATACCGTATTTGTACTCGCTCATGTTGTCAAGTCACCAAACGGCCATACCACCGCAGAGGTGGACGGGTTGGGGATACGAGTCGGACCCCGAAATTTGGACTCCCGAGATGATGGATGGCGAGTGTCAATACTGGCTTGGCGATTCCATCCTTGTTGGAGGTGTTTACGAGCCGGGGGCGAGCCAAGCCCGAGTATATCTGCCAAAACAAACCGATTCCGATGAAGGATTCTTGAATCTAAATGCGCCATACCAGCATTTCCCACCTGGTCAGTGGATTACGATAGATGCTGAATGGCACGGGGCTGGTATCCCAGTCCTTGCCAAAGTCGGCACCGCCATTCCAATCGGCCGAGACGTCCAAGTCCTCTCACCCGGGGAAAAGGAGAATGTGGCCGGTTTACCCTTGGATGACTACCGCGCTGTGGAAATTTTCCCTCCGCCGGGGAAGGGTGCAAACGATTGGTATGTGTTCGAGTGGCGTGAGGATGATGGTGTGTCGGCCGTTTGCAAGGTTAAGATTTCCAAGTATACCATTTCGTTCAATGCTACAGAATCTCAAGTGCGTGTCAAGTTCACCCGAGACGAGAAATCGGGGTTCGTTGCTCCTTGGAAGACACTTGTCGCGATCCTTCCTGCTGGGGATTTGAGAAGTGTTGTGTCAGAGGATGATATGCAGGTTCGAGCCCTCAAGACGGACCAGCAAGGCCGACAACAATTTGAACTAAGTCGGCGGTAAAGGGGATTTAAAGGGGATTTATCCTTTGGTAATCATGGACACAGACTAGGGAATGATCAAACCATGCAGAAAAGAAAAGGTCTTGGCTAAGAGACGTAAAGTCCTCATCGAAAACAAATTGCCCCGGAACAAACGGGTCTTGGCCCTCTTGGATTCGTAGAAGTGAACCATGCTCTGATGTTGAACTGCGGACAGGCTCGATAGTTCCGCACCTCGTTCATGATTGCAGAGATAAACTGGTCGTGAACAACCTCCAGAAATTGTAGGTACACCTTGCACGTGTTGCTGCGATGACCATTCAAGGTAGCACCCCAGCAGCGGTTTACTTGGATGTTGAGAAGCAATATAGAGAGTGTGCATCGTTGCCGTCAAGGAAATTGTTGCGATCGGGATAGCAGGCGCTGACATCTTACATTACGGTGATGCTGTACCATGTTTCCCGTGTCTGTATGGATGCAATTCATGTTGAAAATTTGCAGCCAGATGCTCGTTTTTGATCGTCACGAATTCACCCTGGATGTTCAAGTCGCTTGCAGGAGCCGAGGAGGCCGACCACCCAAGGCCTAGTGCCATCCACGCCGCTCCGGCAAGCAGGAGACACCCGTGTAGAAGTAAGGAGTTGTGCGAGAGCAATTGACGAGCAAGGTTGACTGATGCAACGCTCGGTGCGCGGATTTGGCGTCGGCTCGGAGTCAGTGACGGAGAAGAAGAACAATGCAAGCTGCGGATTGCATACTAAGGTGGTCGCTGCGAGCCAGACATGAGGCCAACTGCTCAAATGAAGGATGACCTTGTCCGCCCGTTAAAATTACCTGGCATGGACAACATCAAAGTCTTTGAGCCTGTCGAGAGAGAAAGATGGCACGTGGCGGTGAAATGGCGAGGCGGGGGCGGGGAGCTGTGCTTGAGTCAGTCAGCCAGCAGGCACGGTTAGCCGCCAATCAGGGTGTGATTCACGAAGTTGGGGGCAACCTTAATTTTTAACTGCCGTCGGTACGGAGTACAAACACCGCCAAGAAGAGGAAGAAAGGTGTTACGCACTTATACTGTGTTGCAGCAATTTCATTCAAGCTTTTAAGAAAGCGAACTTCCATCTTTGTAGACGAAGAATTTATGAAGGTTTGGCCTATGCCCGTCAATACTCCGTAGATGCAATGGATAAACGTGGTGCGCGCAGCAACCTGTACAGTGCCAGATTACTTGCTCAGTACTGCGTACGTACGGAGTACTCAAGTACCCTTTTGGCCTAACCGTCGGGTCAAGCGGCCACCGGTCCGAGCCTGGCTGCCTTGCCGCCTTGCTGCACCTGCCGCTGCTCAACACTAATCGTGCCCGCCCCACTTTAGATGGTTCGGCTAGTAGCAATGCCCTCACCACATCTGAAGTGGGACGGGCACGATTGCATCATGTAATCAAGGCGAATCGATTTCATCATAGACCTCAATGTCTCCCCCCAGCTGCAGAGCAGCGCTCCGTAATTGATTGTTCTGCTTTGATTGGCCTTGTCTGGCTTTATTTATTGAACTCTTTTCCGTCCATTTCCGTCCATCCTCCCGTCCCGTCTTTGCCTGCCGTTCTCGGCCCTCCAAGTCGGACTCGCTGGAAACCGCTTCAACCCGACACCATGTCGCCGCGGTGCAACACTGCAGCCCGTCGTCGAGACGAGACGAGACGAGACGAGCCAGCCCGAGGCCCTTGACGGCCCGCTGGCACCTTACGTAGTTGGGTACTTGAGCCGGCCGGGCCAGCTTCGTGGCTTCATCCACGGTGATACTTCTGGTCGAGCTTTCCGGTGCGTCGCTGCCGCTCCCCTACCGCTCTCGACTCATTCCCAATGACAATGTGCAAAGTCACCGCAGTCCGAGGCGCAGTGGCCCTTGTGCTAGCTACCGCCGGTGTCTCTGCTTCCGCCACGAGCCCGTTGACCTCCAAGGCCGGCCAGGTCGGCGTGATTCCTAGCTGGCATTTCCAATCGTCGTCCTCGGCGGGCAAAGACCTGGCCTCGCTGTCTCAGCCGGGCGTCGACACCTCATCATGGTACCACGCCAATCAATCTCGATGCACTACCATGGGGTGCATGATCGCGGCGGGCATGTACCAAGACGACTCCCTGTGGTTCTCGGATAATCTGTCCACGGTGGACTGGGGCCAATTCCGCGACCCTTGGGTCTACCGGAACGAGTTCTCGCTCTCTTTAAATAACGGCCAGCAGCACTATTTCCTCCAGACCAACGGCATCACTGCCCGGGCCGACATCTTCCTCAACGGAAACCAGGTCGCAGATAGAGAGCAACAGGCAGGCTCTTTCGGTGGCCATAGCTACGACATCACCAGTCTTGTGGGCGGCCGGAATGCCCTCGCCGTCAACGTGTACCCCTCAGACCACAACCACGACCTTATTTATACCTTTGTTGACTGGAGTCCCCGCGCGCCTGACAACGGAACCGGTATCTGGAGGGACATGACGGTCAAGCAGACCGGGCCCGTGGCACTGGGGCCCGTGAGCGTGTCCGTCGACATTGAGATTCCCGTCAAGTCTAGTCCCGCCAGAGTGAGCGTCCGCGCAAAGGTGCAGAATCTCAAGGACCACCCAGTCCAGGTGGATGCGACTTCGGTCCTTTCCGAGGCGTCCGGCTGCATTGCCGCGTCCCAAACGACGTCTCTCACCCTAGAGCCCAAGCAGACCAAGCTTGTCGAGGTTCCTCACCACGTCGAGACGCCAAAGATATGGTGGCCCAGGTCCTGGGGCGGCCAGCCCTTGTACAAGGCCCGGCTCACGTTGAGGGTCGCCAACGAAACCTCCGACGTTGCAGAGGAAACATTTGGCATTCGAACCGTCACCGCGGCCCTCAACAGCCACAACGACACCATGTTCACCGTCAACGGCTATCCGTTCCGGGTTCTTGGCGCCGGATATAGCCCGGACATGTTCTTCCGCTGGCATGACAAGCGGTGGGCCGATATTATGAGATACTCCCACGACATGGGTCTCAACACTATCCGTCTGGAAGGCATGATGGAACATCCGGAGCTGTACCGAATGGCCGATGAGGCCGGCATGATGATCCTTGCCGGCTTCGTTTGCTGTTCCAAGTGGGAGGCCTGGAGTCACAACGCCGACATCAGCCCCAACATCCCCTGGACCGACAATGACTACGAGACAGCAAAGTCCGCGATGCGGCACGAGGCCGCCATGATGCAGACACACCCCTGCCTCCTTGGATTCCTGCTCGGCAGCGACTCTTGGCCCGACGACCGCGCCACCGACATGTACGTCGATACCCTCAAGGATAGTTACTGGCAGACCCCTATCATCGCATCCGCATCCAAGCGAGGCTTTCCCGCTCTTCTCGGCCCCTCGGGCATGAAAATGAGCGGACCTTACGACTGGGTGCCGCCCAACTACTGGTACGACACGGAACCATCCGAGGACCGTCTAGGTGCCGCCTTTGGATTCGGCTCCGAGCTCGGCGCTGGAGTCGGAACGCCCGCAATCAGCAGTCTCAAAAAGTTCATGACCCAAGAGGAGATGGAGGACCTCTGGATGAAGCCCGACGCCAAATTTGTCCACATGTCAACCAATACTTCTGCATTCCGCAGGCGCACCATCTACAACGAGGCCTTGGCCAGGCGCTACGGCAAACCTACGTCTCTGCGTGACTACATGTTCAAGACTGAGCTCATGGACTACGAGTCCACCCGCCCACAGTTCGAGGCCTACTCTGCTCGGCAGAGCCAGGACCGCCCAGCCACGGGCACCATCTACTGGATGCTGAACAATGCCTGGCCCAGCTTGCATTGGAACCTGTTCGACCACTACCTGCACCCGGCCGGCTCGTACTTTGGCACCAAGGTCGGGTCCCGACTGGAACACGTTGCATACGACTATGTCCGCGAGGAGGCGTGGATCATCAACCACAGCCTCGACAGAAAGGGCAGGCGCACTATTGCTATCGATCTAATTGGGCTGGACGGCGAGTCCGTCTCCAAGGATTCCGTCACTGTCGACACCACTCCCAACAAGTCCGGCAAGGCCGCCAAGATATCCGGTTCGGACAACATCACAGACGTTGCTTTCTTGCGTCTCATCTTGTCGGACCACAACGGCCAGGCTCTCAGCCGAAATGTGTACTGGCTGGCCAAGTCGAAAGATGCGCTGAACTGGTCCAACTCAACATGGTACCACACCCCCGTGACCGAATTCTCCGACTACGGTGCCCTCAGCAAGATGAAGACGGCCAAGTTGTCCGTCACGGCGTCCAAGAATGGCAGCGCCCACTCCCTTGTTCTCGAGAACAAGTCGCGTGTTCCTGCATTCTTTATCCGTCTGAACCTTGTCGACGAGGCCGGCGAGGACGTCAACCCCGTCTTCTGGTCAGACAACTACATCACACTGTGGCCATGGGAGAAGCTGGCACTGATGGTGAACGCGGACGGGCGGGGGACACAGGTGCTCGTGAACGGAGGAAATGTCGAGGCTTCACAAGTGATGCTGTAAATGCAGCATGGCAGACGATTAAGAAGAAATGAATCCCAGTGATGCTAAAAGTCCCACAAAATGTATTGTAGATAGATATATTGGCACCTCGGGTATAAAAATCGACCAATGCGTCTCGAGGTCCATCTCGATTCTTTTTGAAGGCGTGGTGTTCCGTCAACCAGCCGACGAATAAGTGACCTAGGTCAATGCCTCGCTGGAGTCTCCCTCCGCAGGCGCATGCCTGTCGGTCCACGGCTCAAAGAGACGGGCACCCTTCATCAAGCCGCCAATTGTTTCCCAGACAGTCAGGATCGCGAATAATGACATGAAAACCAGCATAAACTCCGTGGCCGTCAAGTGACCGTGCGTCTCTGGGAGGACGACGAGCATCACAGCTATGAGCAGGCGCATACCTATGCGAGCCTGCTTGGGCAGCATCAGACAGTCTTCGTCATGCGTGCGAAACAGCTGCGCGTAGATCCAGAGACAAAACAAGCCCACACCCAGTCCGCCACCGAGCAGCCAGCGCTGCCCCTGTTCGAATTCGTGCAACCTCGTGCTGACGGCGCAAATGTGACCGCCGATCAGAAATGACGCCGACAGCGGCAAGTGCAGCAGGAAAAAGCCAAACGCCGTCCAAGCAGACCGGCGGATTGGATGCGTGGCCTGTAGACTGCCGTCGCCGCTGACGTAGATCCAGTTGATGCAAAAGGCAATGACCAGAGTGCACACGGCTTTTGCGTAGCCTGCTGTCAGACCAATGCCGGCCGGGTCGCCGACAATGACGCTGTACATGAACTCGCCGAGGATGATGATGAAGAAGGCGGCCATGCGGTCAATCTCGTGGGCAATGTCAACGGCAGTGCTGTATGTAAGCTTGAGGCGGCGCTTGATCCAAGGACTGAGAGTAATGGACCACGTCGCCTCCTGATAGGCAATCATGACGGCCACGACGGCAGCTTTCCCACGGATGCTCACGGATTCGAAGAAGAGTGGGATGGTAATGAACAGGCCAACGCACATGAAACCTGCGAGGATGCGGGCTTGGGCACGATGTTGGTAGCTGGCAAAGGAGCTGATGACAAACACGCACATGGTGGAAAACCGAGCGACTACGTAGGCAGCCGCGGTCGTCCGCATGGCGGCGATGTCGACGTTTGCCTCCCTTGCGTTGTTGGCGTAGAGGACCAGGAGGGCCATGACCCAGAGAATGACAAGCCGCTGCAGCAGATCGTCCGTATAGTAGGAATTCATGATCTCTCGCAGATCAGCCCAAATGTGCCATGCCGGGGCGAAAATGAGAATGTACTTGGCGAGATGGGCGCCATTTGGGGACTCGGCAAGATCGTCGCTAAAATTGGCGACAATGGCGACGTCTGGCAGGGTTGGCCAGAGTCAGCGGAATGAATTTGAAGATGCATGGTGGAAGCGGCGTTGGTCTTACACAGCAGATCGAGGAACAGTTCGAATCGGCCTGCCTGTCTCTCCTCGTGGCTCTCCTTGTATACCTGGCCGTTGTAGAACCATTGAAGGGCCTTTGGTCGCTTGACTACGTATCGCTGAGGTTTGGCGCTCTCTTGGAGTTGGTTGCAATTCATCGTCGCGTGGGTGGTGGTGGTGCCAGCGTACGCAGCGCCTCAAGGCTCTGGCAGGACGAAGGAACATTGAAGTCGGGAGCTTCGAGGAATGATGGACGAAACGGCGTCGGGCAAAACGGCGTCTTTGCCAAAATGACTGGACTCGTTGTTGAATCGGTCGCGGCGACAAGCTAATCAGGGGCTCAAGCTCCCAAGCTAATGGGGCTGACGCCGAGCTTTAGCTGGCTGAGATTCCCGAGACATGCATGCCGTTCCAGACTCTTAGCATGTGATGCCTGGCAGTCCTGGAAACGCCCGAGCGGTGGGCGGTGCTCGTCATGCGAGGGCAAGGAGAAGAAACGCAAACGCATGGTACTTTGTAAGCTGGGATGGAGGAGAGCACCGAGGATGCGGGCAGGCGGAAGGAATAAGCTCAGGATTTCTTACGTAACGCGAGCCTTTGGGTTCAAAGTTGAACGAGGCAAGCACCATCTTGGCATGTTGTAGGCGAGCGATGACGTGGGGGTAGTGGATACAGGAGTCTAGTGCATGTATTTATGGGGGGAGCGTCCCCCATGAGTTTGAGGAAAGGAAGTTGCGACCCGCTGGATATGCCATTCATCTTCCATGACCAAGGAAAGTAGATGGCCAGGTAGATTCCACCCAGGATAGCCGCCCCCAGACTCTCCCTCGGAGCTCAGCATGGCTCTCGGACGTTTGATCTGATAATTTGGCCAGCGTTCATGTTTCAGCCGTGGACCGGCGGACTCGGGGCTGAACGGCAAGAACGAACTGAACTGTTCAGGCCTGCGGAGCTCCGCGTCGGAGAATAAACACGCCACCGCTGGCTTACGTGGACATGCCGCGACAATGCCGAACCGGAGCCAAAACAACATGGGAAACAGCTTGCAAACCATCCGCCAACGCTCCTCGGAGCTGGCAGTTGATCTGGATTGACGCGTTCATCATGGTACGAGATGTGGACTCGTTCTAAACAAGGGCTTTGGAGCATGGCGCCAGCGACGAGGACGGTAGCGACGAGGACGGTATCGACGACATAAGCCAATAGGAGCTGGCCTATTCGGAATTTGCACCCGAGGAGCACAACCTGTAGTGGTGGTTAACAGAAAGAGAAGGCCCTCAGAACCTGCCCTTGGTATTGCAGGAACTAATGCTCCCCGTGATAGTATGACGAAAGTGGCATAAACACTCCACGATGCCGCGACAAGCGAGCGGTTCTCTCTTAGTAACTGTGTTATATGGAAGGATGCCCCTGGTCCTCTGACTCATCAACAGCTGCTAAAACAGTCACGCGCTTCTTGGCATGCGCCTCAAGCAAATGTTCCCAAGGCGATGAAGGCTTATCGCGATCTGAATGTAGAAGGCAGAAGACAACGATACGGCCTAGGCAGGGAAGAAGTGGTATTGGAAGTGTCAGGAAAAGGTCAGGCACGGGTCGCTACCGAAAGTTGCGAAGGGGTGATCAGTCTGCAGGTAGGGAGTAGTTTCCCGGAATGTTGATGCGGAGTGCGGTTGGCAGTGATGACAACGGGAAGAATGGATAGACAGTCTTCCTTGGACCTTGTAGATCCCCGTATCGAAGAGGCAACTGCATGAGGTTTATCACGCCGGGGATCAATCAAGGCGTTGTTGGTGCTGCAACACATGATTACATGGAGTAATTTAATAGTTCATGCGCAACGTTGAAGGCGCCCACGACCCCCAGATGTTCCCTGTCTATTCCTTACATCCGGACTTGTAGCCGATGATTTGGTCATCAAGGGACGCGCATGGTCCCAGGATTGGGGCCATTGAAGCTTGTTCCGTCGGCTACCCGCAGATATTTGAGGACATGAGATATGAGAGATGGCCCCGTGTAAGCGAGATGCAGAGACAAGCAACAAGTACGTGAAAGGACAGGAGACTGTCGCTACCAGACGCAAATCTCTTGACGTTCCCGACAGGCACCCTATAATCTATCAGTCAACATCCAAACCGGGCGCCTTTCCATTTTCGCGACTGAAATGCAACCACCCTCTTTGATGAATTCCCTCGGTGCCAACGGGTCCAAGTTGAGTGAACACACATTCTTTTTGGATAACACGAAATGTACAGCGCTGTCTAGGTAGCGACCGACTTTGATTGGAGGGCATTGCAAGTGTCGTTCAAGACGACCAGGTCAAATGGGCTTGCTTTCTGCGGGACTTGCATGCTCATGTTCACCAGCTGCGGCGGTGGAGCTCTACATTGTAAGTTGACTTGTCGCACGTGGCCGAGGATGAAAGAGCGCGGAAAGGCGTCACAAGGCAGACACCAAGGTGCAATTTCAAGGGGGTGGAAACACCAAGGCCATGCCGAGATGAGTCCAATGTCCCTCACCCCTCGTCCATCGCCCATCCGCGTCTCCGGGCCCATAGGCGAGACTAAACGACGCAGGGTCACCTCCGTATTCCACAGACAGGACGATGCTGGTTGCCCAGTGAGCGGCTCCATTGAGTAAAAACAGGGGTGCAGGGTATGTACTATGCAGTGTGCACGTCAAGTCTACTTGCCCCTGCCATGTTGGTCACGAGTTCAGGCCTTTATATCGTTGGAAAACAGATGGCCAGGCCAGCATGGGTGTATCAGAGGTTGCATCTCGCCCTCCCTTTCCGGGAGGGGATGGGATAACAAATGTTGACGGTGGGATGATCTGCCGGGACGTTGAGAACAAGCGAGAGAACAGGGACGCTGCAGTGGACGATGCACACAAGACGGCGAGGCAGAACAACTCTTGGTCCTGTCTCATGTCGCAACGCTGGGGGATGGGATGATTTCGTCCGCCGAGGCGAGCCTACCAAGGTGACAAGGTCTGCCAGAAAGAGAGAGACGAAACCTGGAACGCGCCGGGATGTCAAGCTGCATCACACGTCCGTGGGTTATACGGAGTTGAAAAGCAAATAACAACACCACATAGTGTGATAGCACATCCATGACAGCATCTTGACACTCGTCTCGTCTCGACCGGGCGCACGCGTTCGTAGCACAACGCAAATCCGCACTAGGGAGAAACAAGTCCATCTTTGCCGAGACAAGCCTTACAAAGTGGCCAATGGAAAAGCCACTGCCGAAGGCACCATGACGTTGTAGTTTGCAGTGGCGTTAGCCGCGGCATCACAGCATCCTACATGCCCACCGCGGCATTGTCCTCGACGGACTTGACCTAATTCCTTGCCACCACTTGCCCTTGGCTAGTCGTTCGGGGATTTTTTTAATTTCTTTTTCCCTAAAAAAAGGGAGTCAACTCGCACTACAAACATGACCATGTGGTGTTGACGCGCAGAAGCTTCCTTTGTCCCTCGAAACTGACATATCGTTGGGAGTCAGGACCCTTGGAAGGCTTGGTCGTGCCGAGAGAACCGTCACATGACACCCAACAGCTAACAGTTGTCAAACTATAAATCGCGATATCGGTCTAGTCAGTTTACTGAACGTGGGAACTAACTGGCCATGCCTCGTCGTGCTAGGGGACCTGAGGATAGTCGTTCGACCCGTTGGTTCCCCAGAAGTTCCCGGACCTAGGCTGCAATAGGTAGGTGGCGATGTAGATAACAGAAGCAACAAGAGAGGTTACCAGTTGCTGGCATACACCGGTACTCGTAAACAAGGGCCATGATCCATCGCCCGGGGGCGCCGATGTGGTGGAGAAGACCGCACCGCACCGGTCGTCGACGAGGTGAGGCGAAAGCTAAGCTTTGACGTGGAGGCTAGTGCAGGGCAGATCGGCGCTTATTCGTCTCTTTCAAGGAGGACATGAGGCTTAACCATGGCCGCTCACATGAGATGGGTTGCAGCACTAGGGAAGCATTCGAGTCAGCCACGCTTTGCCAGCGTGCTGCCATTGCAAGTCACCTCTCGGTCAAGGGTCAATGCGGCCTGTACCCTTTTTTCGTGATCGCCTCAGGTGCTGTCAGTGACGATACGGCTCCATTAGGCACTCCTACCGCGTCCAAGACCGACTTGGCTTCGTCCTCGACCCCCGGTAGCGCACGTCGTATGTCCAGCCAGGTACACGAGACGTCTGCGGGTGACCTTGCCCTTGAGGGACGAGGCAACAGATTTCTGGGGCCATGTGGATGATGAAACTCCGAGAACAAAGTCCCAGCTGGATTACTGATGACCTCGGGGTTGCCTCAGTACTGGGAACGCTGGGGATGATCCGGTCGCAGGGATCTTTGCCCTGGCTTCCAGCAGTGTCATGTCATTCATGGCCGGGTGCGAAGCCGGAGGCGACGAGCTGGAACTTACTTACACCGAGGTCCAAGAGTTAAATAGCTTCGTTTCCTCCCACCGAATGATGGAAGAAGGGACGAAGAGACCAAGCAGCACCGTCCGCCCTCCTCCTGGACACTTGCCCCTCTCCCTCACTTGTTGTTTTCACCCCGTGGTTCGAGCATCTCTGGCAGACTCGTTGATAGACCCGTTCAATTGTTCATTGTCGCCCTGCCCCTTTCATCTTTACCTTTCTCACACGGGCCCAGTCGCCAACGATTGCCATCACCCACAGTCGTCATGAAGGTCTCAACCCTCCTCGCCGCCCTTCCCGTGGCCATGGCCGCCCCTGCTAAGCGGTCCTTCCCAGCCCCCGTGCTTGTCCCCCGTGATGCTCAGCTCATCGAGGGCAAGTACATTGTCAAGATGAAGACGGATGCCAGACTCGCCTCCGTCCCGTCGGCCATCTCCTCCATCGCCGCCGATGCCGACCACACTTACAGCCAATTCTTCCACGGATTCGCTGCCTCCCTTACTGCCGACGAGCTGGCCAAGCTCCGTTCCGACCCCAATGTGAGTCCGCCACGGCAAAGGCCGGCAACGCTGATGCCCTACCTTGAACGCTGACATCTCGCCCTGGCAGGTCGACTACATTGAGCAGGATGCCGTCGTGACCATCACCGACACCCAGGAGGATGCCGGCTGGGGCCTGGCCCGTCTCTCCAGCCAAAAGCCCAACAGCACCACGTACACCTACGATTCGAGCGCTGGCGAGGGTACCTGCGCCTTCGTCATCGACACTGGTGTTGAGGCGGACCATCCTGTACGTTGATGAATCAGATATTAGTGGGGAGAAACAAGAGACTCAAGAAGCAATTTGCTAACAGCCCGGCATAGGAATTCGAGGGCCGCGCCAAGTTCCTCAAGAACTTTGCCGGCGACGGGGACGACACGGATGGCAACGGCCACGGCACTCACGTCTCGGGAACCATTGGCTCCAAGACGTACGGCGTCGCCAAGAAGACCAAGATCTTTGGGGTCAAGGTCCTCGACGCTGACGGCAGCGGCTCCAAGTAAGCTCTTCATGGCCCCCTTTCTGAGCCCCTCGCCCAAAATCCCATGCCATGCCATCCCATCCCGTCTGCAGTCACGGCGCTAACAAGCCCACAGCTCCGCCGTCATCGCCGGCATGGACTACGTGGCCAAGGAGGCCAAGAACCAGACGTGTCCCAAGGGCGTCGTCGTCAACATGTCCCTCGGCGGCGAGAAGTCGGCCGCCGTCAACGACGCCGCCAAGGGCATCACGACCGCCGGCCTCTTCCTCGCCGTTGCTGCTGGCAACGACGGCGAGGATGCCAGCGCCTACTCGCCTGCCTCGGAGCCGTCCGCCTGCACCGTGGGCGCCACGACCAAGTCCGACGCTCTGGCCAAGTATTCCAACACGGGCTCCATCGTCGACGTCCTCGCCCCCGGCTCCGACATCCTGTCGACCTGGATTGGCGGCAAGACCAACACCATCTCCGGCACCTCGATGGCCTCTCCTCACGTCGCCGGCATTGGCGCCTACTTTCTCGGAAAGGGCACGCCGGCCGCTGGCCTCTGCCAGTTTATCGTCGACAAGGGCCTCAAGAATGTCATCACGGGCGTTTCCGGCAGCACCCCCAACGTCCTGATCAACAACGGCGAGGGCGGCGGCGGCGGCGGCGGCGGCGGCAACTCCACTGTACGGTTCTAACGCTGGGCAGCATAGCAGCGATGAGACTTTGATGGAGGCGGGCGTGAGAAGACGACTCAGTTTTGCACGGATGAGGGAAAGGCTCCGACTGCGAGAGTCACGGCGCGTATGTACTAGGGCAGGTTAAAGCGAGCAGAGGGGGGCTGAATTATGCACCAGCATCATAGCGGTTTTTATTTTCAACTTACGTATATATGTTTCACGTTGCATTCGCTACACTTGTTATGAACCGTCCGGCGCCCCCCTCCTTGAACAGATATGACTGCCGAGCCGCTTCGGCCACGGACGCAGCGACACTCTTGGCTCCTCGACGGTCTGGACTGAATTTCTCTCCTTTCACCGCTTCCTCGCCATTCGCACCGGTAGCAAGTGTTGGGCATCCGCATACCTTGCGAGCATTGTCGTTTCCTGCATCCTGCTTGGGCAGAGACCTTATCGAAGCATCTACCGTTCTGCCACGACGGACTGCTGCCGTCTCTCGACCACACCCGACTCTGATCCGCCGACATGTTGGTTCAGTTTGATTCAGCAAAGACAAACGTTGGCAATGGCACCCCACGCACTCGGTGACCGCCTCAAACTTGACTCAGCGCCCCTTGCGCTGCGAGTGTCAGGCGCCCTGGCGCCGAGAGACGAGGCCGTATCCGGCGTGGAACCGTGTCTCGGGAGCTCAGTGACGCGTTGAGGCATACGCACACACGCTCGTCCACAATCTTCTGTTTTGTCGGTAGGAAACAACTTCCGAGGTTCTCGATACGTCACATTGTGACGTGTGCCCCCTCCCCGCCGTGTGTGCGCTTGTGCGCAATACCTGAGCTCTCTGTTTCCAGTTGCGAGAGTGCGCGCGTGGTTTGCCAAGGAGACTCATGTTGCTTCCGTTGAGGCGCAGCACAGCCAAGGTCTGGGCATTTTGCACATGATGCCTAGGAGCACTGGAAAAATACAGAGGTTGAACTGAACTGGCTGGGCGATTGTTTCTTCACCAAGGGCGTATGCCGATGCTGGCGGATTGGGCGTCATCGCAAGTACGTCTACTTTCTGGATGAGATGCCTGCTGTCTGCGATGACACTGTCGTGCTAGAAGTCGTCGCCAAATCTCATTGTCATGGGAGCTATTGGTGGTCCAGCAGCACCTACGGTGGCGTTCAGGAGAGGGGAACGGAATTGCAACACGGACGACTATGTCACCGATGGGGTCTCTAAATTCATGAACCTGGGTGGGTGGACCACATAGGACTTTATGAGGACGTGGATATGGCGCTTCACACCCAATCTTACGCCCGTTGACCTGCGTTCAGTATTCGCTAGAATCGCTACCAAGTCGTCTCACGGACTTGCCTGCGGCGTCCTCTGTTGTCCTCTTCTACCTCTCTTACGTGTTGTATTTAGTTGGTCTGTGATTGCGAGAATGAGTGCCAGTCCTGCCTGAAACGGGTGGTCCGGATGTGGACCGGGACCGGGACCGGATCTGAGCGACATGCCGAGTACTTTGGGAGCGTCCACGCTGGGTCGTCTTGCTTGTCCCTTGATCAAATGGCGGGGTAAATATCGACATGGCAAAGGGCGTCGTCGACGTGTCGTTCAAAGGGCTCGGCGCCCTCCCAGATGCCATCCGCTCCTACTGACATGGCCTGAATCCTGAAGACGCGCGTAGAATGAGGCTTTGACTGCCTCTGGAACGCCTATATTATCCAAGAGGCCTCGCTTCCGGACCCTTCTTTCCGCTATGGCATCAAGTCGCCAAAAGAAAAAAAGCAGCATCACAAGGCGAAAGTCATAATGGCCAGGCTCTCCGACTACAAAGTCCTCACTTTTGACTGCTACGGCACCATTATAGACTGGGAGACGGGTGTCCTCGACGCGCTTCAGCCTCTGCTAGACGCCAATGGAGCGAATTTTCCACGGCAGGAGCTTCTCACAGTCTTCCACGGATGCGAAGCCGCCCAGCAAGCTAAATCACCAGACTTGACATACGACAAACTCTTGGCTGCCGTCCTCCCCCAGGTGGCCGCCAAGCTGGGCCTCAAGGAACCGAGCGCACAGGAACGCGAGGCTTTCGGCGCGTCGGTCGGCACATGGCCTGCCTTTGCTGATTCAGTAGCTGCCCTGGGCCGTCTGTCGAAGCACTGCAAGCTCGTCATCCTGTCCAATGTGGATCGCGAATCCTTTGCAAAGACCAACGCCGGGCCTTTGCAGGGCTTTCCATTCCCTCTCATTATTACGGCGCAGGATGTCGGCAGCTACAAGCCTCATCGTCGCAATTTCGAGTACATGATCCGCGAGGTCAAGGACAAGTTTGGCGTCGGCAAGGACCAGATCCTCCAGACGGCGCAGAGCCAGTTCCACGACCACCATCCCGCGAAGAGCGTGGGTATCAAGTCGAGTTGGATTGTGAGACCGGGTGCGCTGATGGGGAACAGAGCGGACGCGGTCTATGACTGGAAGTTTGACACGCTGGGAGACATGGCTGATGCTCTGGACGAAGAGGCTGCGCGGAAGTAGTCTGCAACTGTGTATGCGCAGGCAATGCTGACGGGCTCCGGTAGCGAATTACAGTACTGTGCGTTGCCATGAATCGTCTGCGACCTCTTGCTCTTTCGAAATGCCTCTTGTTCGTGCAAGTGTCCTGATACACAGGGCCGGACTGTTGCATGCAGCTGCTCAGGAGCTCCAGAAGCAGCATCACAGCAATGATACCCTTCGCTCGGGGCGCACGTTTGCATGGATTGCTTTGGACCACCGTGTGTGCGCAACTCGAGCAGTTGGTGCGTTGTTGATTCTGGTGCTCTTGCAAGTTGACGCCTTGGTGCAAACAGCACGTCTCATCATCTTTGCGCATCTAACGCCTTGACGGTACGGAGTAGTTCATCGTGTCTATCCATCATGACAAAACCCCCATCGGCACTAGCCAGGAACGGCTGCAGGCGTCATCGTCATTTCCAACAAGTTGTTGCCGTGCAGAATCACAAAGAACCCCCGGCCGAGCTTGGACAGCACCACCGGTAGTCCGACGTCCAGCCAGTAACATGCTGGATTAAGATGAACATGGGCTCGGAAATATGCCAATACTAAACCGACCGTTGGCGAATCCTTGTCCATCTCGGAGACCTGGCTGTGCCTTCTCAGTCGGTGGTTCGAATCTCGCTTCCGGGCCAGGACCTGGACCCTCGGCCCCGAGTCCGTGCAAAATGCTGTGCTCGATATCCGCGTGATATCAATGTTGTTGTCCCTGCCAAGAAATTGGACGTAGCGTACGGCTGCTGCCGATGCTCGCCGAGACTGGCCTGAGCAGTCCTGAGGCCTACCGCGTAATTTAAACGGTGCTTCGCGTTACACATGGATGATTCCAGCATCTCCGGATGGGGCATCTGCTTGATCTTTCCGAGCACGCCACATGTGCATCTCTAATTGTGCAATCTAACGGCACGACGTGGTACAGCCGAACCTGGTGGCTCTCGATGGATTTCGCGCGGTGATGGGACATGGTGGCCAACAGACTGCATGGACAACAAAGACGATGATACTAGGGCTCCGTAAATGATCTGCCGTGCTCTGCCGTGCTCTGCCGTGCTCTGCTCTGCTCTGCTCTGCTCTGCTCTGCTCTGCTCTGCTCTGCTCTGTAGCTTCCACAAGCCTCGTACGACCGCAGCTTCTACCAGTGTGCGCCCCTTGGCTCATCCGCAGTCTGGCCAACACAACACTGCATTTTTATTTTTTTATTTTTAGACGCCATGTGGCCCAGATGAACGGCCAGTGCGTGCCTTATTTGTCAGTGTGTGGTAAACTCAACAAGATGCACTGCTCAATAGATGTATGTCGGTTGGCTTGGACGGCGCATGGGAAGACAAGAAGGAGGTCGCACATATAAGCCTCCTGTTCTCCCCCCAAGTCTGTCTTTGTCAAGAAGGGCGCGACTTGGGCACATCGTCACCGTTATACCTGTCCCGTTACCATGTCAAACGTCAAGCGGTTATTTCTTTCAGCACTGGCGCTTGCCACCCCGTCTCTGGCGGGCGAGGGGAATAGGACTGATGGCAAATACATTGTCACGCTGAAAGATGGCCTTTCCACAAGCAGCTTCCACAGTCACATGAGCTGGATCAAAGGTATACATGCGGGCGTCACTGTCAGCGCCGGCCACCGAGGAATTGAGCGCGTATACGATGGAACCTATGGGTTTAGTGGCTATGCCGGGCAGTTTGAGAAGGAGACCCTCGCCGAGATCAAGGCTAGCCAAGATGCACGTCACGCCCTTCCCTGGACCGGAACACAACTGACACATGATAGGTTGAAGCTGTCGAACAAGACAAGGTCTGGCGCCTCACCTGGATTCGAGGCGACGTGGGCATCGAAGGGCAACGCCATCTCAAGGCCAGGCAGCAGAACACGACCTACATGGAGCAGGACGATGCTCCCTGGGGCCGGGCAGCAGTTTCACACCGGCACGCCGGGGCACAGGGATACAGATACGACGCCGTCGCGGGCGAGGGCACCTATGCGTACGTCATCGACACCGGTATCCGGGACACGCACAGCGAGTTCGAGGGACGGGTGCAGAAGGGGTACAGTGCCTTCGACCAGGACGCCGATTCCGTGGGCCACGGCACCCACGTTGCCGGAATCATTGCCGGCAAGACGTACGGGGTCGCCAAGAAGGCCAGCGTGGTTGCCGTCAAGGTCATGGACGGCGAATCGGGCATGATGTCGGACATCCTCGCGGGATTCGACTGGGCAGTCAAGGACGTGCTGACGAACAAGCGCGCCGACAGAGCCGTCATAAACATGTCTCTCGGGGGCCCGCGCTCCACGGCCTTCAACCGAGCCGTCGACCAGGCGTCAGCCCGCGGCATCACGACCGTCGTCGCCGCCGGCAACGAGGCCGCCGACGCGGCTGATTCTTCTCCGGCCTCTGCCCAGGGTGCCGTTGCCGTTGCGGCCATCGACGACGACTGGAGGCGTGCCAGGTACTCCAACTTTGGGCCTTCGGTGGGCATTTTCGCACCGGGAACCATGGTCCTGTCTGCCTCCTACCAGGATGATTCGAGCGCAGTCACCATATCTGGCACGTCCATGGCCTGTCCGCACATTGCTGGACTTGCCGTCTATGCCATGTCTACTCGGGGTGTTGCCGGCGGCCCAGCGACTCGGCACCTGCTTTCGACGGCTACCAAGGGCAAGGTCAGTGATTCTCGTGGCTCTCCCAACCTTGTTGGAAACAACAACGTCCCTGGCCAGTGAGAGTGGAATTTGCACGCGTGGCATGTCGTCTTCTCCCCTGACGACTGAAGACTTGCGACGTCAACTAGATGTCCTCTTCAGCATGAGACCATGGTAATGTAATGTAGGAAGGCAACTGATGGATGGACGCGGGAACTATTCGCTTCTGGGACGACGTATTTTAGTACAGCCCAAGCTAGAGTATGCTTTGGTAAATCACATCGAGTTGCAGGAAACTAGCACGTTTTGATGCGTCTACGAGCGCCTCGGCACGTAAACGCTCATTTCCAACCCGTTCTTGTACGGCAAGGTCAGGCTGATGAATGGGCTTTCCGGGCCGCGCATGTACTCCAAAAAGTCCTTGTATCCGGCGCCGAAGCCCATGGTGTTGTCGGCGATGACAACTGCCCCAGGCCGGATCTTGGGCTGGACAACCTGCAGCGTCGGCAGGGCCATGGGCGTCCAAACTGTCCAGGCAATCAGCCTCGCTCACGGCCGTTGACCCTTGACCTTTGCAGACAAAACTCACTGTCCAGAAGCAAGAGATCGACGTCGTCGACCTCGTCTTTCAGCGTCTCCCTCAAGTCCCCCTCTCGAAGGTCAATGACATCAGCCACCTCCTTGCCGCACTGGTGCCAGTTCTCCCGGGCCGTGGCCGCCTTGGTCGGCTCGTGCTCCGTCGCAATAACCCTGGCAGGCTTCCCCCCGCCGGCGGCGTTCGCAGCAGCGGCGAGAGCGAGATAAATGGTGCTGACGCCGAACGAGGTTCCGGCTTCGACGATGGTTCTGGCGCCGGTGGCGCGACACAGCGCGTACACATACTGCGCCTTGTCTTGATCGAGGGCGATGTACTTGTCGCGCATCACCTCGTCTATTGTGCGGTCCTTGAAGTCCTCTCTGGTCATCTTGGATTCTTGGTTCCACGACTCGGCATGGAGTCTGTCGAGCAAGTCGACCATGTGTCTAGGCACGCCGGCCATGGCGTTCTCAGGGGGAGGCGTGTACGAGGCCGCAGAGTCCGATTGCATCGTACAAGTGTGAGCTCGCGCGTACCTGACCGGAAGGGGCTTGGATCGCCTGCAGATTTGGTAGCTTCAAGGACGTACGTGTGTCGACGAGGCTCCTGTTGTATTTAAAGCGCGTCGGTACCCCGCCTCTCGAACGATGCCGGCAACCAAACACGTCCGATATCCCCGACATGACAGCCTACAGTGTAAGCATACGCATGGGCCGGAATACACACTGGAGAGAAATATGCCGAGACAAGTTGTCGTTGGGCGATACGGCCTGCGCCGGCGGCAGAGTCCGGGCCGATGGAATTTGTACACCGAAGAGATGGTATACACGGACAACTGACAAGACAAGACGCAACATCAGCCCGCCGCCAGCTTGGAAACCTTTCTTGAAGGAGCCGATGCCGGCGGCAGTTGACTAGCTCAGCAGTGAAACGGCGAGCTGCTGCTGCAAGCGCATTTGCAACTCAGCCGCTTGTTCGCGGGTCGATGTTCTCGTGACAGATACTCCGTGATGTCAAGAATTTGTCTCCCACCGCATCTCATCGCATACGTCCTTTGACCCGAAAACGGCACAACCTTGAGCTGCGTATGCATACTCCTGGGCCTCAGTTTGTACAACTACTAGTCGTAAGGGGATGGATGAGCTTGTCTTTTGGGTCCGTAGAGCAGTCGTCACTGCTGCCCGCCGCCCCAGCGATTTCGCAGCTCCTGGCGACGGTACCTTTTTTTCAATATAGTATAACTCAGGGGGCAGGAAATGACCAATATTCATGCCCCGTGCACAATGAGAAATTACTCGCAGAGAATCGAGCCCGGCCCAAAGCCCTATTGGAACAGCCTGGCCACGAGGCCCGTTTGTACTGTCCGAGCTATCACTGTGAATTTTAATGAGCCGGCGGCTGATTTCCAATCCGACCGCCCAACGAGCTGTTTTAGATGTTTACGGCTAAGAATTCGGTAAATTTTGCAGCGTCTAGGGTTAGGGTGTGATGGATGGACGGCGAGAGACAGCTATCGAGCGTCCCACGGCACCTGTCCCCTGCAAAGGTAGCAAATTGAGTCACTTACGTAAAGAGCTCCGGATCGAGATAAACAGCTTGGAATCTGGAGTAAATGCACCCCCAATAGGGTCGGCAGCAATGATTCTTGTCGCACCAAAGCGAGGGTCTGCCGTCGGGTATTTCAACGAGTTTGATGAATCTCCGCTCGTCCCGACGGCGCTCGACCGAATGTTTGGGCGGCATGGTCCGTGCGTCTTTCGGGCGGCCCCAATTTATTCTCAAACGTGGAAAACTGTTCCAGCCAATCCCGGTCATTCATCTGCATCTCCGAATTTAGCAGGCAAGGGAATTGACCATCGTATTCCGCGGAATGGCGTTCGGAAGGATATATTATTAGCATACGTAATCTACGTAACTCACACGATGGGCTTTTGTCTAACCTGGTGGGGACGGACTTCACTCCGTATACACTGGAGTCATGGCGTACCATGCGTAGGGGGGTTTCCTGCTGAGACGGGGAACTTTTGTCCTACATCGCCTTGAATATAACCAACAGACTCCTTGATGCGAAACAGCCTCCCAAAACGCCATGTGTAGACTCGCCGCCATGCATTTGGTCACCTGCAAGTCGCTTTTTGAACCAGAGTTTGACAGCTACGCGGAGACCCACGAATGCCGTTGTTGAATCTGCCTTCTCACACGACATGGCCGACGTCAAAACGCGCCGTTCAACATCTTCAGTCATGACCCAAACAGAGAGCGCATCGTGCACCCCTCTCCGGGGCAAGGTATACGCGGTCACCGGTGGCGCAAGCGGCATCGGCTTCGCCACAGCGCAACTGCTCTCCCGCAAAGGCGCAACGGTGTGCATAGCAGACATTGACCTAGAAGCCATCAAGGATGCCGAGGCGTACTTTTCCAGCCTGCCAGCACCGCACATACCGCCCATGATTACTAGAGTTGACGTCTCCAAGCGAGTCGAGGTAGACGGCTGGGTCGCCTCCATCATCAACAAGTACGGCCGTCTAGACGGGGCGGCGAATGTCGCCGGTATCATAGGCAAGGGCCATGGGATTGCATCTGTGGCAGAGTTGGAGGACGAGGAGTGGGACAAGATTATCGGCGTCAACCTGACGGGCACAATGTATAGCCTGCGGGCAGAGCTGCGGAACATTGTTGATGGTGGTTCGATCGTCAATGTCTCGTCCGTCCACGGTCTTAAAGGTAAGATGTTCCCCCAGATTCCATACACATCCTTGCTAACAACAGATCCGTAGGGTTCGCGAAACACGCCGCCTACGACGCCAGCAAACACGGCATCATCGGCCTCACCAGGGCCGCGGCGCTGGAAGCTGGCGACCGCGAAATCCGCGTCAACTCGGTGGCTCCGGGCGCCATCTACACGCCGCTCATGCAAAAGAATTGGGATTTTGCCGGCAGAGCAAAAGACGCACCCTTTGACGACCCGTCTGCGTTCAGGAGACAGGGCACGGCGGAGGAGACGGCAAATGTGATTGTGTTCTTGCTAGGTCCTGAGAGCACATTTGTCAGTGGCAGTGTGTACCAGGTTGATGGGGCTTGGATATGAATACATCGACATACCGGTATGACAACACCCCACCTAAGTACGCACGCCCGTCACGGAGAAGCTGTGGGTTTTGGTGGTTTCTGGCACTTTTGAGGATGAACCCTGTGAACCCGGAACGAAGGGCCTCCATCCACCCTGTGGACGATTGAGCCACGACACATCAATGGCTTGGCTTCAGCCACGAGTTCTGGGCACAAAGAAAGAAGAGTGTACAATGTGTGCGGTACCCCTGACGGCACCTGCGGGGAGAAGCTGGGTCAAGGGAGGATATTTTGGAGAAACCCGCAGTGTGGCCCAAAAGGCGTGCCGTCACGTGCAAGCCGTGTACGGTCAGCTTAGGTACCTACGGAGTACCTAGGTAGGAACTCAAATCAAGTACCTAGGAAGGTAGGTACTTACTTAGTACCTAGGCACTGGGCGCCTTCCCCAGCAGCGTGCACGATTCGTCAGCCACTCAGACATCCACCACATACATGGCCCATGGGAACGGACATGCAATTCTCACCGTCCCGTCTCACCCTTGTGTGCAACACCAAGACCTGGCGCCATTTGCCCATCCAAGACCTGCATTCATCCACCGCGGCTATTTCTGATCCCCTCTCCATTCTCCGTATTGGCGTTTAACCCACGCCTCCGGCTTCGACGGGACGTCCCACAGCCACTCGCCATGCCCCAACAGTCGGTGCTGCCATCCGGCAACGACACAAGCCAATCTGAGGAGCATGTTTTTGTCCCCCAGCAAGAGCATGCCAGGCCAAGAAAGCGCACGAGGAGGGCCTGCGACAAGTGCAGCGCCTCAAGGACTCGCTGTGACGGTGAATGGCAAGTCTCACTGCGCTCAATGTTTCCTCGGCTCTTCAAGTCCGACATCCGTACTAACCGAGGCCCGTTTTCTAGTCCCTGCCGTAGATGTCAGGGTGAGAATGCCTTTCTTTCGTGCCATAAATACTGAGCGCATCACCTGTTTGTTTGTTACAAATGCTGGCATGTCCTGGTAACTGCACACACAGCCTGGTCACTGCCAATTGCTATAACCACACACGATCAACAAACTAACTCATGTTTCCCATCTTGTCAAAGACTATGGATACTCTTGTCGGTATAATCGGGAAGTCAAGAAGCGAGGCCGTCTGCCAGCCTCTGCCCCGGTCAAGTTCCAGCCCGAATCAAAACGCCTCGTGCCTCAAACACGCACCCACGACGATGGACCTGCAACTCAACCGTCACCACTGTCAGCATCACCTTCCAGTACATCAGAGGTTGCCGACGAGCAGCCTCCATCCATGTCTGTTCGAGCAGACCAGCGCAGCAACTCTCCCGCGGCGAACAACCTGTCCATTGACAACCATCCGCTAGGTACTCGTGCAGGAACTGTCATCTCACACGGCACCCGGTCTCCTGACAAAAGACGACGCATATCCACCCCCATGTCCGTTACTTCTCTTATTCAATCAGGTCTGCACAAAAGTGCTGCCTCTGATCCCCCTGCGTTCCGGCCCCCAGCAGGTTCGTCGGCGGCCACTTTCTCAGATAACCATGCTGCAGACTCAGAGGCACTCATATCAGATGATAGTGTCGGTTATCCATCCCCAGCCAACTTCAGTAGAGCACACCAATACCGAAGAACCTACCCCCATCGTGCTTCGTTCAGGTCTACGGCTAGTACCGACGGATTTCGGGAATCTTTCAGCATTGCTACAGTCGTCAATGGCTCGTCGCCCGACCTCCTTCAAAGAGCTCCAACCGAGGATTGTTGTTACAGATTTCTTGATCCAGTCTTGCCTTATATACGAAACATACTTCCAGCTTCAGTAGCATGCGAGCTGCTCGATATTTTCCTCACAGATCCTGGAAGCTCACTCTTCCGCGGTGCCTCGCCGTACATCCTCACTCGCATATTCCGCAAAAAATCTGTTCTCCATCCAACCAACCCGAGATATGCTACTCCTGCGCTTCTGGCAACAATATTATGGTGTGTTGCACAAACGGCGGATGTTATGCTTCTCCACGTACCTGGGACGCGTGCAAAGGTAGTGAATGACTTGTACGATCTGGCTATATCCTTGATTTCTGAACGGGATCCAGATCGCTGGCGTCGAATCCATGGTACAAGGACCAGTCTTGATGTAATCGTCTATCAGGGGAGTCGCTGACATTTGGCTAGGTGGTTTAAGAGCCGAAAACGAGATGCCCATTCCCGGGTGGACCAACTGCGCATCTGTTCCAACAACCACAGCGGCAAACGAGCCAGCTGGGGGTGTGGACGATGTCCTTACTTTTATCCTGTTATCTATCGCCGTTTCCGGTAGCGATTTCAAGTCTGACTGTTACAAGTGGTGGTCGAAAGCTGTAAGGCTAACTCTCTCCCTGCAATTGAATCGAGAGGACGAGCGGTGCCAGGCTTCAGTCTCGCCATGTGCGAACCCTCTGTGCTCCTGCCACAGGGATCGCTCTGATGCGACCTACGTTGAGTTTGAGCGGCGAGAGGAACGAAGGCGAGTATTTTGGCTACTCTACAGTCTCGACAGACATTTGAGCCTGTCTTTCAACACGGTCCTCTCCATGCCAGATTCGTATTGTGAGGTCTACAGTTCGTGTTAAACCCCATAAGTCTTTGCCCCGTTAGTAAAAGCATAGTCTGTTGTTCTTGATCGCTGACAATTTGCAGCTCCGCTTTCGGAACGTATTTGGGAAAATTTAGACGCCATCCCGCCTCGGGACCTCCCTGCGAGAACCATGGGCCCTCCGGTTCTTGCAACAGGGACTGGATACCTCGAATACTTTCTTCCTCTCATGGCCATCCTCGGTGACATTATTGAGATTCATCATCGACGACGACACCCTCGGCTTAGTCAACAAGGCGACGCATACTCCATATCCGTTGTACAACATCTCTTGTCTGACTACGAGCTTAGTCTTAATGCACTAGGCCGTAATGCTGCTATTGTCCCGCCATCTACGGCATTCCAGATACCTGGGCAGGATGGACGAGACTTGCTAAGCGACGTGCCAGGCCCCGGTTCTAACATGTCATCATCGTCATCATCATTATACCAAGCAGACCAATCCAAAGTTCGACTTGTTATGGCTTATAGCACCCACATTCTACACGTCCTTCACGTCCTTTTACATGGCAAATGGGATGCTATTTCCATGTTAGACGGTGGCGATGACTGGATCACTTCAGAACACTTCACCGAGTGCGCGTCGCATGCCATTTCTGCATCCCAATCCGTGTCGACCATTCTCAACATTGATCCCGAGCTCACTTTCATGTCCTACCTCTTCGGAATTTACCTTCTTCAGGGTAGTTTTATTCTGCTTCTCTTTGCGGACCGCATGCCACAGCTTGGTCCCAACGAGTCCGTGGAACAAGCATGCGAGAATATCATCCGAGCCCATGAAGTCTGTGTTGTTACATTAAATACTGAATTTCAGGTACTTTAATTCCTCCATTATGTCACAGGCACAAACTAAGCGAACGTTTTGACCAGAAAAATTTTCGAAGAGTGGTACGATCTATATTATACAGTGTACGAGGAGGAACCGGCACTACCGATTGGGAAGAACATCGGGCAAGGCGCAGAGCCCTATCTCTTTATAGATGGACCAAGGGTGCAAAAGGGTTGGCTCTGTAGATGATTGGCCTTGCACCCATCCTGATTCGGAGAATTCTGCGTTAAATGTACGTCATCTCACCGTCTGGGACGCCATCGTAGAATGCAAAGTTTCTTTCCTTGAGACGTCGATGGCATGAACACTCACTTATCGCCACTTTTGTCATGTTGTAGTCTGGCACCTCAATAAGTTCTCGTCTTCTACGTAGTGGCGTTACACCTACATCAGAGGCCGTGCAGTTGTACAATATTTATAAAGAGGCACTACCAAGATACGGTTGTGTATGTTTGAGGGAATAAACTGAATGAAAAACCTTTGAATGCAAACCAGGAAGTTGAGTCATACAATTGAAGACAACGCATGAATAAGATATAGTCTTGCAACACAAGAAAATTAGGAGATACCTGGGTTCAAAGCCTATTATCATTTTTACTATTCCTAACGAGAGCTATCTCGTTACAACTTGCGTGCGCAACTGCAGTCATATTCGAGAGAAAGGCCCGAGGAGCTCTAGGGTAGCTTGACATAGCCGCCTCTACCCACCGGAAGAAAATTAATGCCTTTCCCCGAAAGCCCACCTAAATGTGCCTGCGCCGCGGCAAGTGACTACATGCCAATTGCCAAATGGTCCAACAGTGCCACGACCACAAGACAACATTGTATCAAGACAAAAGGTCTTGATACGCCTGCCGCTATGGTTCTTCAAGATCTTGGCCGCCGTATCAACGCGGCGGTCACCAACCTGACGAGGGACCAGAATCTCGACGAGAAGGTAGGCCGCGCACGAAGCTTTCTATATCAAGTCGCAACAATGAATTCCGTTGAGCTAACAGTCAGCGGAATGTAGGCGTTTGACAACATGTTGAAAGAGATTTGCTCCGCCCTCCTGGAAGCCGACGTCAACGTAAAGCTCGTCATGCAGCTGCGAAAATCCATCAAAGCCACAGTCAACTTCAAGGACGTCCCGCCCGCGGTCAACAAGAAACGCCTTATCCAAAAAGCCGTATTTGACGAGCTTGTCCGACTAGTCGACCCGCACGCCGAGCCATTCAAGCCGAGAAAAGGGAAGCCGAACGTCATTATGTTTGTTGGTCTCCAGGGTGCCGGCAAAACAACGACTTGTACCAAGCTTGCGCGACACTATCAAACAAGAGGTTTCCGGGCGTGCCTAGTGTGCGCAGATACCTTCCGAGCTGGTGCGTTTGACCAGCTGAAGCAGAATGCGACAAAGGCCAAGATTCCATACTATGGTTCTCTCACGGAGACCGATCCCGCGGCCGTCGCCCGCGCCGGAGTGGAGCAGTTCAAGAAGGAGAAGTTTGACGTGATTATCGTCGACACGTCGGGCAGGCATCGTCAGGAGTCGGCACTGTTCCAGGAAATGATTGATATCCAGACAGCAATCCGCCCGGACGAAACCATCATGGTGCTGGATGCTTCCATCGGTCAGCAGGCAGAGTCGCAGGCCAAGGCGTTCAAGGAAGCGGCTGATTTCGGAGCCATTATCATCACCAAGACAGACGGGCATGCCCACGGTGGTGGTGCCATTTCTGCCGTGGCGGCAACACACACACCCATCGTGTTCATCGGTACCGGTGAGCACATGCTGGACCTGGAACGCTTCGCCCCGCAGCAGTTCGTCCAGAAGCTGCTGGGCATGGGCGACATGGCCGGCCTGGTGGAGCACGTTCAGTCGCTGAACCTGAACCAAAAAGACACAATCAAGCACATACAAGAGGGCATCTTCACGGTCCGCGATCTCCGCGACCAGCTGTCCAACATTATGAAGATGGGGCCCCTGTCTAAAATGGCCGGCATGATCCCGGGCATGAGCAACATGATGCAGGGGATGGACGACGAAGAAGGCAGCGCCAAGCTGAAGCGCATGATCTACATTTGCGACTCTATGACAGACAAGGAACTGGACTCGGACGGCAAGATCCTGATCGAGCAGCCCACACGAATGACCAGAATAGCCCGCGGCTCGGGAACTTCGGTGCGTGAGGTGGAAGATCTCCTCACGCAGCAGCGCATGATGGCTGGCATGGCCAAAAAGATGGGCGGCAACATGAAGAACATGCAACGCGCGCAGCAGGCTATGGGCGGCGGCAATAAAGCTCAACAGATGGCGGCGATGCAGAAGCGGCTCCAGAGCATGGGCGGCGCTGGCGGGGCCGGCGGCATGCCTGACATGGGATCACTGATGAAGATGCTCGGTGGAGGAGGCGGCATGCCTGGTGGCATGGACATGCAGGCGATGATGAGGCAGATGGGGATGGGAGGTGGTATGCCGGGCACGCCGGGCGGGAGTGGCCGTGGAAGGAGGTGATGAGTGGCCGGCCCCAAGGGATGGGATGGAAGACGGGCACGAGACGAGGGCGGCTTTTCGAATCATGGTGACACAGCGGCGAGCATATATATTATGTTTTGTTGCGTTGGCGTTTAGGCTACATGGTTATGATTGACAAGGAACAAAAAATGCATATGACATATGACGAACCGTTGGTATTTTCCATCAATTTTCCTTCTAGTATCCAGGGTATCGCCATGTGGTGTTGCGCGTTTCAACCAATGTTTGCAAGCAGGGCAATTTCCGACATGAAGTTGTGGACAAAAGGGCTGATAATGCCAGGTACCTGAGCTGCCGCGGCCTCGAGAAGCACCGAGGATGTTGTATTTGTCACATGGCGAGCACGGTCTTATGACTGCTCCTTGCCTAGCTGAATATAAATATCATGCGCTTAATACTCGTGCTGTGTAAGTTTTTCATGCTGCTGGAACGGAGTCTAAGATGACGCAGCATACGATACTTTCGTCAGCTGGCTTCTAGTTTTCACGCTTGGGCTACTATACTCGGTCGTGGGTTAATCGTTGAAGGAATTTTGCATTTGGAGATACGGGTCGTTCGTAAGAGATTGTTGATTGTTACTTCATCCACGTTTCTGCAAGACGATTCTTTCAGTAGTCTCATGGGCAAGAAACCGGCAACAATACCATATGTCAACAAGGAGTGTACTGGGCGCCAGGAGCCTGCTCGATGTCTTTGCTGATATCGCCAGGTAGGCTTACAGAGCACCTGCTTGACCACGAACCAAGCGGTAGTAAAGTCACTTTGATGATCTGGGTTGCCCCTTCAACCGTTGAGGAGGACGCTGCCAGTTTAAGATGGTCTCGCCTCGTTTCGTCAACTCGGTTCTCTTCCAATCATACACCTTCATCACCTCCTTCACAGTCTTGTCTGCGTAGTGGGTTTCAACTTCAGAAAGCGATGGATCGGGAAGCGGTGGCCAGTCCAGGAAACCAGGCGCCTCTGTGTAGACGGCGATTTGTTTACGGGCTCGCCGCCTGTCACACCATTCCCTGAGCACCCGGCGGAATTCTGAGACGGGGTGGTAAACACAGCGTGTCTCGTCATCCTCTGGATCCGTCGACGTCGATATTGAGCCGCCGTTGCTAGAGGAGACGTGGGTTGCATAGACGACGGGTGCGAGGGTGTCAATGTGCTTGACAAGCTGTTCAGTGGCAGGATCTTCCGATTCCAGCTCCTCGTCCATTGTGACTGAAACGAGGCGCCGCTGATGCCAGTCGATGATGGGCCAGGTGCTTGGGCCTCCAGGATAAATGGCGCCGCTGGGGCCGAAGAATCTATCATCAGGACCGATCATATTGACGGCGGAAGATACTTCCAGAGAGACAGTGGACACGGGGCTATGGGTCAAGATGGGAGAGAGTCGGGCAAGGACTGGCAACTGGGCGGCTTGATGAATGCTTTTCGGCGTCGACAAGTCTCACGCTCACGCGCCCGCGACTTTGCATTCGAGGCGCTTGTTGAAACATCGAGCTGCGCGGGCTTCGCGGCCAGCCGGACGCGTGAGGCGGCTCCTCGGCGCACATGTCGTGACCAAGACGTACAAGAACAGCCATGTCAGCTATCTATCGTGGGGGTTTTGATGGTCCATGACGCATGCTGAAGATGTAAGTATCATGTCGGGACGAGAAAAGTTTTCATGCCGACATCTCACAGAACTTGTCATGGACGTGTGTCTGGAGAGCAGTTGGATGCTACACGTACACGGAGCCCCTTTTCTCCTCCACTTCCAATAGCTGCAATCGTCTAGGTCAGGTTACACACGCAGGAAGCATCGTGTGCTCGTACGCTAGCCTCGGATTTAAGCCTCGATGACCTTTCATGTTATGCGAGACGATCTTTGAAGCGAGTCACGTCGCTCGGAGCCCTCCATGGAGCCCTTGTTACATCAGGCTTGGGCAGCAGATGATGAAATTTGATTTGATGTAATGTGGGAAGCAACTTACTTCGTACTATATATGACAAGGGGCGTCTGCAGCAGTGTAAAAAGCGGGCTTGAAGCGCCTTGGCTCGATTTTATACGTAACGCACTTTGATATTAAAGGTCTTGGCTCTCCAAAAGGTCCTTGGCGGCCAGAGGCTTCTATTTATGCAGCAGCCTTCTGCGCCAGGCATCGTGGCTACAGCCCTTGTGTCATCAACCTCCGTGTGACACCATACTCTCCGTTTACAGATGGCTGGATACAACACGTGCAAGGTATGACGTGTGTGCCAAGTGGGAAGAGTAACAATTTTTTGTTCTGTCGCCAGCAAGTCCTCGACAAGACAGTCTTTGATGACCTCTGAACGAGCTAAATCTGGCCTCACATCGCAACTTCACCTCGCCGTTGTAATACAACTTGATCCGAGGCACGGCGGTGAGCGAGCAGACTGCAGGTCCTGTCTGCGGTCGTATGGGGCGTGTCGACTGTCGACTGGGATCAGGCCGCAAATGAAATGGGTAAATAGTGGCCACTGTGTATGGCTTTCGCCGTCTGCGAGTCATTCAGCAGGATATTCACGCCTTGAAGCTTTCACCGTCCTGGCCAGACACATCCAAGTCGGCAAGTTGGGGACAGACGGTGGGTTATATGCGCGCAAAGGCGAGACGAGACTACTCTGGCGTCTGTATAAGTTATAGCTCTTCTTGTAGCACAGAGTGAATCTTTGTATTCCCCTGATGGAATCGAATCGCAAACACAACTTGGCACCGTCTTTTTCAGGTACACCGATGTAACGACCAACCTACCAGGGGAGTGATTGTCATCCGCTCTTGGCAGTCCAGTTGGCAGTTATCGTACAACGATGAGCCCATGTCTGCCATGTCCTGCAACGCACCCCTGAGAACCCAATGCTTCGGAGTCCATCGTATCTCCCTTCACTCGCCGCCGTGCAAGTGGACGAGCGATTTTCTCCTCTCCATCTAGCCCGTACGCTCGGGGACCGCGAGGCCCAATCAACTCTTGCATACCCATCACAGGGAAATTATATGTGCTGTTCCACGTGGCAGAACCTGGGTCACATCCCTGTCGTGGAACCTGCCGGTAACGTTGTTACGGAGCATCCCATGCCGTGCCGTCGCATCATCATGCATGTATGATGTGTGCCTCCCTGATCCGATCCACCTCGTCGTTATCAATCTGATAATAAATGCGCCATCCCGCGCCCGTCACGGCGGACCGTTGGCCCTGTCTGTCGGCAGATTCTACGCAGGACTCGGCACCGGATACGACAGCCATGGCTCAGGACAAGCAAGCGGCAGCCACAGCCACCGCTGCCGACCAAGACTTGGTCGGCAGTGAGCGGCGGTCAAGCGACGCGAGCAGGGACAGGGCGATCCCGCTGCGGATCAAGATTCTGGCCGTCGTGCTCGTCAGTCTGATCGGATTCGGGTCGCACTGGAGCGGCGGCGTGACGGGAGCCATGAAGAGCACCATCAAAAAGGTACGTTTGGACGTGCGTGAAGAGGAGCGAGGCCGTGCTGACACAGGGGGGCGGCAGAAACTGCGCATCAACAACGCCCAGTATGCCGTCTTGGAGGCGAGCCAAGACTTTATCAAGACGGCCCTGATCTTGGTGAGCGGCCTTGTGACGGACAGAATCGGCGGCGCGAGTAAGTCCCATCTTGTGCCAAGCCGCGATGCGCTCGCTGTTCGTCTGACCGGATCCAGGCGCGATGCTCTGGGGAAACGCCGTGTACAGCGTCGGCGCCATCCTGATAGCCGCCGCCGCCACCGTCCGCAGCTACAAGTTCATGATTGTCGGCGTCGTCGTCCAGGCCCTGGGAGACGTGGCCACCCAGGTGGCCCAGTACAAGGTCTTCTCGTCGTGGTTCGCGCCGTCCAACGGATTCGCGTCGACGCTGGGCTTCGAACTCGGACTCGGCAAGATTGGCGGGTTTGTGGGAAAGGCCACGGCCAACGTGATTGCCGCCAGGACGGGAGACTTCAAGTGGGTGTACTGGTGCGCCGTCTTCATGAACCTGTTCACCAACGCGGCGACGCTCGCGTTTTGGCTCTTCACGCGCTGGTGCGAGAGACGCTATGCCGGGACGCGTGATCCCGCCACGGGCGAGAGGCTGACGGAGCGCAACAAAAAGTTTGAGTGGTCCAAGATGCTGCGGATGCCGTGGCCGTTTTGGCTCGTGGCCGCGTTTACCATGTTCCAGACCTCGACGGCGTCCGTCTTCTCCCAGAACGCGACCGAGTTCGCGGAGCAGCGATTCAAGGTGTCTGCCGAGACTGCGGGCTGGTATTCCGCCATGTCCAAGTACCTTGGCTTCTTCCTGGTGCCCGTCCTGGGCGTCTTCATCGACGTCTTCGGCCACCGCCTCAGCATCATGGTGGTGTGCGCCGCCGGCATGATGCTGTCCATGTGTCTGGCGGCATGGGGCCCGACGGTCAAGGGAACTGCGGCCAGCTTCGGCGTGTTTGCCTTTGCTGCGTCCCTGGGCCCTACCGTCATCATAGACAGCATACGGACAGCCATGTTCTACCAGGAGGTCTTTGGATCGGGCTACGCCATCAAGAACGCCATCAACAACAGCATGAACATCATGATACGAATCGTCACGGGAGTGATCCAGGATCAGGACCGCGACAGCTACGACAGGGTCGTCATCGTCTACGTCTTCCTGTCGGCGAGTTCTGTGGTTGTCGGACTCATCATGCTTGTTTGGGGGTACTTTGATGTCATTCTCGGTCGGCTGCAGTGGACGAGGAAGCAACGACTTGCAAAGGGACACCTGATCAACAAGCGAAAAGAGGCATTCGAAAACGACGAGTATGCGGAGAGGAATCGCATCGTCAGCATGTCCTGTTTTGGAGCGGTGATTTTCATGATACTGGGGGCCTGGGCAGCGTACTTTTGGGGAATCGCTACGGGCAACAACAAGTAACCGCAGGAAACCGGCCATGGGTTCGCAGTTGAGCCGATGACCGTTGTGACGTGAAAAGAGCCGAGTGGTTGATTCACGTCAAGTTATAAGCACAAGCTGTGTTTCAGATGGAGCCCAATACTTGTCCTGATATCTGTTGGCAAGGCTAGACATCCAGAGAAGAATCAACTCTATATATTGGTTACAAAGCCGCCAGCCGCGACGAAGTGGCAGGCTGTCCAAATACCCAACGTCCCCCACGCCCGCACACTACGTGCCACGAAGCTTCAGGCAACGCCGTAAGCATCACTAAAAGGATTCGTCGTGTCCCGGAGCTTGTACTCTTCTCCCCTGACAACACGGTCCACCTCCTCCCGAACCAGCGGATACACGTCCTTGTAGGCGTTGCGGCCCATCCAACCATCCAAATGTCCATATCCTGGGATGACCTTTCGGCGGTACTGTATTCCCCCGCCGGGCCTCCCAGCCGAGATGCCAAAGGTGTCGCACAGCCGCTCGTACGTCTTCTGCGTGGCCGTGGGCGAGAGGACGTCGCTATCCCCCCCGGAGAAGAGGAAGAAGGGGATGCCCCTGAGGCGCTCTACGTTTTCCGCGCTCGTGAGATCCTGATGCGCCGGACCATTTGTCGACACGGCCTCGACGCGGCCCATGCGCATGAGCAGCGGCATCAGTGTCATGTTTGCGCCGTTGAAGAAGTGATCCACGTGTCGATGAGTTGCCTCGTTCAGGTTGTAGTGGCTCCAGCACCGGCCGAAGAGCAGACTTATGCGGTGGCACGATGCGCTGTTGCACTTCTCGCCCTTTTTGTCCGGGAGGAACCGCAGCATCTGGTCCACGGCACTCTGCAAGGCCCCGTGCTTGGCCGAAGCTCTGCAGCTGAACCAGTGGCCCGCGAGGCGGGTGTAGGCCCGGTCCAGCTTGACGGTCGACTTGAACCTGTTGGACTTGCTCCAGACCGGGTTCATGAATACCTGGCTGCAGGTGATTCCGAGAATCCAGTCGGCGGGAATGGTGCCGTCCAGGAGGCCGCACGCAAAGGCCACGGATCCCATGCAGTGAGCAACCGTGTACACCTTGTGCGTGTTCTGAGAGGCGCGGATGTGTTGGAGACATGCCCTGATGTCCAGCCTGGCATCGTACGTGGTCCACGTCTTGTCTTCAGGGCCGTCGACGATGCCGATTCGGTGCACCGTGACAAAGACGCGATAGCCGGCGCGGGTGAAGTAGTTGACCGCGTTGATGGGGATCGTTGGCAGGGCGTATATCCGGTGGTCTACGGAGGCGCCGGGGATCATGAAGAGGTTCTTGACCGGCACCGGATTCCCAAACTCGTCGCCGGGGACGCAGCTCAGGTCCGGCTCCCACATGTGTAGTTTTGTTTGTACGCCGTCGCTCGCCGTCACCGTGTAGGTCCGCGTCGGCGTGGTCGGGTTGACGAAGTCGGGATGCGATTTCGTCGCATACCGCAGCGGAGCAAAGGGCAAGAAGAAACGAGGCAGCAGTTTTCCAGAGAAATAGTTTGTCAAGCAGCCCAGCGTTGCTACTCTTTTCGTCAGACTGTCGCCCGTTGCCGTCAGCGTGAAAAGTTGCTTCCAAAAGTCGCTCAGTCGAATTTTCAGAATCCCCTTTGCGATGGTTCGGGCCTCACCGTCTCCGTCTCCCCTGGTGCTGGATTGACGTCGTTTGGCATCGCCCAGAGCAGGCGACTTGTTGTGCAGTCCAGAGTTCGTCTCGTGCGAGTGGCCTTGTCCAACGGACTCGGTGATGGTTACGTAGAGCGTAGTTGTCGACCTCCACATCTCCCTCATGTTCATTGATACAGACGAGTCAATCCTCTTGTATCCGTGGAAATCGAGACGCCGCCCGTCGATTCCAATCATTTTCAATCGATACGTAACCTTGGTCGTCCCCGACTGTTCCTCGTCTTCTTCAAGGAGCTCCGCCTCGCCTTGTGATATCATGAAGGGAGATCCTCTGATGGTAGGGCAGATGAAAGTGCCCTTGACGATGCCTTTGTACAGGCCAGTCTTGTTCGCGGACCCAGGTTTTCGGACCGCATACATGACGTTGCTCGTGAGCAGCCGCGCCGTCTCCCCACGGCGCCTGGCCGCTTGAGACGACAACTTGTGACTGTCCCGGTCATATGATTGCAGGTTATTGCCGCCGTGTACGAAGCCACTCATGAGCTCTGTGAAACCAACCGTACCGGGGGACCCGTGCGGTTCGTGGTCGACACCTCGAACCGTGCATCGTGCAGCAGGCCCAGTCTGCGTTTTCCTCGACGCGGAGTCGGGCTTCGTGTGACGACTCTTGTCCGACGAGGTCGACGGTGGACGATGGGCTGGCGTGCCGTACAGGTCGAGCACGCCGTTTGGTTCCTTGCTCATGACCAGACCACGCGCCCGGATGTAGTGATCGACTGCTCGCTCGGCCAGGGCCGCAATTGTCGCCGCAGGATTCACGCATAGTGATCCTGGGACAACTGCGGCGTCCACAACAATGAGACCGGCGTGGGATTCAGACGTGGCGCTCCCGGCAAACACTTGACCAACGTGGTTTGTTACTCCACGAGCACCGGTGCCGTCCCGGGACATTGGAGCGCCCCTTTGGATATTCCGTCAGCAAGTTTCTTCGTCATACGGAGAGGTGGCACGACTGGTACAGGGTCGTCCTACCCAAGGGGATGAGCTGTTATCTGATGTTGATCACCGAACACGCCGTGGAAAGGATTGTCTACGACTCTTCCACCGACTGCCTCTGTTGCCTTTGCCAGCACGGCGTGAAGCCGCTTGACGCGATCACTGTGGCCGACCCCGACAAACTCGAGCACGGGCTTGTCGTTTTCGAGCCGCAGAGTTGCTTGACTGCCTGGACTCGGTTGTCAGAGACGACGGTTCCCGCAGATTCTGTGACGGGGAGCAACTGACCGTCATGGGACATGATTAAGAATATCTGGGTGTTCTGTATCGCACCGCCGCAGACGTATGGGCCGAGCAGCCGGCTCTTCCATCTCGCAAGCGCCTTCCTGGCTCGCTGTACGACTGCCCTTTTCGGCTTGCTGCCGCTCGGCTGCACGTCAACGATGGTCTGCATGAGCCTGGCGAGGGCCTGCGGCACCGCCCCTTCTTGGATGACGAAGCCGTCCAGTGGGTTGTCCGACAGTCCACGCATGTCAATGGTGGCGTTGATTGTTGGGCCGACCGGACTCTTGCGGTCCGGACGTTGCCGGCCCATGGCATTCACATGGCGGTTCGTGTTGTACCTGGAGCCGTGCCGGTGAGCAGAGGGTCATGCGGCACCTGACACGTCCGTGGCATGGTTGTGGTTGGTGTTTGGGGTTCACAGACAGGGACAAGGACGGTGGACGCGAGGCAAAACTTACCCAAAGGTCAACATGTCTCCGTTCCCGCTCATGCCCTGCCCGAGGCAGTCACTCATGGACAAGCCCATGTCTTTGCTCCGCAGGAGAATCTCCGTCGTGCCCAGACTGCCGGCTCCGAGGAAGACGGCGTGCTTAGCATGCACCCACAGCAGGTCCTCATGGAGTCGACGCTTGAAGCGGGCACGTTTGTGCCCGTGCCAGGCAAAGTAAACAATGTAGCCGCCACGGCCGTCGGCGACCTTTTCAACATGCCTGACCTCGCACTGGCAGAAGATCTCGGCCCCCCAGTTCCAGGCGTCGGCGAGGTAGGTGACGAGAGTGGTCGTCTTGGAACCGTCGTTGACCCCCGTCGTGTCTTGTCCCGTCAGCGTCGAGGGCAGCATGTTCACTCCGCAGCTGTTGATGCCCGGCTGAAAACGCGTCGTCTGCGGAACCTTGTAGTATCTGCCACCCAAGCCCATCATGTGAGCCTGGCGCTTGAAGACTTCCACCTTGCTCAGCCGTGGCCAGTCGTCGGGGTAGGGCGTGGGCTCCAGCACGTCTCTGACTCTCTGGTAGTCTAAGGGCATCTGGTCAGCACCGGCACCGCCGTTTCTCAGACCAAGCACCCGCCTGGCGAGGTTCCTCCCCCAGCGTCGGCACAGCACTGACATTCTTTCAAGCAGCCCGGGTCCCGTCGAATCTCGGGCGGCCACGTCTCCATGGACAGCGTGCTCTCGTCGGCCTCGAGGAACACGTTGGCGTTGATCAAACTGGTACCCCCCAGCCCTGCAGCAGCAGCTCCCAGCGTCAGAAATCCGGCGAGCACACGCAAGGGTTTGTACAGGGCCGACAGGGCAGGAAGGGGGGATGAAAAAATCAAAAACCATACCGTTGCACACCAGGGCACTCTGGCCCTGGCCCGCCACTACGTGATACATGCCAGTCGGCCTTCCACGACCAAAGGGCCGGACCATCGACCTGCCCGTGGTGTGCAGCTCGCCAAAAACCTGTTTCAGACACACGGGATACTCGCCCGGCCACCGCTCCTGGCCTCTCTCGAGGACGCAGACAGACTGCCCGGTGCGGGCCATGCGCGAGGCTGCCACTCCGCCGCCATACCCGGACCCGACGACAACGCAGTCGTACGAGCCCTGGATCAGCTCGACGGGCTGCGAGATGCGCGGAAACCGCCGCCGCGCCTTGGCCCCGGACGCACCGTTGCCCTGCGCCCGGCCGGGGCCGCATCGCCCTGCCTTTGTGGTGTAGGTGTCGGTGTACATGGCGACGCTGGAGACACGAGGCTTGGAAAGACGGTGCAGCAACAAGGCAGATTCGCGCCGGACTCGTTGCCCACGGCCGATGGACGTTTATCTCGGGCACGAGGACTCGCAGCCGAGTGCTTCTCGCGCAGCGTATAAATATAGCCCACGGCCATGTGCGTCGTCTCCGGCCGCCGAGGCCGTCATTGTGCCGGCCGTGACCAATCTACACCCCTCGGGTTCCCATAAACGTCTAGTATAGACGACGTAAAGGCCGCCTGGGCTCCTGTCGTGTGCGAGTATCCAGCAGAAACAAAACAGAAAAAAAAGAAAAAAAAACCTACTGTGCTTTCTTGTTCAGGGTTCGCTGGCATACAAGGCTCCATTGTTGCATAGTCAGTCACACACACACACGCACGCACGCTCTCTCTCTTACACAAACACCACACCCCCCGTTCCACACCTGGCAAGAAATATTCCGCCCGAGAAGAAAGTGGAAAGCCCCATGGATGGTTCGATCACGTTTACGCGTCACGGCCTGTCTTGTCTTGTCTTGTCTTGCCCTGTCCTGTCCTGTGCCGTCTCGTCTCGTCTCGTCTCGTCCGTGTACTTCAGATCAAGCCGCATGTACGGTGCTGCTGGCCGTGTCGAGCACGTTTTGCGTTCACATGCAGTGCGTTTGCAGAGTCCTCGTGCTCTCATTCTTTCTTGCCTGGCCAGTCGTCGTCGTGGCCAGCGTCTCGGGCAACTTCCTGCGGCAAGAGTAGAGCCCCTGAAGCACATGGCCACCTTGAGTAGGGTTTTCAGTTGCCTCTTACAAAGCTACACGCTGGCGTTGTGGAATTTTCTTTATTTTTCTTCATTTTCTTCATATTTTTTTTACTTCTTCCAAAAAAAAAAAACACGAGAGCCCGCTAAGGCAGCAGGACGGGGACAAGAGATGGAGGCCCGTCTGTTCTGCAGCGGTATATAGCATAATTACGTCCATGAACATGCATACATGTGCAGGCAGGGCAAAAGGGAGGGGGGGAGGGGGCAGGGGGCGCCCGAGGATATAAAACTTGTGTGTATGCCGGAGGACAAGGTCTCATGGTGAACGGTAGCTGTGGGTACTGTACGCATGACAGACAGACACTTTACTTTATTCTGATGCTGGTAGATATCGTACATGAGAAATGCCACGCCCCAGAAACTCAGATACGTCAATGGGGGCCCACATGCCAACATTCCTCTTCCTCGATGCCCCCCCCCGCCTCTGCCTCTGTTCTTCTCTTCTCTGTTCGCCCTGGATAGACCGGGGGGGCAGGGGGAGGAGCTGGGCTGGAGTTTGTTCCCGGGTGACGGGATCGTGGCGGAAAGGGCCAGCAAGGGATCCCGAGCTATCACCTGTGTCAGGGAGCAGCGTGGTCGAATCGAATCCGAATTGTCTCACCACGGTCGTAGGTTCGTTCGCATTCGGTGGCGTCGCCCCCAGGTCTGAGACCGGACGGCTCTCCGTTTGCCGGCAAGGCCGATACCGTGGCCTGTGGCGCTTCGTGGTCCGGTCCAACGACGACGGCAACACGACGCAAACCGTCGACCGCGTCCCGGGCGAATGCAAAGGCAAAGGCAAAGGAGGAGGACAACGGCCTACAGATGGAATAACAGGTGGGTCGGCAACCGGGCCGATGGGCTGGTTGCGAGGCCGCTTGAATACCAGACGGGCAAGTCGAAAGGCCACGATGCTGATGCTTTGGACGCCGCAAAGGCCGTCCGTCCGCCAACGAGGCCATACACGCGACAAGACGAGACGAGACGGTGGGCTTGCCACCTCCTCAAGGTTTCCCCTAGCCCCCTCGGCGTGACGAGATGGTCAAAGTCGACGGAGCACAGGGTCTGTATAGACCAGGTTTGGCATGCAGGAATGGCAGTGGGGTCGAGGACATATGACACCTCGCGTATAGGAAAACAAAAATCCGCAGCTCTCGTGTGTCCGAGTCCAAGTCCAGGTCTGGTGGTGATGGGGATGGGACGCAACCAAGGCATGTGCGTTGGCACGCCTGGCCTGATGTCTGTTGGACGACGAACGATTTGCAAGCCGGTGACGAATCCACGGCGCGCCTTTTACCGGATTACTTTCCCTTGCAGAAACCGGCACGACCTGGCTGCATGTGGCCAGGGCCAATGACGGCTCCCGCGTGAAGAGAGGTTTGGGCCGTGACGCGTTTTTTGGGGACGGCGGACGGCGCGTGCCCAATGTGGCTTGTGCTGCGAGACCAGATCCGGGGGAGACATTGGCAACCTTGGCCAGAATCTTGCTTCTACTGGGTGTCTTGGAGCGTCTTGGGGTGGGTGTGCGTGAGACCGACTTCTACATGCGGCCGTCGAGGAATCCCAAAAGGAACGGCCTGTGTGACCCGGAGCACGTTGTCTCCCTCCCACTACCTTGCTCATGGCTCGATCGAGCATTCTCATTCTGGGGACCGCGGATGCCTGGGAGGCAGGCAGGCAGGCAGGCAGTGAGTTGGTCGTTGGTCGTTGGTCGTTGGTCGTTGGTCGTTGGTCGTTGGTCGTTGGCCCGATCAACCACGATGCCGGGTGCCGGGTCGACGACGAGCGCTGCCGCCGCGTGGCCATGCCGGGAGCGGCGCGGGTTTCCTGTCCAAGATGGGCAGAGTCGAGACGACCATGGGTTCCGGTTCCGTGAGAGACGAGCACTGAGCGCACAGACGGGGTATGCAGAAACTCATGTCGCGTACACGTGTGCAAGGCTCGACGACGTCTTGGCCATGCATGGCCTTGACAAAGGTCAACATGTTCTCCCAAGTCCCGAGCAGGACCTTTCTTTGGCAACTCTCCTCGGACACGCGCAACTCGGTGGCAACTCGGGACTGGACTGATGGCTGATGGCAAGCTCGCAACTCGCGTCGCTAGTTGTTCCCGGTTCCCGGTTCCCAGTTCCCAGTTCCCAGTTCCCAGCCCCCGGTTCCCTGTCCTCATCCTGGCCACACACCGTCTGGTCTGCCGAGGGCAGCAGGCGCGTTGCAACTTGCCTCCTGGCTCGCCATCTAGGATCCCGGTCCGCGGGCCAGACCGGGGGGCCACCCGTCGACAACGACAACTCAGCGTGGATGGAGACGCTCATGCTCCGTGGTCCGTGGTCCGTACCATCGCACCATCGCACTCGCACTGGCTGGTAGGTTGTTAGTTGGCATGTTGACTGACATGCCGCCGCCGCCGCCGCCTACCCGCCACCACGCCTTGCTTCCCTTCCCCCCTTGGGGCCAGGCCGGGTCATGGTCATGGATGGATGTGGATCGCAAGTCGGTGGGGAAGCGCTTGACTTGGACATTAATCGTATGGCCCCCCTGTCCTTGTCATCTCTCCAAGACGGCCGTGTCTTCGATTTGCTCCCGTTGTCGTACCCCGTAGCGGGCCGTCCATGAGCATCTAGCCTCATTGCCAGCCCGGCCAGCGAAGGAGACAAACCTGCACAGGCAAAAAGTCAAATCCTCGCCGTCTCTCTTCGGGGCTCCCCTCCCTGCCTCATCTCGCACCCAATCGAGCGGCTCATGCCATGATTCGACGCAGTTCGTCCAGGTCGTCACCTCGACCGGACCCTGGGCGCCACACCTGGTGCTGCGGCGCTTCGCATATGGCATATGACGCAGGTGCATACAGACCATTTCCCACCGGGGCGCGGGGCATGAGGCATGAGGCGAGCTGGTACGAGCAGAACCGCGAGGACAGGACAGAGCGAGTCCTCACGACGGCACCGACTCGTAGCTATGACTACGACCAGTAAACGCGCCCCCTTGCCGCCGCGCGCCTGGACAAATTGGAGCCACGCCTGCTCCGTAGCTCGTGGTCTGCGTCGTGTGACGGAACGACTTGTCTCAAAGCTGATATGATGTGATGGGTGGCGGATATGGCTTGGATCCATCCCGCCGGCGCCGTTGGTGGAAAGTTGGAACCCAAGATGCTTCTGCCAGGCTCCTGGAAAAGACGACGACGACGACGACGACGAGGCGTTGCGCTCAGCCCGCCGTGTTGGAGTTTGCGTTTCGGGCCTTTGAGACAGAGACGAGACCGGCGTCGCCGGATGTATGTATCTATGTATGTGTATGTACCGTGGCCCTCTCTCCGCTTTCCAGGCTTCCTTCCCTCCGCCGGAAGACCTGACCTGGCCATGCTGCCGAGCGGACCGGGTCTGACAAGGCCGTCCCGTCCGTCAGGCTCGTTGTTGTCATTGTCATGGGAGCTGGACGGCCCTTTTTGGGGGGTTGTGCTAGTAACAACAAGTCTAAGACTTTGCAATAACAGCCACATGTGCATTGTGGGGTGTCCAAGACTCGTCTGGCCGTGTCTGACTGGCATCGAGACGAAGAAGCATTAGTCGCCGAACCAGGCTTTTCTTCTCCCTCTCCCTCTCTCGCTCACTCCTTCTACTCCGCGCGACAAGGCGCGTCTCTGGCAGATGATCAATGACTTGCAGCAACGGAATACGACATGGAGTTTCCAGCACTCCATCTCGAGAGGCGAAAACGCCGGCCCCCCCCCTTTCCCCTATGCAAGTCTGACTTGCCGCGGAGACAGTGGGCATGAAGCCATTTTTCTCCTCCAGAGCACCACCTCTGACCGTGCGTGCGCAAGCACGCACCTCGAGGATCCTACACGCCAGGTCTTGGTCTTGGTTGTGGACTGCCCAGCTGCTCTGGGGATACGCTTGGTGTTTCCATAGCAAGACGTCGAGGCAGAGGCCAAAACCGCCTCGACCTCCTGTTCGTCACTCCGTGCAAGCCAGCCCGGACAAGGACCATGGCGCAGCAAACGGCACGAGCAGACGACGGGCGTAAGGGAACGACACAGCTCACAGCTCACAGCTCACTCACAGCACGGCGAGGACCAGGACCCAAGGCAGGAGGAGGACCTTGCGGCGAAAAGTCGGTCAGCCGTGAGGCAATTAATTACCTGACTGATGGCTTCGCGTGCAAGAGTTACCCACCACGCTGGAACATGCGGTGATATTTGGGCTCTCCATTCTTCGGCTCTGAAACGACGCAAATCCGCGGCAAGGATCGCGGACTAATGCAAGGACGATTGACCGACATTCTGCAACGTTGACCATGTGCTGGCTTGCTTGCCTGCTTGATCGCTTGCTTGATCGCTGACTGCAGACAAGCGCGAGAAGCGCGCGCCCTGGCGACGCCGTTGCGATGTGAAACTGTAGAGTCACGGACGAAGCAGAAAAATAATAATAAAAAAAGATAAAAAAATAAATAAAATGATAAAGATAATTCGAAACCGAAACACACGCCCTCCTTGTTTCCTTGTAATATCGCGCCTTTTGCCGAGTCGTCCTGTGACGCCAGCCTTGCAATCTACACGCTGTTTACTCATCTACGATGCGTCAAGTCCTCGTTGCGACTATGCATCGATAATCTTGCCTGCAAGTTCCGAGACAATCGCCAGTAAGAAACCCGGGCATCCACGTCCGTGTGCGGAGCATGCAAGAGCTGCATTCCCGCGATGCGTCTGTGCTACCCACATGTCTGATGTCTGGTGCAACAGCATGTCTTGCCGGAGGGACGTCCGTGACAGTCTGCTCTGCTGCTCCACGGCACGACACCACCACCAGCCGGGCTGCTTGCTGCAGGAAGCAGGCCCGGGGCACATGGCGTGGGCATCTGGAACAGCTCGCTGCCGGCAGAGGGGGACGAGCACAGTCACGGCATCTGGTCCGCGAGCCATGCAAGCCTTGCTCGGCATCCGCAAGGAAGAGTCGGAGGATGCCTGGATATGGCCATGTGTGTGTGGACCTGGCCATCGACCAACAGCTGCCTTCAACGGACGTCGCTTGGGGGCGCCGCCGGCTGTTGCTTGACCTGTGCTTGCTTGCTCAGAGACTATGTGAGCTGCTGGCGGCTTGGCTTCCATTTGTGTCCTGACTGTGGCTTTGTAGGAGCCGAGGAGCTGCTGTTTGCCGTCTCCGAGATTGCAGCGTCTCTCGTCGGCGGGCTTGTTCATCGAACCCGACTGCGAATGCTTCGTGTCCGTACAATGTATACAATGTGTCCGTAGGCCAACGTGCCGCAGCCCTCGGGCCCCAGGAGCCATGAGCAACTCGTTCCCGGAGTCTTGATGCGAACAATCACATTATGTTGGCCCTTGGTCCCAGCGACATGCAACAGAGGGGACGACATGTTCGTCAGGAAACGTGTGTTCCGCGGCCACCATTCTTCGCTCACACTGACATGACATGCTGCGCCTTCGACTTGGTAGCCACAGGTGGTTCGTTTATCGAGTAGCGGCAACACGGGCGAGCCATGCTCCATGGCCGTCTCTCTTTCTCTCTCCATGTCCATGACCGCATTGTCCGTCGGCTCAGCCGCCACTGCTGCAGCAAGCGCGTGCCGCGTTGTTAAAAATAGGGGACGGACGTTGGTCCTTGGCGGTTTGAGGCTCTCTCCCAAGTGTCAGCACAAGTTTCCAGACATTTCACAGCCCATTTGAGTCCCCCGGCCTGCCTTTGATAGCGCCACTCCGTACCAGGAGAGCTTAGTTTGTAGTTACCTCGCCTCCGTGTTCGCAATCTCGTTGCAGTGGGCGTGTGGCAAATAGCCCCGGGACTCACGGTGATGTCCTCGGTAAACAAGCAACCAACTCACCACACACGGGAAGGACTTTGCCGCGTGCCGCGTGGAATTGCATGTCGTCTCCCCGCCGAGACCGCTCCTCTGAGCATTATACTCGTTGCCACCACCCATGCAGGTCTAATCTGCCGTCGTTTCGTCTGCCGCGAGGGAATGTGTGTCGGCAATGTTGACCGAGGCGTAGCCTGTGGCTCGGCTCGACACACGATGGCAAGCATGAGCAACGTGACGACGTTGCCGTGTTGCCCTTTGCGCCGCTGGTCGAAGGAGCACACGCACGTCGTGGCCACCACGGCGTCTCAACACAGTCGGCCACAAACTCACACGGCGGCAAGCCATTGCGAACTACCGGCTCCCGCGACAGAGGAAAGCCATGCACAGCTCGACGCCAAGAGGATTCCGGCACAGGACCCGCGTCGTAGCATCGTCGACGACGAGCAGCCGGCTGGACTGAGATGCCGCTGAGACATTTTGGCCCGGCCCTTTTTGCCACCGCGAGCCTGAGGCCCCTGAGTCCTGACTGGGTGTTTATTGTTCACATCTTGGCGTGCTCGACGCCCTCGTCGTACCCGGAACACAAGCGTGCTCCGACCCGTTGGCCTCCTTGGCTGCACGTTGCGAGCCGCGAAGCCAGCCGCGTCTTGCCCACACCACCAACGCCCCCAGACACGACGTTTCTGCAGCCTTGAGAGATGAAGAGCATGTGCAGAGGGCTTGGCCGTTGCCGTGCGTCCCACGACACGTTTGTTTCTCTCAAACGGGGCAAAACATGCCCGCTCTGCTGGCGGTGAGGTCAAACATGATCTCATGTCTGACTGTCCTTTGTCTCACGCCGCCGCCGCCTCCGGGGATGTCAGTTCAGTTGTAGCCATGCATGAACCGGCTTCGGGGGACAGACGGTGCTACCGTGGCATCGTAACAGCTTGAGCACTCTTGCCGTCCGCTTGTGGTCCTGCGTCCACGGTCTCAACTTCTCCACGTGCCGGAGCAAGGCTGGGCCTCGCAGAAGAAGTCGTGGTCCGTCTTGAACTCTCGGCGAGTGTTTGTGGCCTCGGCCGCCGACTCCGCTCCTCGGACACGTTGGCGGCGAGGCTTGAGTTTGAATTTGAAGCATGTCGAGCACGCTGGATCTCGCGCCTCCGCGGCGACGTATCCTAGCCGTTGTCAGCTGCCGTGAGGGAATATGTTTTGCAGATTCGGCCCCATGCTCGTTGTCGTGATGGCGCCCCCTCTCCCTTGCCCCCTCCCGCCCCCCCGGTCCAGGCCGTGTTTCAGGAACATTCCACCGATGAAGTCTGCATGACTCTCATACCCACGGCCGGGCCTTTCAGAGGTCGACGAGTCAATGGGCGGCAGTTTATGATGCCGGAACCGTCGCGTCGAGCAGAGACACGTCTCAGGCTTATCAACTTTGGATGTACGCAGGAGGAGTCGCGGGCCACGTGTTGGGAAAAAGAAACACTGTCGGCCGTGTTGGAAACGCTGGACACCTGCTGCTCGAGTCCGCCTCGCCGCACCACGCCTTGGAGACGGAGTATGGAGGGCACCCTGTCGTCGTCGTCGTCGTCGTCCCCTCGTCCCTCAACTGCCAGTCTTCAGCCCGTGTTGCTCTTGCGCCGCCCTGGCATCGGCATGAAATGATGGGAGTTCCGCTCGTGAATGGCCAAATTCACGACGACTTGTTGTGGGGGGCTGGCGGGAGATGGATGCTGGCAGACTGAGCGCAAGGGTTAGGGTTGCTCTACCATGATGTATGATGCCAGAAACACGTTTCTTCACCACCTTACTCGGTCGTGGACGAAGGACAAGGTCGGGAGGGCAGGGTTACACGGCCCTTGGAGCGGAGTCCCAGGGTAACTTAGTTGCAGACTGTGTTGACGCATCGCCGACAACCGTCATCTCCGATATAGCCGCTCCATGTAAGCCGTATTGCTGATTCCTACTGGCCCGAGGGGCCCGGGACCTGCACGGAAAACGTGCCGGCATTTGGAATCACGGCCTTGGCGTAGTTTTGTACTCCGTACGGCGACTAATTAGTACGTAATGATAATTGTGACGGAGAAGCACGTCCTCGACACGGTGAGCCATGCTTTGCAAACCTCGAGTCCACGTCCTCCCCCTCGATCAGTTCCTGCGCCTCGACTCCGGAGCATGGCCAGGCCTTCCGCTCATGAACATCACCAGCAATCACCCCTACTCCCCATACGATGCTGCTCCATGTTTTGCTGCGCTTGCGGGCGGCGGCGTTTCTGAATCCTTCCGCTGTCCTCGGCGGCATCGCCGGACTGCTACTTCTCCTCGGTTCCGCAATAGCCGGCGTCGTCTTCGCGGGTCGCAACTATGCTCTTCGCCGAGAGTTGCGACAACTCGACCGGATCGGCGTCTCGCCGAGCAGGAGCAACATGCGCGACCAGCATGACGGCCAGCACGACGTGCCCGAGGGGGGCAGCACCAGCCGTCCCATACGCATCAAGGCCATCTACCTCCATCCCGTCAAGTCGCTTGCGCCCATCGAGGTCGAGCGCGCCGTGCTCACCAAGTCCGGGTTCCTGTACGATCGATGCTTCGCGCTCGCGGCAGAAGTGGCCGAGCCAGACCCGGACACGGGCTCCAAGAAGCGGTTCTGGCGCTTCATCAGCCAGCGCACCAAGCCGGCCATGGCTCTCGTCAAGACGGAGCTCTGGCTGCCACGCCGAGGCGGCGACCCCGACGATGCCCTGGTGCGCGCCGGCGGATGCGTCGTCATCAGGTTTCCCGACCCCGACAGCTCGACCTGGCTGCGCCGGCTCGAGTCGCTCATCTACACGTGGAACCCGGCGGCAGCGCCAGAGGTCTCCTTCGTCGCCCCCTTGAGCCTCTCCGAGGGCCATGTGCCGCCCAGGCCCTTCGTGATACACGGCCGCACAGCGCACGGCGTCGACATGGGACTCGTGCCGTCCGTCGCCGCGGCGCTCCCGAAGCTGAAGCGGTTTCTCGGGATGCCGGCCTCGACCCCGTTCACGCTGCTCAGGTCCACGCCCGAGACGCTCGTCCGCACGACCAAGAACCTCGCGCCTCTCAAGTACATCGGCTCTCCCGCCGTCCACGGCTACACCGACCAGCAGCCCGTCCACCTAGCCAGCCTGTCCTCGGTCCACCAGGTCGCGGAGCTGCTCCCCAGAGAGAACCGGCCTCTCAACGCGCTGCGCTTCCGGGCCAACCTCTGGCTGACGGGGGCCCCGGCCTACGACGAGGAGGGCTGGAAGCGGTGCCGCATCGTGCGCGGCCACGACTCGCCCGACGCGCCCCGGGTCGCTCGCGTAGACCCCGTCCTCTGCGTCGTATGCCGCACGTCGAGGTGCACCATGCCCGACGTCGATCCGGACAAGGGCGTCTTCGACACCGACGAGCCGGCCGCGGCCAAGAAGAGAGGCAGGCCGCAGCCCAGCACGACGCTGAGGCGGCACCGCACCGTCGAGCACGGCAACGGCGCCGCCATGGGATACATGGGCATGCACTGCGTCCCCGAGGACCGCAGCCTAAACGAGGCCCGGGAGCGCAATGCCCGGCTGTACGTCAGCGTCGGCGACGAGATTGAAGTCCTGGAGCGAGGCGAGCATCTGTACGGCTCGACGGGGGACGACTACTGACGCAGCGCGCCGCCGCCATGCTGGTCAAGTTGCTGGTGGACGTGCGTACTGTATTCTTGGTTCAAAATCATCACCGGCATCTACAGTATAGCCGCTCCAGGTATGACCAAGGGAGCCACCTTCTGGCCCCCTGTCTGGCACGGCGGTGCCGAGGGGAGGGCCGGAACCTTTGGGGCGTGCTGGTTCTCGGGAGAATCCTGATGCTGTGGAGGGAGATTCCTTGCAATGTGGCATATACAATCTCATGGCTGCAACTAATCACACCGCACTCTCAGAACCAGCAACTGACACTACTAGCAGCACAAGACGCGTCCACGACGAGGAACAGACGACGATGGAGTTGCGTCTAGGCTCCTACAACGTGTGGCGAGGTCATTGTCAGGACATTCCTCCGTGGTGCTCAGCTGCCTTGCAGGCGCCAGAACACCACGGAAAGGCATGGCTTCGTTTATATTTGTATACTTTGACGGAACAGGGGCCGTGGACGAAATGCCCTTCCAGAGCCTGCTGACTCACTACTGCCAATCATTGATCCCGTCATGGTCTCTCCCCCATACCACCTCCTTGATACATATTCACCGCGTCCCGAGGGCCAGGCATGACAGTTGCCGCGGTCCAAACTCACTCGGGACATGGCCTGGTTGGAAGCAGCCCGGCTGGCGGTGTAAGCATGTCCTCCATGACGTTGTCAAGTCAAACGTAGCCTGGCGGGATTCCAGACCAGACAGGACAGGACGTCCACGTCCATGCCAGTGTGTGTGGTCAGGTCCTCTTCCGCAGCGACTCGACCGACTCGGCCTTTGCCAACTCGGCTCGCTCGGCAAGCATGAGCCGCACAGCCCGTGTGAGCACGGCATCGTGGTCCGCCACGGGCCGAAACCCCAGCCGTTGCCTCGCCTTTCCAATCGTGTAGGTGTGATTGTAGATGCAGTATTCCAGCGCTGTCCTTCGCAGCACCGTCGGGGGCTTCACCGTGTCCAGCGTCGACAGCCACAGCACCCACTCGACGACCGCGACAGCCACCACCATGACCCAGGCAGGCAGGACAATGACGCTATTCAGAGCTTCGTCCCCCCGGCAAGCCCGCCACACCACCCTGACATGGTGCCAGAAGGGCACGGGGGCCCCGTCGGAGATGTTGAACGCCTCGCCGGCGACCCGGCCGTCCCCCCGGCCATCCCCCAGCAACGCCCTCGCCACGAGGACGTGGCCCAGGGCGCAGTTCTCGGCCGACACGACCTCCATCATGTTGGCCCCGTTGCCAATCTGTATCAGCGGCTTGGTCCCGCCGCAGGAGTCGAGCATCTCCGCCAGCCCCTGCGACTGCCTCTCGCCGTACGCGTGGCCCAGGCGCAAGGACGCGGTGCGAAGCCGAGGCCCGTTGGCCGCGCGCACGAGGTGGTCGGCCATGGCCTTTGTGCGGTTATACTCGTTGGACCTGTCCGACGGCGACCAGAGCGCGTCGTCTTCCGACACGTTCTCGTGCGGAGGGTTGGCATACACGTCCACCGTGGACGTGTACACGAGGGCCTTGACCGAGGCGCTTTCCGTAGCCAGCTCGATGACGACCTTGGTTCCGTCGACGTTGGTCTTGACGAACTCGCCGACCATGCGGGCCGGCAGCGACGCGACGGGCGAGGCCGCGTGAAAAACGACCGACGGCCGAGCCTGGTCGAGCACGGCGCGCAGGGCACTCTCTTGGGTGAGATCGCCTTGGATGTAGGTCGCGCCGTCGTGTAGGTTGACCCGCGTGTTGCGGTCGAGCACGTAGACGCCGCCGTCATACTCTCGGCAGGCGAGCAGCCGTGCGACCAGATGCCATCCCAGGAAGCCGCATCCGCCTAGGACCAGCGCCGTGTCCCGCGGGGCCCGGGGAGACGGAGTCTGAGGACTCATCTGGACGGTTGGCCGTGGGTATGATGCTGGCTGGAGCTGTCTTTCCGTTGCCTGCATCCAAGGGATCCTGATCCGATCCGAGACATGGGCATCTCCATCACGTGCCGTCAGCACGCTCGGGTGAATAGAATACGACGCTGGCTTTTTACCTAGCCATCTGATTAACTAGTACGGAGTAACAAGACTAAGCATACGGGCTACGGATCAAAGGGAAAAGGGGGCGTTCCGTTCCCGTTTGCCATTCGCCGCTGTTGTCCAGTCCATCCATGTTGCACCAACTCTCGAGAAGCGCCAACACGCAATACACCGTCGCGGCCGACCGGACCATCATTTTCCGGTTGTGCCTGTTATCGTTGGGTGTTCTTACTGGGCGGTGCCGTTTACATTTTCGATCAACGAAGAGCAGGGCAAAAGCCGTTCGCAGCTCGAGGCGGCACAATCCAGCAATCCGCGTCTAACGCTGAAGGGCAGCTCCCACTTGGACAGCTTCCCGATTCGGAAATCAACAGGTTGGCCATCACCAGGCCAGGCCGCCTTATCGTGTGCTGAGCGTTGCTGTTTGCCCTGCCCGACCTCTCATCACCTCATCTCCGAGTTCCACCCAGAACAGCTTACCCCGGTGCTACACCACAAGGCCCTCTCGTTCCCAGGCTGAAGGGGGTAGAAGAAGCATATGTGAGCTTGTGACGGCCACGTGAGGCGACCACCCATGCAACATGTACAGTACTGTGATGCCCTCTCCCTTCCGGGTGGCCCGATTCGTACAGTCACTACGCTCCCAAGGGTGTATGCGTGAAAGGCGCTCCCGGCCTTCACACGAGACCTGTGGCATCTACACGACGATTATAATTACTGGGCATTACTGGAGTTGGAGTAAATGGGCATTCCACAAATTGAACCGACCGGCGTCTGTGTCCAGAGTAGCAGGCACCCCCTCCCAGGTCGTGGAGACTTGGACACAGGCGATTCCGAGATAATCGTCGAGCTGTTGACTGGTTTCTGAAAGAAAAGCAAGGCACTCGGTTGCATCACGTCCTACCCGAGCACAGCCCAATGGGCCGAGTCGGCTGCCGACTCGAAAAGTACCGAGACCAGTGCCCGTCGTTGGACGTGACATGTCGATGCCGACCAAGGCGCGCTACGAGAGCTTCCTGCGGTCTAGATCGCGGACATGACTTGTTCACGCGTCAGCACAAGAGGTTCTGGCCACACCAAAACCAGGCGTGGGCAGAGAGAGGCCGCTTTCCAAGGGCGCTAGCACCCTGGCGGCGGCTTTATCTTTATATATATACCTCGCGACTGGTCGATATATACCAAGATAACAACCGACCTACGAGGAGGGTAACCGGCTGGCCTCCACTTTTGGTAGCCAAGTCTGTCGTTATCCTACACTGGTTTCCACTTGCCGTTCCGAGAAGCTGCCTGGCGGGCGCTGCATACGAGCAGTCTGGCACGTTGCATCGCATAGGCAAGGCCGCGGAGAGGTCTGCCCGGCAGGCACTTCATGAGGGATCGACCGGGGAGTTGCTGAACACGGTTGTTGTTCGTTTGGCGGCATCTCTGCGACTATTCCACCGCCTGGTGCTCGTTATTGCCGTACAGAGGTGCCGCACGTCTACTATCCGAGTACGCCCTCGTTTGAGGCCTTGGATGGCTCTGCTTTACGTGTTTCCCGGTGTGGACGGAAGCTGTAAAGGAAATGTAGTTCGAATAAGCATAAGCATGCCGTGAAACCAAGACTGTGTATGGCCGGACCCTCGCCAAAGAGATGCAGCTGTTGGTAGTTGGGAGGATGCCGCAACACGGACAGCATCAAGTGACCACTGACAAGTCCATTGCGACGTTGATCGGATAATGCGGCTTGGCTTGGCTTGCCCTTTTCCCCCCGACGGCTCTCTACTATCTTGGTATAACGTCACGCGACAAAGGAACTCGAAGGCATGCAAAGGTGCTGGAAACGTCGGTACCACCTTCTGGATTATATTTAGCATCCCTCTGGATATCTTCAGGTTTATCATCGGGCAGACACTGCATTACTGAATGCCATATGTGGCTGTTCGAGGTTTATCTACGCGTGGATGACTCCCCGATGGAGCTCTTACACGGCACTGGGTATAAGAAGAACGTGACCGCATTGTCAAACACCGCTCGTGAAAGTTGGCAAGTCAGTGGCAACCTGATTCTCTTGTTACACTTGCGAGAATGAAAGCCGCCGCCGCCGCAGCCATCTTCGTCAGCTGCTTCGTGGCCGCGTCTCTCGGCGTCCCCGCGAGCCACCATGTCGTCCACGAGAGGCGTGACGTTGGTGCCGTCAGCGGCCGCGTTGTGAAGCGCGCCGCTGCCAGCGCCGATGCTCTGGTCCCAGTCCGCATTGCCCTGAAGCAGCGCAACTTGGACAAAGGCATGGAGTACCTGATGGACGTGTAAGTATGTGGCGGATCGCTGGTCGACGACGAAGCCGGCTAACGCGGGCACAGCTCTGATCCGTCGTCCAAAAACTACGGAAACCACTACACTCAGGACCAGGTCGTTGATCTCTTCTCCCCCGCGCAAGACTCCGCGGAGATTGTAAAGAGATGGCTCGTTGAGCGTGGAGTCCCTGACAACCGGATCACCTCTCCAAGGAGCAAAGGCTGGCTGGATTTCAAGACGACGGTCAGCCAGCTCGAGGACATGCTCAAGACTACTTACCACTTTTACGAGAACAAAAAGACCGGGAGCCAGCACCTGGGAGCCGATTCCTACTCTCTGCCCAGCGAGGTCTCCAGGCACGTAGACTTTGTCACGCCCGGCGTGGTTCCGGTCAAGGTCAGGTCGCCGAGAGCCATGCCCGGCCACCCTCGCAAGATCCCCTTCGCCCCTTACCCCCCGGGTTTTACGGTCCAGAGCCAGGGTAAGACGCCGTCCCGGCCCTTGCCCAACGCCGTCGACGGCTAACCGGTAGAGGACAGACGCAACCGACTGCCCTACACATGTGACGCCGGCATGCATCAAGGCCCTGTACAACGTGACGGACGCAACGACGGCCGCCGAGGGCAACCAGCTGGGCATGTTTGAGAGCGACGACGAGATGCACAAGCAGGCGGACCTGGACAAGTTTTACGGACTGTACGCCAGCAAGGTCCCCAAGGGCACCGGACCCAAGATCGACCTCATCGACTGGGGCGAGCGGAAACCAGACCCGAGCCAGGCCCAGGGCGAGGCCGCCCTCGACTTTGACGTGTCCATCCCCGTCATCTACCCCCAGGGCACCGAGCTGTACCAGACAAAGTCCAACTATGACGGGCAATCGCACCTCGGCTTCCTGAACCAGTTCCTCGACGCGGTCGACGGCGCCTACTGCACCTCTGACGGCGGAGACGACCCCGACGTCGACGGCGCCACGCCCGACGAGGCCTGCGGCACGTTCAAGCCCGCCAACGTCATATCCCTGTCGTACGGCCTGACGGAGAACAACTGGCCGACCAAGTATCTCAAGGTACGTCGAGGCGCGGGCGCAGGCGCGGTGAGGCGAGCACAAGACGGCTAAGCAAGCACGACGCAGCGCCAATGCGACGAGTTCATGAAGCTCGGGCTCCAGGGCTCCTCCATCGTCTTTGCCAGCGGCGACGGCGGCGTCGCGGGCGGCCACGGCGGCGAGTGCCTCGGAAACAAGTCCGACATCTTCAACCCGGCGAGCCCGGCGTCGTGCCCGTACGTGACGTCGGTCGGGGCCACGCTGCTGCCCCCCGGGAGCGCGCCGGGCGACGCCGAGTCTGCCACGGAGCGGTTCGGCTCCGGCGGCGGCTTCAGCAACATCTGGACGGCGCCCGACTACCAGAAGACGGCCGTGTCGGCCTTCTTCTCCTCGCACGACCCGGGCTTCCCGGCCTACAACACCAGCGACAACAAGATCCCCTCGGCCGGCGGCGGCGTCTACAACCGCGCCGGCCGCGGGTTCCCCGACGTCTCGGCCGTCGGCGACTACGGCGTCATCGTCCTCAACGGCCGCCCCGGCCGCACCGGCGGCACGTCCATGTCGGCGCCCATCGTCGCCGCCATCCTGACGCGCGTCAACGAGGTGCGCCTCGCCGCCGGCAAGAAGCCCGTCGGCTTTGCCAACCCCGCGCTGTACCGGAACCCGGCCATGTTCAAGGACGTCACCCGCGGCGGCCAGTCGGGCGACGCGGCCTGCAACGGCAAGGGCTTCTCGACCGTCGAGGGCTGGGACCCCGTGACCGGGCTGGGCACGCCCGACTTCCCCGCTTGGATCGAGTACTTTTCCGGTCTGTGATTTCGGACGTGTGCGTTCTCCGGGGGGGGGGGCTCGGTGTGCTCGGTGTGCTTGGTGCGGTGGGCGTGTTGTGTCTGATTACATTGGCCGCGGCCTGGCAGTGCTTGTTCCGGTTATCTGAGTGAACATCAGGGATGTCGAAGCGCATGTAGTGATATGTTACTAGAGATTAGGCCAAACTATGCAAGTTCCTTTGACGACAAACGGCGCTGTGCGCTTGCCGTACTGCAACACGTCCGTGGTGGCCAAGATTGCCTCGTGCTCGCCATTTGATACGTTGTCGTCGGCATCTCGTACGCCTCCTTTTGCCCCCATGGCGTCGGCATGTTCTCCGCCAGGCTGGCCGCCTCTTGGGCGATGGCGTCGCTGGCCTTGGAGTACGCCTCGCGCAGATACTCGACCTCCTGGTGTTGATGAGCCAAGTGGCGTTGGACGCGCTGCTTGTCGGTGAGATTCATGGCCGCCATGGCGCGTCGTCGTCGTCGTCGTCGAGGACCTCCTGGGTCGCGCTGCGTAAATTGCAGCTCTACGTTTCCGTTCATCGGTGTGCGAGACATGTCCATGGCCAGGTCGGAGAGCTCTGTTCTCTCCGTGGCACTGCCATTGGCGGCCGCCGTGGTTGAAGTACACGCGCGCTGGAAGAGACTCTCGTGATGACCTCGGGACGGGAGCCGCGCGGGAAGCAGTGGCTGCTGACGTGGCGGCAGCCGCAGTCCGCGTTTACGCCGTGTTCGTCCAGCACTTCTGTACAGCAGGGGACGGACACGAATGCATTGGGTCTCGCACCTTTGCTCGAAGGCACAACGTGGTTGATGAACCTGTCTGTGGAGATGGTGAGTTGGAGCCGAGGATTTGAGGTTTTGGGTTTCCAGTTGGATCCAGCCGTTGGTCTGCGCACCAGGAGCCAGTAGTTGATTCTTGCGCATGTCCCGATTGATATATTAAAGTCTGGCACGTCTGGTTGCCCTCGTCGAGATATTGTCCCCTCGATGTCTCTGGTTTCGACAAAGTGCACACTTCGATCGACTGCTCAGTGGCGAGTATAAACTTCCAAGGAGCACAATGGCAAAGCGTATTGGCAGATGCAGGTTCAGCTGCAGTCATCGTCATCAAGCACAACGAGTTGTCATGGCATCTCTCGTTGGCCGGGCACAACACTCCGTCTACTCGCCCAGTGCGTCACGCTCATCTTCTCGGGTTGAACAGAGCCTCTGCATTCGCATTGTAGTACAGGGAAAACCCCAACAATACCTAGCTATTCCCGGGGGGATAAAAACCTGTACAAAGGCGTCAATCATTCCGCAAGACCCGCCACTCGCAACTTTCCCCTCCCGTAAGGCTTTTGCCATTCCTTTAAGCTTCGCACCAGGAGACTCATCCTGCCATGATGCCCAACTCATTGCTCAAAAACACTTGATGGTGTGAGACTGGGTGGCAACACCGCGTACCTCGTGTCTACCACGGCGGTAGCCCGCAGCACGTCGCTGGCAGAAATTGTCGCTGCGCCATGTCAATACAAACCAGTGCAAAGCGTCGAGGGAGGGGACCTACAGGTAGAGGATGCAGTAGTTTGACAAGACTTTGATGGAGTGAATATCACCCGCTCTGCAGACAGTCAGCATAGAAATAGGGGTTGGGTTGCTTCGGGTCCTGTCCAGTCTTACACAGGAGGTCGGAGCAATTGGCAGCGATGACGGGGGTAGACCCTTTCCGCAGGAGAATGTTCGTGAGAGCCTTTGTAGGCAATAGCCTGGATTGTGTCAGTCAAATGTTGTTTGATGCTCGGGAGGATCAAAGAACCTACCACTGGAGCGGGTTCAGTGTTTTCGTATGGAATATCCTCCATGCCAACGTCAACGTCAACGCCCTCATAGTTGCCGTTGTCGTACTGAGCAACGGCGCCCAGAGCGGCGGATGCAAGAACGATCAATCTTGTAAGCTGCATGATGTTCTTTTTCAATCTCAAAAGAGTCTGATACTTGTGAGGCAGATGGTGTATTGTGATTGTTTGTGTGGTTTGTGCAGGTTTTGGGAAGACGGCAGTGAGAGATTGATCAGGTATTTATCCTTGATCACTCTTCCAACTTGCAAAGCGCCTACTCGCTTGCTGCTATCCAGGAGCCTCCGAGTAGTCCATGTATTTCTGGTGTCACCATGATGATTGCGTTTTACACCAAAGCCACGAGGCGAAAAGAGCAGCCCGCGACGGCGACACTTATCCAGCTTCTGCGGGTGTCTTGCCTTTGGTTCTCGGTTCACGACAGCCAAGGTACCGCTCAGTGACTCGCAGTCGTCTGTTGGAATGGTCGGTCCAGGTCTAGATGCTGCGGCACAGATCTGACGCGTTTGGAATTATCCATGAGCCAATAAAAGTCCCAGCAATGGGGGGAATGAGCCAACGTTGCTCGTGAGTTTGGAGGAGCTGTTGGCTTTATAATAGGGAATTGCTACACGGGCATGACACTTTGGCTACACGGGCATGACTCTTACACGGGCATGACTTTTACCACTTCTGATTGGTCGCATTGTCTCTGTTAACGACGCTGGATTCTGCCACCTCAGCCGCAAGTACCTGGGCCATTTTAACCTTGCTTCTGTGTAAATTACTTCATTTCGGCTAAGCTACTACGCAGCAACCCAGTGGTCGCGCAGTCGGGGCGACCCCCTCGAGCTTGCTTTCTTCATTTTCGTAGCTTTTAATAAACCATAATACGGCACCCTATGCTGTAGAGATAGCGACCAATTCTTTCACTACAATCTTGTTCTCTTCTCAAGACGTCAATGTCTTTGCCTCGCACACCTCCTCGCAGGTCGCGGAGCCCTAGTCCCAGTGATCAATCACAAAGAGGAAAGCGACACAAATCCAGTCGGCGACGCAGATCTAGTCCTTCCACAGTTGAAGACCGACCACAATCCGCGAGTAGCTCTGCTACGAGTATCGGTCAGTTCTACGGCCTCGGGGACGAAAATGCACTCGATAACCTGTTCGCCTCTTTCCCGCAAACACTTTCAAGTCTCCCACACCCCCATGGTTCACAGGGCCGCCATGAGCCTGCATGGGGCCTTCGATCTGACTATGAGATATATCTTCAAAATGACTTCTTCCGTGGAAAAAGATGGAGCCAGCGAGTCAGAGCGCTTATACCAGGCCCAGAATTTGATCCATTCGCCTCTGAACCTCCCGAATCACCCCCATCCGCCCAGCATCTCCCAACAAGGACAAGAGCCGAGTTCGAGTCCGCAATGCGCATAGTACGAGAGGTTACCGGCGAAGGTCGAAGGCTAACTGTAGACCTTGCTCGATCATACGAACGTGTACAAGCTTGGCGAGAGAGATGGGGATGGTCACCATTAAGTTTCGAAGCATATGACTCTCCTCCACCGTACTCTCCACCTCGTAGGTCACCCACACAACCTCCTCGAATATCACCGACGCCCGAAAATATTAGTTCCTCGCCTATGCGACAGTCTCTATCTCCCGCCCCGGAGCCAATTCCGAACCCAATAATCCCTGGCGACCCAGCGCCCTCGGCCGAAGTTCTTTTTAAAACAACCAACGCATTTGCAAAGGAGAACGGATTTGGTATTATTCGGCGGAATAAATATTCCTATAAGGGACGGTTGATTAGGTACTCCATTCAATGCGACCGGTTTGGACAATCTCGGGCCTCGGGGGGTTCTGGTCTTCGAACCCGAAGGTCTCGGAAGTGTGATTGCAAATGGATGATAATTGCTGAAGCCCTAGAGGAAGGCAAGTGGCTTCTTCGACAACATAGAGACCCGAAACATCACCAGCATAACCATGAACGGAGTATTACGCCATCTGCGCATGTTTCCCACCGCCGCCTTACTACACCAGTTAAAGCAACCATCGAGTCAGCAAGCCGTCGCGCGGGTATTCGAGCCAGTGATGTAGCTGCTATGGTTGAGGAGCAATTCCCCGATACAACACTCCTGCGGAAGGATATCTATAATGCCCGTTCGTTCATTAACCGAGAGAAGCTAAATGGCTATACACCTACTGCGGCATTGATCAAACTCTTTGATGAGAAGAAGATCCCATACATCGCGAAATGGGCCGATGATGATCCAGATAGACTGCTTGGTCTTGTCTGGACCTTTCCGTACTGTCTACAGATGTGGAAGCGCTTCCCCGAGGTTATTAGCTTTGATAACACATATAACACTAATCGCTTCAAGCTTCCTTTATTCCAGGCTACTGGCCAAACCTGTCTTGGAACTGTGTTCAATGCTGCATTTGGCTTAATAGATAACGAGAGGAGGGAGGGGTTCCAATTCCTTGCAGAGAGTGTTCGCAAGCTCATTACAAAACACTCACTCAGGGAACCAGATGTCATCATCACAGACTTCGACAAGGCTATGAAAGCTGCCGTTAATGATCAGTTTCCAAATGCACAGCAACAGCTTTGTATTCATCATATCCTTTCAAACGTTTTGCTTAAATCGAAGACTAGGTGGACGGGCCAACGTGAGGACAGTACTACTAGCCCTAGCGCTAGTGACAGTGAAGACATTCCCTCACAGGCGGATGGCGGGTTGAGCACTACAGATAAGCATCTGATCGAAGATCGGTCGAGTAGTGATAAGATTCCTCATACTTACCAAGGCGTTGTTTTAATGTGGAAAAAGGTTCTCTATGCCGAGACTGAGGAAGCGTTTGAGCAGGCATGGAGAGATCTTTGTAAAGAGTTCGACGACCAACGAGCGATCTTACAATACCTCTACTCGACTTATATGCCTGTTAGTGCTCAATGGGCACGTTGCTTTATCCGTCGTTATCGTAACTTCGGAATCCGAGTTACGTCCGGCACAGAAGCAAGCAACAATAATATCAAAAGCTATCTATTAAATGGCATGAGCCACCTCTACCGACTCGTCGAGGCAATGCAGGATATGATACATGACCAAGAACGTGCCTTTAAGGATGCCTGTGGACAGGATGATGTCCTGACTGCTCCACAATACCTAGGTTCGATGGGAAACTATCTTGGTGAACTACGAACAACCATGTCATCGAAAGGACTTGGGTTAATCAACAAGCAATACTGTATTGCTCGCAAATTTCTGCCGACGGGGAAGAATCCCTTCCCCGACTCTATTGGACTTTGCGACGACGACTGTACGGTCTCTATTGAGCTGGGAATCCCATGCTATCATAAAGTCTACGCAAAGCTAGATTCTGACACACGTTTCACTAAATGGGAGGTCCACCCACGCTGGCGACTACGGGAATCGGCATCTCAAGATCCATACCGACGAATTCTTGACCCGAAAGTTGCCACTGCACTACGTGGAAGGCCAAAGAATACAGCGCAGGTTATCCCAGAAAGCCTAGCTATTACATCAAGTAGCCGATCTGATAATCAACCAAGTGGGCGACGAGGTCGACCGCCAGGAAGTCTCAATAAGCCAACTCTTGCTAGGAGAGTGCATAAAGCTACTCGAGAAACCATCACACAAACTGGTGGCCAAATTGGCATCTCAGCCCAGCAAGGGCCAGGTAGACCTTCTAAAGTCCTAAATGCTGGGAATACGACAGGCGTGCGGTACAGTGGACGGAGGACGCAACGAAACATTCGCAGGACAAGGAGTCAATGGGAACTGGCTAAGAGTGATGACGAAGATCCAGATTGTATCGTTGTGAGGCAATAAATTAAGTAGACCACATCACGTCTTTTGCCAGTATTTGACAGTTACTGGCTAACAGTACAAGGACGGTAGTTTAATCCGAAATGCAGGCTTGCAAGATAGCAGAAGACCAATCGCGCCCACAACGATAAGTGACACTGCAATTCATGGTGATGTAGGAGCTTGTTAGTGAAGTTGGCTACACCGCCTTTCCGAGGAAGTATCTGTGGGGCCAAGAAAGTATGCGACCAATCAGAAGTGGTAAAAGTCATGCCCGTGTAAGAGTCATGCCCGTGTAGCCAAAGTGTCATGCCCGTGTAGCAATTCCCTTATAATATCTGCTCAACTCTAACACTGTCGTCTGTCATTATTAGCCTTTCCCCCGGTCCTCGTCTCGGGCCAAAAGAAAATAAAACAAACACGAATACATTGCTTCTGGACTACTGGCTACCCATTTCGAAAGTAACTGCACTCTCTAGGTAACATGCTCCCTTGTTTTCTTGTCCTCGCATCATTCTCCATGGCGTTGAAATACTCTCCGTGCTTGTCAATCCGCCGGTGGTACGGATTGCAGAACCAGGTACTCGAGCTCCCAAAGCCCTGCCACAAGCCACCTCTCTTCGATTTGGGCAGTAAAGTGCCGCCGGCCGCTGCAGTCTTCATCTCGGCCTTGCTTGCGGTGTGGGAAATGCTGCGGACAAGCCATCTGGCGAATGTAGAGCTTGAACCTTTGCGAGACAACAAACGCCTACTACATCTGGCCGCCAGCCAAGTCTCCCTTGTGCATCTCCACCATGATGCTGTATTCGCGCATGATTTCATCGAGTTGCGGGATATCCTTGATCAAAGTGCCGCCATCAAACACAAACCAGATGTTGCTGTGGACATTACTCCGGGGAAATCGGAGGCTAGAACACACACCACCTTCCAGGACGGCGTTAGAAGGTGCCTAAATAAACAAAGGCCACAGGCACATGCTTTAGGGTCCGGATCAATCGGGAGTCTATATTTTCTGCCTCGTCGTGACAGTTTCAATACGACGAGCGCTACCATTCAAGTTGCACGCCACTCGTCTCATTGCGTCTCCGGCCTCGAGCCAAAAACTTTATGCGCCAAAGCCAAGTAAGCAAACTCTATCAATCAGTCCTTGTACGTGATGGCACCTGGTAGTGGTGAGAGACACAAGTGAGTAACGAATGAGTCAGCATCGCTCATGACTTGATCAGCTTTTGAGCTTGTTACATGTCAATTTACCGGCGTCTGACGAGCTCCCTTGGTAAAACGTAAGACGCGCTCCTTTACTGTTTCCTGGAGAAGGCACATTTAGTGTGGCCTGGTCTGAGATCAAGGCAAGTATTGCTCTTTTTTCATTCTTGCTCAGGTACATACAGGCTTCCTGGCTCCTAGTGCGTCATATAGACGCGGGGAGTATTGTATTCTTGCTACTTATTCTATCGTCTCGTAGTAGTTGGTTGCTTTGGTTGGTTTGAATTTATCAAGTAGCTAGGGTATCCAAAGGTACGTATTCGTTATAGACTCGAGCTAGAAAGCTCAGGTCTGTGCAAGACTCCGTGGCGGCGCCTTGTTGAATGCTCTTTGAAGGCATTGAGCCGCTCATCTAGCACTATATAGGTGGTCAACAAAGAGGTAGGCCATGTCCCATTCCGTTGCGTCCACCTAGGTCGAGCATGGCTCAGAACATGACACAAATAGTTATTACAGTCTAGGCTAGTAAGGCCCAACCTGGCGAGCAGGACATAGCCTGCCTCTTTGCCAGCTACCTAGTGCTAATTAAGCGAGCAAAAGGACATCATCACGTACTCTTTTGACCCAAACGTCGGTCTGAGGGTCCAGCACCATCATCGACGAGGAAACGGGAGTGTTGATTGGTATAGCGTCTTGGGCCGTTCCAGGTCACGACTCCTTTCGCCTTTGTCCTCGTCGGCGCCCACCTGGAGTTCGTTGGGACATTCCTTCAGGCGGCCTGGCTCGGCATGCTGAGAGTCGTACCACGATCAAGTGGACGAACGAATGGACTGGCGAATACTCGAGAATCTCAGAGGTGGCTGCTCGTTTCGCGCAGCCGCGCGTGTGTGTTCCTTGAGACGGGACGCGATGATGCAGCAACACGACACATTCAATTCATTGACATGACGCCAACTTGGTGCGGGCCTAGCTCCTGACCGGCCGCTAGCTATCTGTAGTTGTCTGGCTAGAACGAAACAGAGACAGCCGTGGAGTTTCCCAATTTGCCCTTCTCCAGTTTGTGTCCCTTTTGCTCCCGCGGCCCTAAGCAAGCAAGCACCAGCTAGCTTCTTCTAGATACAAGATGCATCATCAAGTCGCCCTCGGACGACACTGAAGCCGCAGCAACGTGGGGGCCATTACGCCTCTGGCATGCTCGTGTCGAGTGCAAGTCAAGCTCAAGCTCAAGCTCACGCCCACGGGGGCAGTCAACACGCGTCAACCATGCACGTCAACCAGACCCTCTGCCTGCTAGGGGCAGAGGTGGCGCCCTCGCACCAAACCTTGTTCCCGTGTACATATTTCCCCTCGATTCTTGATTCCCGAGTCCAACATGTTGCTTGACCATCCCTTCAGACCTTGCGCAATCAAGACGAGACAGCCGCCATGAGTTCCGAGGCCTACAAGATGCTCGTCTGCAAGAATTGCAGAACGCTTCTGGCCAACGAAATCAACATTGAGAGCAAGGTATGCTAGCTAGCTTGGCCCCTTTTGCTGCCCGGCAGCCAGCACGGCACGGCACAGCACATACTTGGATCAAAGTACTGGGTTACGCCGACTAACGTCCCTTGTCTCCCCTCGCACAACTAGACGTTCCACGGACAGTCGGGCCCGGCCGTCCTCATCACGCGCGTCCACAACATCACCGTGGCAAAGCCGACGCAGCGCTGGATGGTGACGGGCTGCCACGTTATTCGGTGGGTTTCGTGCGCGGGGTGCAAGAGCGCAGTCGGCTGGACCTACGTGGCCGTGGATGACGAGCGCCAAAAGTACAAGCTGGGAAAGTTTGTCCTGGAGACGGAGCAGCTGGAGAAGATACGCCCTCCGCCGCTCGTAGACTGCGCCGTGTATTGACGTCGCTGGTCAAGTTGTGCCGCGGGAAACGGGAAACGGGTGAGGGAAGGGATTCGGGGGGG